TTCCCCGCGGGGCATCTCTGTGTGATGAGTCAAAGTGAGCAGCGATGTCTCTTCATCCACACTCAGATGGTTTTCCTCAGAAAATGAGCGAAAATACATGACGATGATGTGTTTCTATGTGGGGTTTATGTTTCCTTTATCAACATTCACTACCCCGCAGTACGCGCTCTGCTGCGCTGTGGAACTTGTTGGTATTGCCCTGGCAGAAGCCCCTGTTTGTACGGAATCAGAGGCCCCGGAGACGCAACATATTACAGATGTGTCCTTTTTTTAATACAAAGCTAAAACATGAGAGGGGGGAAAAACCTTTGCCCTCCCAAAAAATAAACTCCCGGGGGCCAACGTGAGGTTGCGGCACCCTTTGTTTCATAGGCAGATGTTTTTGGTTTTCCACCCCCCCCCCCCCCCCCCTCAGTCCGACACCCTCTGCACACACCTCAAATTTGCTCTTGTTGTTCTCGTCACCCTCCGAATACGTGAAGAGTTCACAGCTCGTTTACGGGGAGTTTTAGTAGTAACGGATCTGCATCCCAAAAGGTGGTGCTGCTGTGCAGATCTCCACCTGCAGAGCGCCACAAGAAAGGATGGAAATCTTAAATCTCTCATTCTACACACACACACACACGGCGGATGATGATCCTTGATGTACTATTTGGTTTTCTTTGGAGGCTGTCATGTATGCTAGAAGAGCACTACTGCCATCTTCTGGTGGATGGACGTAGAACCGACCACTTCACTCCTCCTTTTTGACAAATAATTATTTTTAGGTATTTCTTTCCCCCAATATCCTTTAAACAAATAATTCATGTTTAAGCAACATAGTAAAAAAAAAGAAAGAAATGCATGGGATGACACCACCAAAGAAGAAGCGCATCGTCCACAGGTGCTGACTTCCTCCTCGATCGACATCTCCAAGTCCTTCAGTTCAGGCGTAGAGCTGTCAGTGTTAATCACACCGCCGCTCAAAGGAGAACAACCCTTATTGTTTAACACTAGAGCGTAAATGTTGAACTAAATGGTAAAATGAGAAAAAGCTATTTGTTTTGCAGCAGACAAAGCTTTTTCATGGGAAAACCACCTGTTGCAGCATTAAAGTCCTGACTTAATAATTACTAAGTTTGGCTACTGAGAGTGACACAATAGGATCGCAATATTACAAAGATGCACAGTGAATTTACCATGTGCATCATTCCTGAACTAATGTGAGAGAAGGAAAATGCAAAAAAAAAAGCAGAGCATTGAATCGTGTGTTCAGTGAAACATGTTGTTTATTTCACTCGCCTTCAGTGTGACATGGCTGCAAACACTGTCTGTGGATCTGCTGCCGTCGTCAAGGTTGGAAGGAGGTTTGTCGCCTTGCTTCAGACTACGGAACCTTCGCCTTGTTGTTTCACAAACGCACACGCAGCCAAGACCTTTGGCTGATTCATTTAATCTCACTGCGAAAAGCTTTCATTGACAATACATTTGTGCAACGACCTTCACGGAGCAGGAAGAGATGGCCTGTTTCAAAGTTTTACTTTAGTGATTTTTCTTGCCAGCAATGGTGCAGCATTGTGCAATTCAAAGTTGTTTCCATTGTTTTTTCGTAAACCTTCTTTCAAACTTAGCATTGATTTTAATGTGTGAGCTGTTGTTCACAATTGGACTCACATACGTTTTGATGACGTGAGCGTGCCGAGTGCCCGTGTTGTCCTGCAGGCTGCCGCTGACTGATCAGGGCTGCAGTGAGTGATAAAGAGCTCGACAGAGACTTAATTAATGGTGTCTATCCAAGGTCAGAGTCATCATGTCAGTGAGCGCTGGCCCCTGGATTGATTGATCGCGTGGGATCACACATTCACGTGGCCAGTGTGACATCCATCGATCTGCTTCTGTGGACAACGTTCCAGATACAAGATATGGCCCCCACCATTAATCCACCCCCCCCCCCCCCCCCATACAGGCATTAAATATCACTTTATTAGTTTATCTATCCACGCGTGTTCCCCAAAGCAGGCATCCACCCCTCCCTCCCAGTGTATCATTATTTACCATTTAAATAATCCTCCCTCCACATCCCGTTTGTGCCCTCCCAAGATTTATTGTTATTACTCACCCAAATCTCCCTGAAGACCTCTATGAATTGTTTATCCATATAAACGCTCACTTCGATCCAACAGGTGAGGCGACACTCCCTCCCACTCATCCCATCAATAGATCCACTGGATCCGCTATTCTCTTCCCTTTAACTAACGTGCATATATTCACTGTCTTCCACCACCCCTTCCATTCCTATTAATTCATATGCTGTCCGTTGTCCGCTGTTATCAACTATTTATAAACAAACCTTTCATATGGCTTCGTTATTATTTGCACGCGCCGTTTTTGTATCCATCCATGCAATTATACTGTAATGAGCTTTATATACAGGCATAAACTGGGGTTGAGTACAATTAAATAACCGTAAAGTGTGAAGAACTGATCTTCACACTACACTAATGGGAAAAATGTGATATTTGCTCCCTTGAGCTCTACAGACGGGCCTCTCCGGCGACCAGGAGCTCCGGCAGTGACGGTGTGATTGCCTGTGCGACTAAATCGGGGGCTCTGGATCGAACAGACAACCGGACCTCTGCATGCTGATTGCCTTTTCTGCGTCCCCACAGTTCATCACTCCGCAGCCAGTGACACTCTGTCACCACACGGCTCCTGCTGACCGTCGGGGTGGCGCCCCCGAAACTGCTTTCCATTAATCACAGTCAGACAACACCCAGGGAGCCGCTTTCGGACGAGAAATGGAAGCGGCTGGAGGTCAATCTTGCAGGCAGCAGCAGGTTTGCTGCAGGTGTTGAAGCTGCTGATGTTTTAGAAATGAACCGAAGCAATAACTCCTCAAAAGAATGTTCATATATAGGATGATTAGAAGAGGAACAGCTGTAGAATACTGATTAAATCCCCCTGTATCAAACTTTGATGTAGCCAGCAGGAAGCTCCTAAACACACGTCCAATGGGTCTGTGTATGCAAAAGCCAAAGAAAGCGAAAGACGTTTTCAGCCATGAAGAAGCTTTGGGTGAACTGTAACAAAGCTGTGAACGCATCACTGACCAAAGATCACTTTTTAAGGTATGCAAGACTCCTTGTGTCTATTTGCACTCCTTATTTTGTGTCCAGTCTTCATTTGACCAAGAGAACTTCTGCTCTGTGTCTGCAACATAACATCCAATTCACTTTCAAAGATCGTATAGGTGATCATTCTGGAATGATTTTGACAATTGGCATCACTGTTTCGGAGTATTTGCCTGTAAATTCTATTGACTCAACCAACAATTTTACTATTGGTGTCTTCCATTAACGCCAGATTAGATCAATTAATAGTCTCTAATCAAATCCTCTTAACAAATTGTGCAAAAGAAAATGAAACACTCTAAACGTTGTCAAAATAAAGTTACCAGGCCGGGGACTTCATTTCAACATATTTTCCAGTATATATTACATGACCTATAGGAAAACCTAATCAATATATGTGAACATAAGCGTCTGTCTCTTGTTTTTTGGAAGGGTTAGGGAGAGTGTTTGGATTTTCTCAGATCGTCATTAATTTTGAAAAGAGGCGTAGTTGCCATTTTATGTCGACACTCCAGTTGCGTGTGCAATGAGCCTCTACCACCATCTGCTGGAGGATTACGCAGAACACGGCACAGAACACCAGTTTTGCTTGGATGATGTAATGAAACAAGTTTCCGGTAGACAAAACTGTAATATACTATCCTTCTCACCTGAACATGGGAAAAGCATGATCTTCATCAATATATTAAATTTCAAAGGACAAGGAAATATAAGGAAAATTTACAAGACAAGGAAAATTTAAAATAAATGGACTATATTTTTATTTTTGTAAAGGTTTTTATTCAGTTGTTTTAGGGGTTGTCTGTATAATATAAAAACTTTATTAAATAATCCAAATCCAAATAAACACCGTGGAGTATTTAGGATACGCTCAAGCAGCTGTTGGCTGTAGCTTTACTTTACTCTAGAAACAAATAAAGTCGTATTGCTCTCCTCATTTCTCTAAGCAATAAATCAAGTAGACGTTCTTTCCTAAATATCAAACTATACACTCTAATGTATGAAGTGACTCAGAACAATCTCACAGTTTCTCCTTTCCAGTACAGCAACAGTTGTAGGCCAGATGTCCTATTTTAACTTGATTAAATCGTTCCTAGAATATCCATTCAGGATAAATTAAGCTCGTCATAAATATGCTGGGCTGTATTTGCAACAATCCCAATGTTGTTTACGGCCCCCACTTACCCAGTGTGTTTACACGAGGTGAGGCATAAAGAAGCTTTTGTTATTGACAGCTCACTCACTCTGCCCCCCCCCCCTTTGTTTAGAGGCAGAGGGAATTATGGTAATTGCTGAGTCCAGTAAAACCAATCAGGTGAAAATAAAACATTAAACTGATAGCAAGCACTGCTTCATGAAGTAAATTATTTATAATTGGGGACTGCAGAGAGAAGCAACTGTAATGTTTCACTTTTGAGAACCTATTTGACCTCAGTAGTGACTTTGATAACATTTTGTCAGCAGTAATTTTCACTTATCGCCTCATTGTACTTTTGGTCTTATTTTGAAGGGTTTGAGCTTTTAACTAGTTTGTAATGTTACAATGATTAGGAAGTATGAACATTGGGGTACAGACTAACTTTTAAGCCTACCAATATCCTAAAGTATTGACTATAAAGTTAAAACGAGGGCTCACAACAGCATTAACCTTGGCAATGCCAAAGTTTAATAGCGAAAAGTAAAATCGTTGTAATTTTTAGCAGGTTCTTTACAGAATCTTAAGGGTCATTGGTTAACATGCACAATTACTAATATACAACATAGCGGTGGTGCACCTTTCATCAAGTTTTCAAATTTGTGGTTTCTGGTCCGTGCTGATTCCCACCACCGATCTACTTGCCTTTCAGCGCTGATTTCTGTTGGTCCCCAAACCAACCGGTGGTTGGTGACCATTGGTCACCAACCACCGCCTCTACTTCCAGAGAGACTTTTATACTTGCAACGAAGTCTGCAATGTTCTAAGAGGGATGGAAGTACAAGAGGTGCAACGGTTTAGTTTTTCGTCACAGCCCTATTTTCGGACTCCTCGTCTGCTGGCTCCTCTGGCAGGTGACCCCTCTGGTGTTTCTTGAAGTCGCTGCAGTGCATGAACCCTTTCCCGCAGACCGCGCAGCAGTACGGCTTCTCTCCCGTGTGGACACGCCGGTGCAGCTTGAGGCCGATGGACTGCGTGAACCTCCTGCCGCAGATGTTGCAGCCGTACCTCTTCTCACCCGAGTGGATCACCATGTGTATATTCAGATTGCTGGGGTTGCTGAACTTCTTATCGCACTGCTCGCAGGCGTACGGCTTCACGCCCGTGTGGACGCTCATGTGGTACTTCAGGTTGACCGTGCAGCGGAAGCTCTTGCCGCACACGTGGCAGACGGGCCGCTGGCCCCGCTTCTTCCCCGTGTGGACCCTCATGTGGTTCTGCAGCGCGCTGGCGTGGCCGCAGCGCTTGCCGCAGGTCTCGCACACGTACGGCTTCTCCCCCGTGTGGGTCAGCATGTGGTGCTTCAGCGCGCTGCGGTGGCTGCAGCCCTTGCCGCAGACCTGGCAGGCGAAGAGCTTCTCGCCGCTGTGTTTGCTCAGGTGACTGCGGAGGACGCTGGCGTCGCTGGAGCCCAGGCCCAGCACGTCGCAGCAGTTGTCCTGCAGGCCGTGGGTCACCCGGTGGGCAGTGAGGGACGACGACGAGAGGAAGCTCTCGCCGCACACCTCGCAGACAAAGTCTCTGTCCCCCGAGTGCAGGTTCTCGTGGGCGGCCAAGCTCTCCCTGCACTCGAAGGCCTCCGGGCAGAGCGAGCAGACGAACGTCGTCTTCAAGGCGCCGCACCGGTGCCGCTGCAGCTCCAGCGCCCCGTCGAACTGACTCTCGCAGAGCGCGCAGGTGCGGGCGCCGGGTTTCTTCAGGCCGTGCCGGCGCACGTGCCGGGCCAAGGTGTACTTGTAAGCAAACTCGATCCCGCAGTCGGAGCATTCGTAGGGCTTCTCCCCGGTGTGGCGTCTGGAGTGCGCGACGAGCCCCTGCTTCTCGGAAAAACTCTTGCCGCACTCGGAGCAGAGGTGCGGTTTGGTGTGGGTCAGGTAGTGTCGGTCCAGCATGCACTTCAGAGCAAAGGTTTTGTCACAGGACGGACACTTCAGCGGCTCCGTGCTCTTCTTTTTTGTAATCTGGGACGGGCCGGTTTCCCCCCGGACGCCATCTTCTTCGCTCAAATCAGAGTTGCTTTCCTGTGTGGCTGCATCCGCTGAAACAGAGGAGAAGATCCATTTAGGGGACTTGAACCTGAAAGATCAACACGGCCGCTCAAATTCAGAACATGAACATATAACTCCTTCTATGTCTTGCTCGTGAACAAAAGAAGTTTCAGACAATGAAGCTATTAGGAAAGAAACCTTGTTTAGCAATTACAAAATCTTTGGGATTTGTTAATAACTACAAATGAGATTATTTAAAGGCGGCACAATTAAAAAAAAAAAAAAAAAAACTTTAAACAGCGATTGTACTCAATCACCTGGATGGTTTAATACTTAGCAACCTGGACTGCATTTAAGATGCTAATTTATAAGATAAACCCCACTTGGAAATGCTGCTTTGATATTAAGCACTGTTCCATAAGGACGTGGCTCTAAATAGTCTTAACTTTTCATCTTGTGTATGTTGTATACTAGATGTGTTAACTACTCCTCACTTAAATTCCATCCAGTTGTTTCTTCTGAATGAGACTCACAAGACTTCCTGGTTAAAACTTGTTGTTCTAACGCAGGATGTCTTTCTCCTGCTGGTTTGTAAAGACGGAGTAGTTACCGGGTGTGATCACTGATCCTGAGTCAGATGCTGCTGCTGGTTCGTCAATATGTTTCTCTTCTGAAAAATAGAAAAACATCAGTCAGGGATTCATCTCATGGTCATTAGTTACCACGCGGCTCCAAACACAAGACAAACACACGATGGCATCCATACCTCTGTGATATATGTGGTCGTTCTGTTTTTTCGGTGCTGGTTTGGATCCTTCCTCGAGTTTCTTTCTCCTCTGACGAGAGCTACCGGATGCAGATTCTGTCATTTAACAACAACATATAACTATGTTTAGTAAAGAAAAGGCAAATAAAAGCCTGTCCACAGTCACTGGAGCCTTCAACTGACTTACAACCTTTTGGCAAAGCCGCTCTCCTCGCTTTCGGCTTCAGTCTCGCCCGTTTGCTCCGGCCGTTCGGCCCGTCCCTTTGTCCGGCAGCAGGACCGTCCCCGGCTTCGCACATGGACACTTTCAACATCGCCAGGATCTTTTTTACTGCACCTTTGGTCCATGTTTCCATGATGGATGCAAACTGGTCCTGCGAAGTCATTGGGGGGGGAAGAAATAAGATGTTAATCAATACGTATTGGTGGTTTTGGGGTAAATTAAAAAGGTATTTGCACGATACAATAAATAATCTCTTATCAATTGTGTAAAAGCAAAAAAGGGGTTTCCAGCCTGTTATTTGTGAGAATATGCCGTTTCTTTAACTTGCATAATTTTTAAGGGTGAAAGAAGATTAAACTGCCTGACTGAAACAAAACCTAATCACATGTTTTTAAGCGAAGTTGAGAAAGTAATTTTGAGCAAAGGTTTTTTGTTGCACTTGATCAACTTTCAAGAGCTGCTATGGGCGAAACTAACTCAGAATATTCAACTCAACAATCAACGTGTGAAGCTGAGTCCGCGTCAACGTCACGTGACAAACCGTTAAAAGGTGCCGTTACATGTCAAACTGACAGAAAACTTGATTTTTCTTTTCTATTTTCAGAAAGTAACGTGGTACCTTGACGGCTTCAGTGAAGGAGCGACTCTCCTCGGTCGGAGTCTCTCCGCTCTCATCTTCCTCCCTCTCCGGGGCGGAGCGCCGCCGAGCGGCCATGACGGCGGCCGAGGCCGCGCACTCCTCCAGGAGTCCGCCGAACTCCGTCAGCGCCGCTCGCACTTCGGTCCGCATCAGAGCCGACAGCTGAGGCGCCAAGGCCTCCAGGCTCAACATGTCCGTGAGGGGTTATTTCGCTGTTGTGATTTGAGTTTTTCAATAAGTCTTTCTATTTTCTTCGAAGGCGCAGGTTGTTTCGGTGGTGTTTTGCTTCCGCGTTGTTCTTCTTCGTGGGAATCTTTGCGGCAGAATGCGGAGACTTCCGCCCCCCAGAGGAGCTCCTGCAGGCTCGATTCCCCCATTCAGAAATGTGGGGTTTGCTGTCTTAATGCTTCAAACCCCATTGTATTATTCTTTGTGTAAACAAATCCCAACAAAGACGGAAACCAACCAACCGAGGTAGTTCATTTTTCCATTCTCACTTCCCTACCACGTCTGTGCCACTAAATATTTAAATACCTCACAAATACAACGTTTGATTTGGAATTTTGGTTTGGTGTGTGGTTAAAAAAAGCTATGCACGGCAGGCTTTAGCTAATGTTGCTCAAACAGAAAGTAACAGTGCTATTTCACTGATATTATAACTATTTTTCAGCTGAGAGGAGGAATTCATATCTGAATGTATAAAAAGGCAGTGGGATTGATTTTAAGATGCATCCACATTTAACAGTGTGGCTCGTTGATTTTAGAACAACAATGGGGCTCTACTGCAAAGCGAAAGAAGAAAAATAAAGCAATGAGGGGTTTTTACTTTTTGCATGTTTGATCCACACAGGCGAGGAGGACATACCAAGCGTGATGTTAGCATGTGATCCCCGCCGGCTGTTCAGTCCCCGACCTCTGACCTCCAAACCCCAGGAGTCAGAGGCAAAATCATGCCTGACTTGGCGGGGCCTTTGTGAATGGTGGAGGGATCGCGTTAGAAGCATTACAGCAATGTAGTGGAAGAACAGGCTACAATTCCTGATTGCCACAGCACATGTCACCAAAGTTATTATTACAATAAAGATATGGATATTTTCAAGACATACTCTTCTGAACCTTCTAGAAGAGACTCATTGCAGTTCCTCAAATGGCCATCGGATGTCCCTCTTGCTTTACTTCCGCGTATAAATCCAAGAGCCTGAGGAGCAAAGGGTTTAACATGCAGTTCTCACGTCAAATAAAGAATTCATCATCATTTATTAGCAACAGAATCTAATTCTTAATCCTTCCAACAAGAATCATTCAATGTTTTGTGTACATATATGGATATTTTCACTAAAACATTCAAACATTCAGGTTGCATTTTCCTTTTCTATAGTCAGCGTGTCAGCCAGCATGGACCCCCCCCCCCACTCCCCAACCTCACATCCATCTGGCTCTCCTCCCTCTCCTCATCCCTCGATCCTTTATAACTCTTGAGCTCCAGACCTCCCCAGGGACCATCCGATGCACATGGACTCGAGGCCGGCCAGATGTGGACTATTCTAGTCTAGCTTTGGTCTTTGGAGATTTAGAATCTAGATCCATCGTCGGGTAAAAGCGGACCTGGAGTCTCCAGCTGAAGGAATCCTGGAGTATGAGAGTGAACGGAGCTCTGCGGCTTTGCTTTTTGTTGTTGGGACTATGTCAGGCCTGCCGTGCCCGTCCACCTGGTGGTCCCTACACAACACGGGAGGTAGGTGAGGTCCCCGTGTCCCAGCTGAGGATGCTCTCGCTGGGACTGGCTCACCTGCTGCAGGGGTTGGTGGAGAACGTGGAGCAGCTGGAGCTGCGGGGGAAGCTGGTGGCAGCAGGGCTGGACGAGGCTGCCGAGAGTCTCGAGAGCCTTCGCAAGCAGAGTTTACAGGCGGGACGGACTCACAGGCAGGTGAGGGGGGGGATCCAAGATCATTAACCCAAACCGTTTGAGTTTGATTGATGTATATGGCTTCATAATCACGGTAAAATGAGTTTTATCAAATCAAAATGTGATATAACTCACTGTTGGTTTAAATAAATGATGTTAAATGTTTCATAGTGCACTGATTTTAACACATATTTTAATGATTCAGCTGCAAAGATATAGATCGAAGATAGAAGATCTGAAATTGTGTTGTTTATTCAAACATCCTATTTTGCACCATCAGTGAGACGTTCACGCTGCAGCTGATTTTTAATGCTGTTCTAGACGAAGGTGGAAGTCCTTTTGAAATGAGCGGCGTGTGAGTCAGGGAGAAATACAGAAAAATGATGTTCTGTTGTGGAGGCGAGGAAGGATTTGCAGATACTGACTGCGAGGGGGGACGGGCTGTGGAGGGCAGCCACAGATCTACAGGAGGAGCTGGTGGATGGGGAGAGGGAGCGGAAAGCCATGCAGCGCCGCACAAACAGGATCATCCAGAAAGTTAAGAGCCGGACCGAGCCGAGGTCCGTGAAGGTGAGCGAAAAACAACACAATTATCTCGGCGAAACCACAACAAGTACATATAAAGACCTCACTGTTGTAGGGTTGTCTCTGGGTTTTATTAGGCACCTTTTTGACCTTTTTCGTTGTTCCTGCAGGACATCATGGACCAACAGGCCCGGAGGCTCGCCACTCTTACCTCAGAGGTCTCAGCCCGAGACAGAATGATTGACAGGCGCCTGCGGCACATCAACCAACTGGAGAAACGAGTACGTTGGGGTTTGAAGCTTATTTGGTGAAATTTGGTTTTAAACTAAAGCAAGAACATGAACCTCTAGTATCATGTTATTATTATTAGAGCTTTTTCCTTGTGAAGAACCTGGTTGTAGTTTCTTCACAGTTAAATAATGATGCATTAAATCACTTCCGACTCGTCTCTGTGGTCCCTGTAAGAGCCTCCTTGCAGCACGGGGGGCGGATTCAGTGCCTGATGAGCACAGCTGTCTCAACACAGCCGCTCCGCCCGCAGGCCGCCGTGACAAAGGCTCTGTGAGGCTGACAAAACAACCTGCTCTGCAACAAACACAAAGACGTCCCACAATCAACAGACATGCCTGTCAATGAGACAAATACTCGTTTGGGTCGCTCTTTGACACCAACTCAGCAGTCACAAAAGAAAACCCGATAATAGGTTGTTAATGAAGCTATTGTCAGTGAATCGTCTTGAATAAAATAAACACCTGTCTAATAAAAAAAAAGGGTTCCTGCTCCTGAGTCGTCATGTTGTGACTCCGACTTCCTCAATGTTGTGGTTGACGATGGTGACGAGAAACCTTTTGACTAACAAAACACGCAAACGTTTTCCTCACACTCAAATCGTGGTGTAATACTTTGAGATGGCATAACTATTACACACGCACACGTCTCTCCTTGTTTCAGTCACTCTCAGCTGGGTCTGCGCCTTTAAAAATGCTCCTCATGTGAAGGGAAAGCTATACATGTAGTTTCAGAGAAAAAAAGAGCTTTGCATTCATTATCCAATACATTTGACATTTTCCCAGTTATTTTTTATAGCAAGTTTCATCCACAGAAGCAACTCAAATTCTGGACCAACATGTGGACAAAAACAGAGACGGCCTTATAGACTTTTCAGTCAGTTTGACAGGGAGGCCTCGATTTAATGTGGCCTGAACATGGACCCGGCTGCTGTGTTTATTTGGGGAAAAATAAAAATATATTAAAAAAAACGATATTTGTACAGCACATGCATGAAACCCTAACCCTAATAACCATACGCATGTATTCAGCTTGCTCGTCAGAGCTCTGCCCTTTACATAATAACAAATGCTTACATTCTTTGGTCAGATTTCAATGAGGTATTTGTAGGGAGAAACAGCAAATACCACCATCAGCTCTGCACCCTCACAGCTGTGTTGCCACCAAATGCGAAGGCGGTTGTGTGTTGAGTCTCCGCTGATATCTGATGGCCTCGAGTCACCTTCCTGACGTCCAACTGGCAGGCAGCCGTCCCCTCTGGTTTTCTCAAAACAACTCAAACTTTGTCCCACTTACTAGAACGAACTGGGCAGTGTGGGCAAGGAGCGAGGACAGTAACAAAGCATGGGAATTATTGTGAGGAGCAAATACCAAAAGCAAGTGCAACGCAAATCAGGAACCAGAACAACAAATGGTTTAAAGTCATGTGAAATTAATTCGTTAGCATAGTATACAGAAATGTTGATATTTACAGGGTTTTTTTTACATTATATACAACTGCGTATTTATGTTGGGACCAAAGAGTCAAAGTATTTGAATTCAAACATGACCAATAAAGCCGATTCTGAAGTGATCCATTTTGAAAGAGAGGGTCAAAGCTACAACGACACCCCCAAGAGGTCAAAGGGAAACACTGACATGTTTGCTCTTAAAATGTATGAAAACTCATTTATATGCTCAAATTGCTCCCATGCTTTAGCTCATCACGCAGGTAAAGAAAAACAACATACAGTCTCATTGCCTCAAAGCAATGCATATCTGGATAATGGTGCATGCATAATATCACACATGTGCCACTCTGAAGCGAACACTGATCTGCGTCCCTATGAACAAGTGCGCAGAGAACATTTAGATGTGTCGTCACGGCTGTGAACAGTCGGATCCACCGTCTCTCTTGTTGCAGCCCACTCCCTTCATGCCCTCACAATATGCAGCATGTGTTTAATTTATATACCATTATACCAATTGTGTCTTTTTAAGTTTATTTGAATTCAACTAAGCAGAAGTGAGAGGAAGACAAAGGAAGAGGAAGCAGGGGAGCGAAACATACAGTGGGACAATGAGCATGAGAATACATATGCATCATGAGATGTTACAATCAGCCTTTTGTTTTTGTTCCAGCCAATTGCTTGATCTTTGAACTGAAATAGGAAATAATCAGTCAAAAACATGACAACTGTCAAGTCACTGATCATGTGATCACAATGACCCTGGGTCACGTTACTCGAGGAAGAAGCATCCGCGTCCAGTACATACATCTGCATCGGGGGAACTTTTGTAAAGTTGGGCCTCTGATTTTACTGCAGGGTCTGCAGTCCGTCCGCTCTGTCCTGCTGCGGCTTCTCCGGTTCCCTCCTTCCATCTATCGGGTCGCCATGGTGCCAGGCGAGTGTTCTCCTCCACCCGATGACCCATGATTATTTCAAAATACACCCTGGATTCACAGGCATTATGAATAACCATGCAGCCATAGTCTTTGTGATATAGGTTATGTAGAGGCAGCAGTAAAGGCACCAATAAAGTGGCGTTCTGTCTCTCTCTCTCTCTCTCTCTCTCTCCTCTCCAGCCACACCTTAAATTCTCCAGACCTCGTCACTGCCGTGTTCCCTCTACCCACCAGACGTCAGATGACATCAGATGACTTCCCCGCCCATCTGTCCACCTGTTCCTACTTTCCTCATGACATCGGCCCCTTTCCACTTCCTCGTTGCCAGTTTGTCAAACTTGCTTTGTGCATTTGGTTTCTCGTATTTGCAATCTCGTTTCCTGGATCCTTTGCACCTTCTGCCTGATGCTCTGACTGTGTTTTTCCTAACGCTCATTGATAAGTTTGCCTTTCATATGACCTCACACATTTTTGCAATTTCCCCATCAAATCAACCAACAGATGCTTCCTGCTTCCGTTTGCGTTTGGGCCCTTTCCTCGTCACCAATGTAAACATACTCTGAAAATACTCTATAAGTAAAAATACTAATTGTACTAGGAGCTAGTACATATACAGTGAGATAGTTCGCTCGCATCTCCTGTAATCTCTTTGTCTTAGCTCTAATAAAGGAGATGGAGCTAAAATCCCACTTGCCAATATCATTAACATTGTAAACGGGTTTTTTCTATGACAAAATTCTCAGTCAAGGGAGCTTAGATTTTCTCATAATTATCCTAAAATAAATAATTGACTTTCACTCTATAAACACAAAAAAACATTAAATGTGTTAATGGCACTCACATTACTCTTGCTGAGTCGTACACATAGTTAGCTCCTGTCTAACTCCAAGATTCGTATTCAACATCTGACCATAAATAAACCATAAATAAAACTATGCTTCTTGCATAGAAATAGAGGATGTCTCTCCCTGAGTTTAGGGGATGATGTGTAATGCTACGCTGCCCCCATCAGAACGCTTGTGTATCAAACCAAGTTAAGCTTCATCACAAATGACAAATTCCAGACCGCTCGTTGTTCTTTGTGCCACACGGCTGGTTGGATGCACCTCCTTCTAGTCAGGAAGAGTCATCTGCTGTCATTAACTTATAAAGCTCTGCTTGGGAAGCTTCTATTTTAATCGGCCCTCAAACCAGGGTCCTGCACACCCCTCAGGGAAGATCAAGCTTTATTGGCTTCATTTCATTCTTGTACCTATTTAATTACTATTCTATTTGCATTGAAAAAAAAATACGGATTTCAATAAAACAACCTGATTAAATAGAAATGTTTTTTAAACATGTCTAATAATACATGTTGCGTAAAGAGAGCGAACTAATTAATTTCTGTTTTTACTTAGATATTTCTGCCAAAGGAAATATTAAGAGCTACAGCTCTGACTCATGGAGCTTCTGAGTAATAACACAACGGGTAGGTGGAGAGAGAGAGAGAGAAAGGGAGAGCGACAGACAGACAGACAAAGAGAGAGAGAGAGAGAGAGGGAGAGAGAGAGAGGGAGGAAGGAAGGAAGTGGTGAGGATGCTCTACAGTTGCTGCAGCACTTTGCTCCCCATCTCACTCAGAGTTCACATCGGAAAATATCATTTTCACTGACCTGCACTTCTCACCGCCGTCGTACAACAATGCCTGTTAAGGTAAGGATGCCGAGTTTATTTCTTCTCAGCAGCTTTAATTCCAGCCAACTCTGTCACGAAGCGAGGACAGAGACGGCGGTTTCTACCTTTTGTCCGTTTAACCCCAAGCTGTGGGTTCCGTGGTTTTATTTGCGATTGTTAATACTAATGATCATTGAAGCGTCACGCAACCTGTGTAGGTTGTTTGTGTACCGTTCAGGAGGAACGCAGACGGATAATCACAAGAGGATAAAGGGCGCCACTTGCCTACATGTCACAGAGAGAGAGCGGGGGAAATGTCTGCAACGAGCTCGGAGTGGTGGCCAACGTTTGCATATATGCAAAGGCGCTACAGTGTGCATGAGCTGGTTTAAACATTCAACCGAGTTCACCTGATTGACACGTACACTACAGCCTATATTTACAACTAATGCAAGCTTCCACAGCGCTACAATACACAACCCCACTAATACTTTATTCTAAATTTATTTTAAATTATTTAGCAGTCGCAGTAGTGTTATAAATCAGCAATTGGGAGACTAAGAATTAGTTTTTTGTTAAGATTTTAAATGGAAAGCCACACATCTAATTCTTGCAATATGCTAAAGGTAAACTAATTCACTTACGAATGCTTAATCTGAGCTGTTACATCACATTCTGGGTGATTTCAATATGTAAAGTGGGGCAGAGTAACCTGCAATGAACAGTCTAAGACTCCATCTATAAATCGCACTAATCACATCATTATGAAAAAGATTCAACTTCAGGTTTTGTGATCTCTTCAGCCTCCAACTCAGACATGCAAACAATCCGGAGAACCTCAAGGAGAAACGTACCTTCTCATAATAAAGCTTAAGTAACAGTTTCTTTCTCCCCGAGTCTGACCCCATTTCCACATCCTGAGATGGTATTAATAATGGGTCTAGGATCTGGTTCTGCAGGTTGGTTCGAGGTGTTCGAGATGTTTTTTTAATGTTTCACAAGCCAACATTTGTGTAATTTGAGCCTCCGACTTCAACAATTCAGGAAGAACACCTTCAGTACTCTCTATAACGCCCAGGTAGCCACGCGTGTACTGGATGCATCAAATGGGAATAATCTAAAACATTGTGAATGTAAGCTTCTACACATATAACGAGCACACATCCAATTGTTACAATTCAAAAGAGGGACAAATGTATTTACCTGGAAGATGTAAAACTTCACAAGTACTGTGAGGATAATCTGCATGTTTCTTTTTTAGAAAAGCTAGTGAGGAACTAATAATGAGTTTTGATTGAACAATTTAAAACGCTTATTGCAAGCCATTGCAGTGGTGCTTTTCTAACATGACATGAGAATTTAAATAAACTCAAGCTTCCAAAATGTTCGCATAAAGCAAGGTTGACAAAACCTTCCACATTGTAAGTTGACATTTGACAGGTCCCACTGCACATGTAAATGTTTTTAATTGCCACCCCTTCAACAAGACATTGGACGGGTTGTTTCTGTCTCCGGAATAACTAACAATAACTGCTTGTTCAGGAAGTTGAGGTTCGCATTACGTGAGCGACGAAGCAGCTGAGCCCCTTTTGCTTACTGTTACAAAACAGGGGAATTCGACATGTAATGGTTTTCCAATCCTTCTTAATGAGGATCAAGGGTCGTCGGGAGGGATTTGGAGTTAAAGTCTGAAACAAAGACCGGTGGCCCCTCAGAACTCAGCAGTGCCTCAAACTGAGAGGTTTTTAACAATCGGTAAATCGTAGATGCAGAAAAACTGCAGGAGATTGTTTTGAACACTCAACAAGTGTCAATGCAGCAGAAGAAGAGCATTTTCCTTCATGCAAAGGCTGCACACTGTGTGACCCCTCTTCTTTCTACCTGACCTGTACAGGAGCAGCGCACCTGGGAAAGGCCACTTTGCTGAACCTGGTCCGAGGTGACTTACTGGTCTTCTGGTCGTTCGTCGTTTAAAGGAAAGAAGGAAGTCAACCTCACGGTTGGAGGAAGGACTGCCGAGCTTCCCTCTGATCGAGTTCTCTCAGACCAAAATATGTCAACCACCACGGCAGACAGCGTAGAAAGAGGAACCAAATCCTCTAAAGCACCGAAGGACCATAAAAAGGTGAGCAGACGTCGCTATTAGGTCATGTAATGCTCGACGGAGAAATCTCAAAATCCCCTGTTACCACAAGGGGACTTCTGCTGTCACACAATCATTGCTGATATCAAAAATGATTCTGTAAAGCCAGTTAAACACACAGCTGCATTAACTCTAAAAAAAAAGGACACTTCAATTCTTGTGAATAAAACCTCTCAGGGGATTCATACTGTAAGTTAAGAAAACCTGAGCGGTGATAAAAGAGGTGATTGGGTTGATCATTGTCCAAGAGAAATACTTAATTGCAGGGAAAATTACCTCATAACAAGAAACATGTTGTAATGTACATTTCTGTGCATATTGATGCTATATTGAATACATCATACTTTGTATCCACATTAAAGTTATTGTTGTTTTATCCCCGGCTTGTTTCAGATTCACTACAATTGAAACGGTTGATTCGCTGTTAACAGATCAATTAATTTATCATGACACGCGATTTTGCTTTGTTGTAGGAAGGAAGGTGTCAGTTTGACGGTCGGTCCGACACTTTGGTCCTGACTGAAATATCTCAAGAAAAAACGTTTTTGATTTGAGGCGGATGAAACAAAGCTATAAAGTGACACACGTCTGTTTGTAGGCAGTTTGTGGCGTTACATCACAGTCTGTTAAAACACGGTGACACTCGCAGTGCCAACTGTTGAATATGGGAGAAATGTTTTAGACCGTTTTGGACCGACCATCCCATGAGCCGCACCGCCGGCCTCGCTGAGAACATTTTCCACAGATCGCAAGGAATTGTCAAACAAAAAAACTAGTTGATTCCTCTTTTAGAAAAAACTAATGTTTTCTTCTTGCAGCCCACGGCAGCTGCCTTGAAAGGAGCCATTCAGCTCGGCATTGGTTACGCTGTGGGAAACCTCAGCTCCAAACCAGACAGAGATGTTCTCATGCAGGACTTCTCTATGGTGGAGAGTGTTTTCCTGCCCAGGTAGGCCGCTCAATACCGCACATTTGTGTGTGACATTCAGCTGATGCACATAATGAAAGTTGAGATAGAGTTTGGACCTATTGAACGAGCATTAGATTTATTGGTTGCTAAGAGAATTTCAACAAACAACAAATACATGGACCACCAATAGAAGAAAAGTCGCCCAAATTACAAAACAATGCATTATCTTTTTCTATCTAGACATTCAGAGAGTTTTGTTTTAGTCAATGAAGTTTTGAAATATCACAATGATGGTTCACCACAATGAAAAGTGTGTGTGTGTGTGTGTGTGTGTGTGTGTGTGTGTGTGTGTGTGTGTGTGTGTGTGTGTTTGTACGGCTATATATCTGTACGTAAACGTAAATATGTACATACAGATACAACCAGCATCCAACCTTTTGTATAAAATAGAGAGAAAAGTCACTTCTTTTTCACAGTTTACAACCTGATTATCTTGCCTGTGCTTTGGTAGAAAACTACACGTTTCAGCCATCGGTCCGTTTCACAGCAGGCTTTATGATATATTCTTTTTTCTTAACTTGTGTCAACTTTTCTGTTGTCCAGTGAGGGCAGCAACCTGACTCCAGCCCATCACTACCCAGATTTCCGTCTGAAAACGTATGCACCGCTGGCCTTCCGCTACTTCCGAGAGCTGTTTGGCATCAAACCAGACGACTATCTGGTCAGTGTGGAAATGACCACTGTCGCTGTGATTCAGCGCGATGAGGCGGAGGTTTCGGGTTGATTCGGTCGCCACACTCCTTCCCGCTAAGACTGTTGCCTTGTTGTGGATTGCAGTACTCCATGTGTAACGAGCCCCTCATCGAGCTGACCAACCCCGGCGCCAGCAGCTCCTGGTTCTACCTCACCAGCGACGACGAGTTCATCATCAAGACGGTGCAGCACAAGGAGGCCGAGTTCCTGCAGAAGCTGCTTCCTGGTTACTACATGGTGAGCTACTTCCTAGAACGCAAGCTCCCTCTCTGTTTGCATGCAGAGATTAAAGGAACACTTTGGACAAACGGTTTACATCATAGGAATACAAGTCATCACCCTGTGACCTGAAACGTGTTATTCTTTAACAGCATTATCTACTATCACGACCCAAAGTGAAAATACTCCATGTGTTTTCTTTCTTGCATGCCAGCAGAATGTTTTTGTAGTTGAAAACCATTTGTTTGCACATTTAATTCCTTTGTGTGGCAGCACCATCAACAGTCAAACAATGGAATAGCATGACCATCAAAATCCTTTACCGTGTACCTCCTAAAGTGAAAGACAAATGCATCAGCAATGTCCTTCCTATTCAAAATGTTGTCCTTTCTCTCCCTGTCTCTGTAGAACCTCAATCAGAACCCGAGGACGCTGCTGCCCAAGTTCTACGGCCTCTACTGCATCCAGTGCAGCGGCGTCACCGTCCGCGTGGTGGTGATGAACAACGTGCTGCCGCGCGCCATGAAGATGCACTACAAGTACGACCTGAAGGGTTCCTCGTACAAGCGGCGCGCCTCGCGCAAAGAACGGCTCAAGTCCTCGCCCACGTTCAAAGACCTGGACTTTCAGGAGATGCACGAGGGCCTGCACTTTGACCCGGACACCTACAGCGCCCTGATGAAGACCCTGCAGAGGGACTGTCGGGTGGGTCCACGCAGTGACTTTAGATCCGTCAGCAGAAGGTCATGGTGTTGGTTCTCTCGATCCGATCCGAGTAACTGCGAGGAGAATCTGGGAGTTCGCTTGGCACCGCATTGTAGGGGAATATTTTTCCTCTCAATCATTCTAGAACGCTTATTTATTTCACAACCCAAATCTTCAGTGATTCAATGTTGACGTGAGGTTCATGTGACTAAAAGTCTTAAGTTTAAAATATATTGTTGGACAGAACAACAAAAGCCTTGCCTCGTGTTTTTAGGGTGATTGAATTCAAAAGGGTTTATCCTCAGGGGAACAAGAGTATTGTGAACATTGTGGATGGAAGGTGGCTTCCATCCACTATTAGAGATAGTTTATAATCCATCTTAACAATTGTTTGGCTACAAAAAGACATTTAAACTAATATGGATAATCTAATCTTTTGTGTCAGGTCCAAACGGGACGTTCTGTAGTCAAACAAATAGTAGGTTTAAATTCGCTTGACCTGACGTGAATCAGACCAGCGATCGGGAAACTTATGCAACCGTGTGCTGTTGTAATGGCCTCATTAGCGCCTGTCTGTTGTTCCATTAGTACGAAACAACAGTGTGCCACTTGATAAAGGATTAACGGCCAACGCAGCAAAGCACCTGACTGGTGCGCACAGGCTGAGCAGCTGGAGCTGCTCTTACGCCCCCTGTACATGACCTCAGTCACTGTATTAGCAAAGTAAAGGCCTCTTTGTTTGCAGGAGCTACTTCATGACATCACTGTATTTATCGTTTGAAGATCAAAGTTTAGCCGTTATAATTGGGACCGGCGTAAAAAAAAAAAAAAAAAAAGAGTACAGGTAATGTGTCTTATCAACCAACTCATTGCTAAAGGGAAGATACCTGTAGGTAAATAGTTCAATAAATACCTGGAAGGTCACATCAGAACGCAGAACGACCGTTTCGACCATTTACCGCCTTTGGAAAAAGTTTGTCAGCTCCATTATGATTTTTTTCTTTTTTTACTTTAGCTTCTGTCCCCTTTCCGTGTCACGCCAGGTCCTTGAGAGCTTTAAGATCATGGACTACAGTCTCCTGCTGGGGATCCACGTCTCAGACCGGAAGCAGCTGGTCAGAGCGAACCGATGTGACAGCAGGAAGGGACAGAAAGTCCTCTACTCCACCGCCCTCGAGTCCATCCAGGGGAACGCAAAGGCCTCCGAACCAGCGGCTGACGACGACACGTGAGTCCTTTCTTTTGTAATTTCGTCCTCTTTTACCGTCTGCTTACACATTTACAAACGTGTAGAATCAAAACCAACTTCAAACCAAAATGTTCCGTATTCATCACAAAGAAATATAATAATCCTTCATATCGTTCAAAACATTGGTGTTGGCTTCATTGACCATATATGTTGGGAAATGCTACAAATACGACTCCAACAAGTAATAAAAGAGTTCGAATCCAATTTTGAAGCCAGACGTTACCTGTTTTTGTTTCGGAGTGGCTCGGGGAGCCGTCCTCGTCATTCTAGCCGGATCCAATAGGATCTGCAATAAAGTCTGCAATAAAGAGAGTTGCTCAACTTCACTCTATCAATTTTCAGGCACCTCAAAAAAAAATATTCCGGTGTTATATTGATTTGATTTCTTCACCATATAAAATGTTTTTTACACTTTTATCCTTACAGAAAATGCATTGTCCAGATGTACATATTAGTTATATGCCATTTTTGGAGCAGAGGCCACAAAAGTGTGCTTTGGTCGAGATGACACCTCTTTGAATATGGGGATGATTTTCCTGCTGATAGCATTATAGTGACCATTCAAAGCTGTTTTTCTATACTCTTAATTTAACTGAGAAGATGATAAGCTCCATGGCGATAACGCTCTCCTTTTGCAGATTGGGTGGAATTCCTGCACAACATAAAGATGAGAAACTTCTCATCTTTTTAGGAATCATAGACATCCTTCAGTCCTACAGGTGAGCAAATCTGGATACATTTGGATAACAACATTCTTAATACTTTTCTTAGTTGAAGTGTTCTGTATTAAAGCAATAAGGTACGAGAGGCTGTACTTTATCGTCCAATAATGTAACAGTTCAGGGGCTTGTTAGGTTTGTGGGATTTTGGGTTCGTTTTTCGGCGATTGCCATCGAGCTAAAAGCAAAAATGTCAACTAACGGTCGCGCAAAATCCAACCTGTTACTTTGAGTGCGCAGTGACATGGAACGCTCGGGTCAATGTGAACAGCAGCTGTACATTATCGCCCAATAATGCACCCCTCGTCACTCACTCTCAACCAATCAGAACGCTGGATTTCATCTGCCCGCATTATAATAAACAATTAATTGACAGTGGAACAGCTGATGACGTACCTGTATGTATTATTACATCTGCTAGGTTCATCAAGAAGGTGGAACACTCCTGGAAAGCTCTCGTGCATGACGGGGTACGTTACCGCACGTTCTTCTTGCTGTGTGTTTTCTCCTTACAACCGTCATGAATCTGACGCTATTCTTCTCTCCTCAGGACACGGTGTCGGTCCACAGGCCCGGTTTTTATGCGGACAGATTTTTGAAATTCATGGGCTCAATTGTTTTCAAAAAGATGCATCGTAAGTTGTTGAGCTGAGATCCTGCATTCTCCCTTCTGCAGAAAGCGTGAGATGAGTGGGCTTCACTTTGACAGTCACTCTTTCTATTCGCGTCCCTCAGCTTTAAGAGGAGCGTCTTCAAAGAGGAAGAAGAATTCCTTCTACGCGGTAAAGTCCGCCTCTCAGGAGTTTCTGTCCCCGCTGAAGGAAGAGAAGAGTGAGGAGAAGAAAGCCCAGAGCCTGGACAACCTGGATGGAGACTGTAAGCGTAAGGAAAGCATTTAGGATGATATTCTGGGATGTTTTGCAGGAGGAGGCGTTGCTCGATTTGCTTATTGATGATTTGATTATTACAGTTTACAGTTCCTCCAAGCAACCAGATCTCCTTCCGAGAGTTTCTTTTGAGCCCACGGGAAACGACCAAGAGGACCTTGAGAACAGGTACTTTGGACGCAGCACCTCTCAGATTTATGTTCTTTGTCTGATTTCCAAGAATTCACAAAAGTTGATATGGTCTAAATGCATTCAAAATGAAATATACTGTGACTAAGGGTGACTAAAGTTGAGGGGGAAACCCTGCATGTTCGCAACGACGTGCCGTATCTTTAACAGTAAAATGTCATCATGAACTCACCTGAATACTCTTGTGCCTCTTTTTGCTGCAGTGAAGCCCGGCGAGCCTCCAGTTCAACCATCGCTCTGGACGACCCCCTGGCGTCTCTCAGCGGGAGCCCCGCAGACTCCGAACTGGACGTCTACTTGGTATGAAAGGATTCTAAATACATGGGGGGGGGGCAGTTTACTAGACTTCCTCTGAAGGCAAACAAACCTGACTACCAGCACATCTTTTTCACAATTGTCACATCGTTATTACAGTTTTTTTCCCCCAATTAATACAACATTTTCTTGTAATATCCACTTTTTACAAAATTCAAACTGTATTCTCACAACATTGCCACTTTTTCACAAACACAATTAAGACAGTGGGCCGAATATTTTGTTCGCCCGGGGGAATTTGGGCGCATCATTCAGGATGAATCCAGGGGTCACTGGGTGTCTCTGCATTTCCAGGGTCACACAGACTCACCCAGGGGACCCAGCTGGAGTTGAACAGTCGTTTGTGTCTCAGCATCCACAATGTAAGCAGCCAATGACATCTAAGGACTATTATAATGATTTTTTTTTTTTTTAACTGATCTTCTCTTCTGGGGAAAAAAACACTGTTTCTGTCTGTGCCTCCAAAAAAAGGCTCAGCGGTCCGGATGCTGACTCACATTTGTATCAGCAGAGGAAACTGAATAATCTCTTGCCGCTATCCCAGCATGCAGCATCCGATGCGTCACGTCTTCCTGGTACTTTCTTGGGTTCTAGAGGCCCCACTGGCATCCTGTGACGTCAATGCTGCATGACTCAGCTGAGCAATCTCCACACCCCAGCGGCCTTCAGTCCTTAAGTCTGTCGGCCCGAGAAACCTCAACGAATCCCCTTTTCTACGGCGCTTTTCTTACGTAACCACCAAATCCTTATTCAAGCTTATATGAAGTGGTTCTTCAGCCCACATTAAGCAGTTCTGCTGATTCTGCTCTCTCTCTGGGAGGCCTGCAGATGTTGGTGTTAATCTGATCTGAAAGCCTCTGACAAAAACTACAGCATAATGAGGGCAAAGGGGAAAATGAAGGCCTTGGACTTCTCTGACAGCCATTTGTATTTTTTTAACCTTCAAACAAGAAGCACCATAACTTTTTTTGCTTGTTTTTAAACTGTGTGTTTCCTTCTTCTTAGGTGGCCACTGGTTTTCAGTTATTTTAGTATGGTATGAAAATCTAAGTTTAAATACACAAAACTTACTTGAGCATTGAAATATATTCGATGTTCCTTTTGACGGTAACCCTCACTGTCGGTCCAAACCAAAAACACCAGACAAAATTCTGCTTTATTGTTTTTGGCATTCATCAGGAGTAATCCAATATTCATTGCTCTGATGGGACGTCCTCGCAGAAATAAACTGGAGCCTAAACTCAGTCTGTGCCCGACGCGTTTAAACTCAGCGAACAAATTAAGAAACCAGAACCTGATCCAAAGGCCAAAGCTAAATTTCTACTAACAATCATCTGTTACCTATTACTGACCATTAGCATGCCAGGCCAAGGCCACACATTGTCAGTGTCACTTTCCCTCAGCATCGCATCTCAGTCAACACGGTGGAAAGATGGACTCAGGTGATTTAAACATTCAAGAAAGAGAGAGGGCAAAGTTTCTATATAAATCACATTTAAAAATGTTACCCGAAACCTGACCTGAGCCCTCATACTTTGTCATGAGATCAACACCTCTCTTTTTGTTTTTAATTGTACTTTTTCCCTGTATACTGTAATGAATGGACTCTGGAGACAGACTCAGACCCAAGAGCAGAGCTCTCAATGTTTATTTAGGACGACAGGCAACTGTAGACTCAAGGGATAAGGCAATACGGGGAATCCGGGGACAGACAGTGGTTCGGAGGGAATAGGCAGGTTCGTAGTCGAGAGAAGGCGGAAGGTCGATACACGGAAGCTCACTGGTTCTATAGGAATTAGGAATAGGTCTCCTCTCTCGTGGGTGTTCAGAATTCTGGTGATTGGCTCCGGAGGACGCGTTCTTCAGCGCTCCCTCGCGGACATATACAACTGGGATTGGATGTGCAAACATTCACTTTCTTTGCTTTGAATAATGGGGCTGCTATAGCATGGTTTAATTGAATTGTTTGACTTTCCAAATATAAATAATAATGTAACATTTTTTCCTTTAGGTCCTGTAATCTATTCCAGTGGAGATTGTGAATCTTCTAGCTTTAATTAGTTTGACTCAAATCACCAACAAAGGGAAAACAATAACCCCTCTTTGTTTTCTAGTGAGGGGCCAAGTTGAATCCTGACCTTTGACCCCCTGGTCCCACAGCTTCGAGACATCAGGACGTCACATTAGTGTAAATGTGGCACAAACAGTCTCACCACTGTGAGCAACACTTTGTGCCTCTATGTCTATTCCTTTTTAGGCCAAAGTGAAAGTGCCAAATCACTGGTTCTGTTAGAAATCCCTTTAATAACAGACGGGGATGTAGTCTGTATTTCTGTGTTAAGATCATTGAACCACTGTGGTTATATAGAACACTATGATGCCGTTTCCTCTCTTGTTATTTGCACTTTGCTGCTAATTTAACAGTGCTAACAAAGAAAATAGAGTTTGATGATGTTCATATGTTATCAGCGGCTGGATCCCTGAGGAAAAATATTTTCTTGTATCTTAATTAGCTACAGAGAAAAATAATGTTATTTTTTAATTATTACATCGAACAGATTTGAGATATTATTCTGTTGAGGGTGTACAACCTAACAAACTTTATGTAAAACTCATTTTCCCAATTTGTGTCGAACAATAAATCTTTATTACAGAAGATAATAATTAATTTGTGCTATTTTTAAACTCAAATCTGCTACATTCCTTAGTCATTAAGGTACATTTTTAAGGTACATTTGATCTATTGAATTATTAAAATGAACGTCTGCTTTAAACATTTTTTTAATCCTGAAGATATATGACGATCATATTGTATTTTATTCAACCGTCTATTCTTTTTGGCTTCAAATGTTTAAAAATCTTTACTTTTGTGTGATTTATAGGCCTACAATTGTATTATAGTGACTTGTGTCTGAACTTGTATCTGTGAAATAAATTAAAATCGTGTGTTCTTATGTCTTTTATATTTTTTTATGAACCTATTTATCCAGTATTTTGATAGTAGAATGAATCACTGCGTCACATACAGTATACAGGGTCGTCGTGGCGCAGGGGGTGGAGCGGGTGCACTGGGAACCGCAAGGTTGGTGGTTCGAGACCCGGCTGCTCCATGTCTCAGGTTGAAGTGTCCCTGAGCAAACTGCTCCCCGGGGAAAATGTAAAGCCATGGGTTTGACATATTGTTTGACATATTTTGGCTAATAAATGTTTCCTTAAAGTGTAACGTAGAGGCCGGCGCATGCTTCTGCGTCTGCGTCTGCGTCGTTGCGTCGACGCACTCGTTTCAATTCATGGTTCTGCGTGTGTTGCAGAGCAATTCACCGCCAGAACAACAGGCGGAGTAACGTTGCTTTTCATCGCGGACACATTTGTCCCGTATTTTCCTCCACAACTTTGTGCACCTCTCGACCGGCAAACCGGCGTGTGCGGCGATCTCCCTCCATGAATCCAACCCGCCAATGACGGCTTGTATAAGCGCTCATATTTACGCATTTCTTCCGACAAAAGTTCCTAAATCTGATCCGTTCTCTCGTAAACATTCTTCGTTTTAATAACGGCGGTATCGGGCTATGAAAGCGGAAATGTGAGACTCGCAAAGGACGTAGTTAGCGGACCAATCGCAGCCTGGTGCGCTGCGGGAGGCTCGCGTTGCTTGCCTAGAAAAATGGCTCGACACACGCAAGGACGCGAGGAGGTGTGAAAAGCGACGCAAGGGACACGCAAGGGGGTCTTGCGTCTGCGTCGCTCTGAAAACGCAGAAGCATAAACTAGGCTTAAGTCGCTTTGGATAAAAGCGTCAGCTAATTGACCTGTAATGTAATGTATAATTACAATCAAACACGGACGATTGAAGTCATTCAATCACTTGCCATATTTCATTTCAACGCGGGGGGGCGCAGCAACGTTATGATCAGTGCTAGAGAAGGACGATACAGCAGGTGGTATAAGGTTTACCTGTGCTGAGCATTCCTGTACGAGTGGATCACGTGGGATCTCTTTACCAATCTGATCACATGTAATATCTGATCCTGCGCCCGTCTTCGCCCACCAGCTTTACAGAGCAGAGAGAAGCTGCAGGTTTAGAGGAATTAGGTTAATCTGACTCGGATAGAAACATCTGCCAGAAGGGAAAGTTAACCAGGAAGATTGGCACATTCTCTGTTTTAAAGTGTGATTTTAAATAAGTCTGCGTTTAAGTTGAGATTTACCTTTTGTAAAACGTAACAATACTGTCTTAAGCAGAGATAAAACACATATTCATCCGCATTACTGAAGATGTACCGCAGCATTTACTCAAATCCATGAGATCAAACGGTGGTGTGAGGATCAGAGCGATTGTCGAGTTTCATTCAGACAACAACAAATTCAGCTTTTACTGGGCCTTCCGAATGTCAAGGGTCTTAAACTGAACCAGTTAAATCAGTCAGACAAGAACCCAAATCACAGGCCGCCGTTACTTTTGGACCTTGGCCATAAGCACATGAGTAATAGCCAACAATAAAGTAAATGGGTTCACAGGTGCCATCACTTGGTTAATGAATATGGTTGTGAGTCTTTGCATTGGTATTCAGAGGGAGTCTCAGGAAATAAATGAAGTTGATAAACTGAGGTGAAGAAGAAAGAAACAAGAAGAACAAAGACATTCTTCAATTATAACATGTATCACTCATTGTTTATACAAATTAACCCCTCTTAAACATGGCCTATTTATTGATGGAATTAAAAACAAACTTATTTTTCCCATCCAAGAATCAATAAATGAAATAACCATCTTCTAAAGGGTTTATTGATACATTTATTAAGTATTTTCTGTTTGGCCAGTTAGATATCTGTTAATAGAATATCTATTAATAGAATACTAATAGAATGCTTTAATCACTGATATGACACCTGTGGTCCACATTTCACATGTGAAACCGTGTGGCAACATCAGTATTTCATTCGTACACACCCCCAAACAATGATTTGTTTATTACTAGTGTTAACTGTACATTTCCCTCTCACTGTGGATCAAATCGGTACCAACTAGTTGTAAGTGATGAATCTTTTAGTGCTAAAGATTAAAATGTCTTCCTTTTACCTTCTGGTGACGAGTCTCTTTGTTACTGAGTCATCTCGCCACCTTTAGGTTACAGGATGGGTGACTCAGTGCAGTATCCCCAGTGTCCGCGCCCACCGCGAGTCACGTGTCGAAACTAGAGGTTGGGGCCGCACGCAGCTCTGCACACAGCACACCTGCGCGGGGTAAGGCACGCCCACATACCTGCGAGAATCAGGAAGTGGCAAATACATATTTCGGACCAGACGAAAACAAAATACTCACCAGAACACCACGTCCTCGTCCACCCAACGCGCATCTTATCTTTCCGTCTTTATCGGCTCTGGACAGGAAACAGACGGATTTTCACCTGGTGAGTAACGTCAGGTGTCGTATTGTCTGACCGCGATGTCGACGTGTTCTCGCCGTGTTTCCTCGCGCTCATGGCCGTACGTGTAAAGCGTTACACCGATGCGCGCGCGAGCCACGCAGCTTTATCGTGGCGGTTTAAGTAATAACAGTTTGGAGGTGACGTTAAATGTGTCAGGCCACTTTTACGCCTAATGTGAGCAGCAGTGTGCGCAGGCCTCAGTGCGTGTTTGCGCGCGCGCCCGCGTGTGCGTGTGTGTGTGAGAGAGCGCGCAGGTGCGCGCGCCTTCTCCCATTGAGTTGGTTCAATGTAAATATAAATCAGTAGGCACACAGAGTGGGGCTGGGCTGCTGCTGGAAAGCCGTTGTTGAACCCGTGTGGCCCTTTTGGAAACCAATTATGTTGCTTTTCAACATGAACTTCGTCTATTATAGACGTTTCTGATATTTAATCTACCACGCCTTGATATACACTCACTCGCCACCTTGCTCTAAACTCGTATTGTCCAAGAAAACTGTCTACAAATCAGTTGAAATTCTTGAAAAGACGTAAAGATTTAACGTCCCTTTGGAGCATGCAGTTTACTGCTGCAACATGATAAGCAGTGTTCTCCATTTGCATTCATTATTCAGTTTATAGTACTGGTACTGGGACACGGCCACTTCCCTCCAAACAAGCCAATTAAAATTGTTCACAGCAGACAATGTGACTTTTAGGTATTAATTCAATTGAACAGAAAGCTCAGTTTTATACGAACGTATAAAGCTGGCATCCTGTTGCCAGATACTGACGTTTAATTGCAGAATGTGAACTCTTTTTCAGGTCTCTAAGCCCAAAACCATACTAAGAACACGCTGTGTGGTCCTCAGTGGAAGGCAGCTGAGCACTTATTCCTCAGATTACATTGTTTCATTTCACCGTCTCTTGAAAGAAGAAGAAAACAACTGTAGGAAGGACCAGAGGCTTCTGTTTCATGCAAAACTGTAATATCTCCACTCTTGTTTACCACTCTGTATCAACCTAGTGATCCAGATTGTACTTGGGGTGGGAACATGCAAACACAGTTTCTCTTCCTTCTGCCAGCCAATCGCTGCCCCTCCCTCTCTCCTCCCTCTCCTCACCGATTTGTGAGTGGCATGTGTCCCTCCATCTGTCTCGCACATGCATTGCGTATGGACATTGCATAATGGGCTTGGCCCTTGAACAAACTGCTTATGTAAAAGCATTAAGATGACCAAACAAGTCAGCCTCTATTTGCTTACCCTGTTGAAGAAGAAGAACAAAATAGAAGACATTGCCATTAAATGGTGATAACGTGCTTTGACAAAGCAAGTGGGCAAAGTGCGATTTGCTCTTTCACTGTTTAAGTGTTGAAAGAAAAAAAATCCTCTGACCTGCATGTTTGATTCGGGTCACATTTAGAGAATGACTGAGAGAAATTGTGATTTAAATCAGAAAGGTTTATGGTGGATTTAGAAAAACCCACTTGCGACTGTCATTACCATTGCTAAGTATTTCTACAAATGCTTTTAGAAATGCTGGCCGATCACTTGTACTCTTGGAACTTAGAAAATAAAGTGCACCATTAAATCTTGTGAAATGTGCACTGCAAATATTATCCAAATAGTTCCAATGAGCTGGCCAGCGTTGGTGGGTGTGTCTATCTGTGGGGGAGAAACGGAAATCAGATTCAAATGATTCGTGTTGAAAAAGTACAACTGCAGCAGAGCCAAAAAAATCCAAAGAAGCTTAACAGGTTTTTCAAATTTTGGATAGAAATTGAATACAAGTTGCCATCTTGCAACCAGTCATGCCGTAGAAGCCGTGAACTGTTGAGCTTTGAGGAGCGAGTGTGCTGAGGAATGATGTTTGTTTTTAACAGCCTCACTTATTTAAGCACAGAAACTAGGAAACCGTTTTTAAAGGGAGTGGAGGGACGTTTAGTGATATACACGTATTTGCATTCTTACAGACACTGCTGTCACATTAGTGCTGTAAATCGGCCCTCGACATGTGCAGGATGAACAAACCGATGAAGTTGTTGAGTTGTGTGACAGTTAAAAGATGTTAAAACGCACAGTAGACTGGAGCGAAGTCAGGCCTTTATCTATGGGTCGGTCCCTGCAGGACACCTCTTTTTTAAATCACACATATGATCCATTGTTGGGTTTTATTCAGCTGTGAAACACCGAAGAGTGCAGGTCTGGGCTCCCTCGTGTGTTGTGTTTGCGCATTTTAATCCTAAATGGGGTCTGAATCCCTACACAACTACCTACACTCTATCAGGAAGCAGTCCGGGCTGGATGAGGGTCCAGTGTGAGATTACTGTAAAGTGTTGGATTATGACAAAACCACCTGTGAATGTCAGTGATTTCTGCACAGTTTATCGCCTTGTTTTGCTCTGAGTCTTCTAAGCACGACTCCTAACAAAGACGTCTCCTCGTTTTCTACTTCTACCTTTGTGCCGTTGTTACTCAACACTTCTCATTTTAATGATGGGAGTGTGTTATTTTTGTTTCTCCCCCGCTGTGCTCCTGGTATTTTTAGCCCCCCCTTGGAGCGCTGAGGGATTTCTGCTGCTCCATCAAATCTGCAGCAGCTCTCACGGCGCGACCATCCAAAGCCGTAATCCAGACATCCAAGCAGCTGCAATGTAAATCCTGTCCAGAGTTTGCATTGGCTCCGTGATGTACGTTTAATCTGTGCCGTGGCGTGCCAGCGTCCGGCTCAGGTGAGGCAGTCAGGGGGAGTTCGGGTTGTATTATTGAAATGTACCAGAAACAAAGCTCACGCGAGCAGCTAACAATATACAGATTGATGTTTTAGGCGACGTAAGGGAGGTCAGATTTGATCTACGGCTGTCATGTTTATGACATTGGTCTGATTTCGAGTTTGCTTCATCAGCTTGTTACACGATGGAGGCTGAGATAATTTCCCCGGGTCCTGGCAACCTAAAGCTGAACTAAAAACACAAGGTTTAACTTGACTCCAGGCCATGTGTTTTTTTTTTCTTCCACTTCAGTGGCCCGGTTTGAATAAATTGGGTGGCTGCAGTTAATTCTTTATTTGAAATCCATTTGTGCTAGAACATGAAACAAAAGTCCAGTCCGTGTCTGTATTCAAATCAGAGACACTGTGTTCCTGAATGGAAGCCAGGGACCTTTTTCTTTCTTTTATCTTTATCTGTTGTTTTAACGCAGTGCTGCGTTTGTTCTGAATGTGGCCAGTTTTAAGAAGGCTTGCAAGATCCTGAATTATCCCACGGTGTTTTCTTCTTTGGTCACTTTGACCCCAAAACACTGAAACTGCTTCTTTGCAGGTTGCAATAAACCTGAGTCATAAACCCTTAGACAAAGAACAGATACATTCAAAGGATGAGCACCAAATAGCTGGTTTATTACCTGGTATCTTCCAGTGTAAACCATGGTCACGCTGCTCACATGTTTCTGTCTCTGGCTAACGTCACGCTGTCTGCTATGCGGCGGGATGTGCGCCTGGCGTAGGGAGGAATACGTGTTTCTGTCCTCTCTACATTTGCCAGATCCCAAATGTTTTCCTGTTGCAGAGGCATCGGCGAAGCTTCTATCTGTATTCGTAATCAACAACGTTCTAGCACAGATCCTGGTACATCGTCTCCCTGTGCCACTGAGCAGCACTGTTGTTCAAACACTCTTAAAAGCACATCAATGATCCACACTGTTACACTGGGTCACACGCATGGAGCATCCCTACTTTGACATAATCCCTTACTGACTTAAATACTCGCCAGAGCACCAAATATGTATTAATCCACAGCTCAAAAGAGTTTTCAGCAAATGCACCCTTTGCAGAAATTAGCCTTTTTAAGGGAATTAAACATACATATCTGTGGGATGCTGTCAAAGATTTTCATCAAACCCGAGACAGGATGGGGGAGGTCTGATATTTTCAGCCAGAAACGCATTATTCCGCTTCATTAAGTCACTGCATTATCAAAGGGGAACATCAAATGACTGAATCAAATCCTGAATCAGAATATGCCAAAGCAGCCGCAGAAAGTGGTTGGAGGCACATTTGAAAACAAGGTTTTCCACATAATCGAGGCACTGCTCCGAAAACGTGTTTTGTTCTCTCAAATCTGTCCCTGTTTGCGCTCAAATCTTGAAGTGCAGCTTGATTACAGCTTAAATGAGCTTAGTAGCAGTTGTCCTCAATAAACCCCCCCCCGTTATGGGTTAGCGCTGGCGGAGGGGTGTGCAAGGGTGAAGTAAAGGGGTCTGTCTGTGTGTAAATGTGTGAGAAGACTAAGCCTGGATGGGGGGATTACAGCAGAAGAGGGCGGAGAGCATCCATGCTCTGTCAGGGCTTAGTACCACAATTATACCAGCGGCGACGGCGGAGGCTGCGTTTTCATTAGTGTAATGTCCAGAGAAGCTCCAGAGTTACGTAAGAGTGACGCGCTGTCATCCTCTCTGGGCCGCCCCCCCCCCCGCCTGGTTGGAGCGTGGCTGTTTGTTTCCCCCTCGCTCCCTCCCTCGCTCAGCGAAAAAGCCAAAAGGACATCTGCCGTAGTGGGCGGCAGGGGACGGGACTCGTAGTCGCTGCGCCGCGGGGACCTCGCCGTGGCCCGCTGCCATGAGGAGGACAAACCTGTGGTGTTGATGGAAGGAGACGAGCGGCGGCGGAAGCGTTGAATGTGCCGGCGGGCCTCCTACATCTGTTGGAGGAGGAGGAGTTGACGGAGGTGCAGCGGCAGTCAGAGCAGCGTGATGTCGCCGCCGATAGAGAGTTAGAAGATGAAGTTTAAGAAGTTCATCACAATCATGCAGGCGGCCATAGGGATCGTGCCCCTGAACAAACGGGAGCTTCTGCCCCCCGGCAGGAAACTGTGGAGACCCCTGGGGTGAGTTGGCTCCCTTTTGTCCCGTCACCTTCTGCACGGCAATAGTCAACTGCATAATGTGGCAGAGAAATGATGGACCTTTTTAGTGTCTTGTTCAGGGAAGCACCAGATGGATTTCTTGTTATTCTTCACACTAATTTTGGGTTTATATGACCAGGATTTTGAGTCTTTGACTCATAGACCTTATATTGTCGAAATAAATATTGTTTATATTCTTGATAATTCAGGGTAAAAAAAGAAGCCACAAATGAAACTATCTGCATTGTTAGGCATCACCAGGAGTAAATAAAACATGTATTATGAACGCCGGCTTTTCTGGGTGGTTTGACTTTGATCGAGACTATTTCACACAACCCTTCTGATACACTTGGACATAAAGATTTGTGCCCCTGCTGCTTTGAAAGACAGACACACATGATCTTTTAGGTCAAGTCGTAGGCTGCTGTGTGTTAGGATGGGCGAGGACAGATCCTGAAGACGTCCACATTGTAGGTGTATCGAATCGCAGAGATTGTAGTATTGATTGTCATCTTACTTCTATTTTCAAACTTCGCCTCACCCCATTACCAGTAGATCCGCGCTACGAGAAGAACCCTATAGTTGGATGTCACCAATTTGCTCGCTGTGCTGATTGGAAGATCTATTTTGCATGTATCTCTTTCCTTGGGTGATGTATTGCGACTAGGGGCTCGGCGGTATGGCCAGAAATTCATATCACAGTATTTTGTGACACTTTACAAATGAATTCATTGATATCGAAAAAGATCGCAGGCCACCTGAACAGCTGTTCACCGCTCGCTGGCCAATGGGCGCCGAGATAGCTTGTTGTGTTGGCAGCAATACCAGCGGCTCAACAAACAATGCAATGAATAGTTAGTTAGTTAATAGTATAGTTAATTTATGTCAGATTTTTCACCCCAAACCCTCCATTGAATATCCATGTTTTATATCGAAATAACCATGACTCAATCTCTATACACACAACACAAGTAGCTCCGACCGCTACGCGATGAGGGGAAAAATAAATTCAGCTTCCTGCCGAAGAGCACCGTCAGTTACTACGGCGATACACGGTGTGACGGTGGGTGAAAAGCTCACACCGGGAGGAAATCTTATACTATACCGCCCAGCCCTGATTGCAACCAGATGATGATGATGACGATTATATCAGTTTCATTCCTTCTTTCTGCACTACCCTGAATGCATCACTTTGCAACACAATCCATTTCAAATAAAATACTTCTAAAAGTACTATAAACCGCTTATTTGAGATGCACGGATTATGTGTCGCTACATCCACAACCCGTCTTTATGTCCTAATGTGATTCCACTGACAGATGTCAGACATTATCATTGAATTATTAAACAGACACTTAAGTGATTAGTAGTTCAAACGAGGTGCATAACTTGTCAGGGAGGTAAAATGTAATGCGTTGTATCTTTATTGTGACAAAGTGGTTAAATGGTAGCAGCTGATTGAACAGATGTTTAAATGTGTTGGGGTTTTGTAATGTTTTAATATCCGTGCACAAACAATAACCTCAGTTATATCCGATTAAGCTTGAGACCAAATGTAGTTGGAATCTATTCCAGGAAGTGTTTGGGGTGTTCACCATGCAGGAAATGTCAAACAAAAGACATTGTGGAGCTGTAACATTGTACAGGAACCAGAGTTTCGGAAGCGTGATCTTTTATTAGGGTCAAGACTTCAAGGATCGCTGTTTATTGAAACATCACAAGCGCTGAGACGACGGGGAACATGCACATCTCCACAGAGCAAGAAGTTGATGCGGCCATTCCCAAAGTCTACATTCCTTTTTTGTCTTGTATTGACTAACTTGTTCCTGGAGATATGAAGTTGAGTCTACAAGTCTGTGCTTAACGTGTGAATGGTGGCGTGTTTAGTCATGCATGGGCCCTCAGTACTGTATCCAGCCAAATGATCCAAATGCATCAGAAACCCGCCCCCCCTTTCCTCCCCGCCTGACTCGCTGCCGTGAGGTTGAGAACGTCAGTAGTTTGAAATGGCGGGAGAACTCCACCCGTATGGGCAAATTAGTGATCAGGTCAGAGATACTCCTTTAGAAGTGAGGCTGCAGATTATAGTGGCGTGTGAGCCAGGTCTCCTCTGGATTTACTCCGAGCCACCGTTTTATTCTCTCCATTTATAGCCCTACTTCATTGTCTGGTCCTGTGATATTTTCTGGGTACAATGTGAAAGATCATGACTTCTTTAAATTACTTTGGATTGAACAGTCCGAAAACCAATCAATTAGACAAGACTATTCACCATTACATAAAACACAAAGAAGCATATTCAAGAAGCTGGAGGATAGTTTTGCCTGTTTTTATGGTGGCTGTTACACTTTTCTCCGGACTGAAATATTTCAACAATATTGTTATGAAATTTGCTGCAGTTTCTACGGAGCCCAGAGAATGAACACGTGGCCTTTGCTGATCCTCTGGCAGCAAGCTCCCACTTCTCATTGAAATATCTCAACATAATTATGTATCAGGCATGTGACTGTGTCCCAAGTCTGCACTTAAAGGGACAGTGCAGTGAGTATTGCCCGTTCATAAAGTCAGTAAACTTTATGAACAAGAAAGGGGTCAAAATCAATAGAGGGAGTTTCAGTTATTTCAATTTGTAGTCACAAATAAGGACTCTGACCTCCAAGAACTATGCATCCTACATTTCCCACAATGCAACTGAATCGTGGCTTTTATTAAAATCTTTTCTCAAACACGGCTGTGAAATCCCGAGCTGATAATAATAATAATAATAATGACATCATCACAGGTTTTTTTCTCAGAGAAGATTTGGTCTCATCGATTAATTTTTTTGTTTTTGTGTAACATCCTTACAGTAAGAGTTTTATTTTAAAAATGTGTGTTTCCCTGTGTGCCTAGGGACCAACCTGGCTCCGAGCAGACCAGCACTGATCTGCTCAAGTCCAACCGCAAGTTCCGCTGGTCCAGAGAAGCCCACTACTTGTACCTTCGCCGCCTCTCTTCACGCAGCTACTCTGCTATTACGATGGTACGTTCTCCGCGTCGTGTTCCTCTGCGATGCTCCGTTGCCAGAGCGACGCAGAGTCCGGTTTTGATGTGGTCCTGGCGACCTGTCTCACCGTGTGTTTCAGTCTTTTTAAAAGCAAAATGTCTGCACCAGTTGCAAAGCTGGCAATCCATTCAGAGAGTTTAGGCTTGATCGGGTCACATGGCTGCATGAGGCGGTGGGTTCATGACATCTGATTGGACGCCTACTGTGTGATGGCTGTGATGAAGATTTAGACCTTGCTTTTCCTTATGTTCATGCTGCTTTAGCGGTTTACATGCTTTCACATCACTTGGATGATTGTGTGTTCATAATCCCATCACTGTATAAAATGAAAAATGCATGCATTTTTTCTGCTTATCCAAAATGTATTTGAAAGCCGCAAACAAGGCTACTTGTGTTCTGCCATGCTAATGATTTGAAGATATCATATTTTCCCAGACTTCTTTACTTATTTAAATAAAGTACGCTTCACTGACCCCATGCGAATCCAGGATGATGATTAACCAAAGAGACATGTTGGTCATGTCCCGGAAGCGTCATTGTTTTAATGAATTGGCCACACAAATTATTCAGGCCGATGAAGCTGTTTTGCATTTGGTGGCCTATTTTAAGGCATATTTGGCATATTTCAGCTATTGAAATATGTTGAATTTGACATGATGGGCCAGAGTCGATCTGAAATGTCATTATGTCATTCCCAAAGTGCTTATACACTGAAGTTTGACAATATGCCTCAAATGTTCTTTTTAGCAAGCATAAAAGCTAAAAGTAATTTGTTAAAGTAGTGAATAATGACAGCAAGCGATTAAACTGCACGTGGTATCGGGGATTTGGAACATTTTTGGAGTCAGCTGGCGTTCTTATCTGTGATTTGTCTTGTTTATAAACTACTGGATTAGGGCGGACTTGAATGGATGGAGTTGATAGTATTACACACACACGAATGCACACACATACTCACACACACGAAAACAATAGCTTATTGTGGTACAGCTGCACATGGACATAGTTTTCTAGACTTGTTGTTCAGGAGTTCATGTGTATGAGTTCTACAACCTTTACAAATATTTGTTTACATCTGGTCTGGGGTGTTTTCTCATTCTTCCAGTAAAAGTAAATCTTCACTCTCCAGCATACAGTGATAAATAAGACTTGTGTGTTTCCAATTGTTTTTTACAGCAGCTTGTCTAAGGCCCCTTCCTGTTTTTAAAATGTCCCCTGTTCACAAAGGCGGTTCCATCAACAAATGTTTTCTTTGTTTGCTTTGGAGGAAATTCACTGGTTGAACTGGAACTGCGACTGTAATCATTGTTTGACCTCACTAAAGGCCATCTAGTGTTTTTTCTACACTGCGGTGCTTTTTCCTCTATTCTTGGATGCAGTTGTGAGGAATTAAGAGAACAGATACATTTCAAACTCCACGTCAAGGGCGTGGTGGAATAGGTCACTTTGGAGTGAAACGCTTTGACTTTTCACACACATTAAATGAACATTGATGTGCCTCTGTAGAGCATTTGCTGGTTTCTTTGAAATTCCCTCCACCTACTAAAATATATATATATTTTTTAATTGCATTTCCTAAGTATGTTCTGCGGTATGCTGTGTTAAATCTGTTTGCTTCTGTCTGGAAGCCTCACAGCTTGCTCCTCAAAAATCAATGGGAATTCTGGACGGATCCATGTTGGTGGTGTTGATCTTGCGAGCGCCCGCTACACTTGTATCTATAAAGCGATCATCGGTTCGTTATTACTGATAACCAAACGAGCACTTTGTTAATATCAAGTGAGTCTGTTATACACTGTTTTAGCTTTATGTTATGTATCACAGTTTATTTTAAGACCCCCCCCCCCCCTCTCACCCCCATGCTGATATTTGGTATGATCTAACCGAGCCAGGAGCCGTCGGCGCTAGTTTTTGCTCTGAATGTTTACTCTTAATGTTTGGAGTAATAGATCATGTGCGATACTTCAATTTAACAAAGTAGGCAAAACTTTAACACTTGTTAAAAACTTTAAACTCGAGTGTCATCAAGACTTTGATCCACACCCGACCGGAAAGGTGAAAATAGTTTTTGTTTTGATCTGAAGTCCCCGTCCCGGGCAGTTCAAAGTGCGTGATGCCAGTAAACGGAGGAGGGCTGCTCTCGCTGAACAGATACACAACACAGTATTTTACCGTAAGTACTCGCATTCAAAAATACACGTGTTGATAGACGATAGCAGCACCGATATACTCCTGTTACAGTATTTTGTATTACAGCATTTTTTACTCGCGAGTTCCCTTGGACGCCTGTTGCATCTTGCTACACCTGCTGTGATGCTAAGCTAGATGTCAGCTAGTGGCGTTACTTCACGTTACTTCAGTTTACAGAAACGCGTTCAAAGTGAATACGTTCAGTTCAAAACGCTGTTTTGCTTCTATAACTGTTGATGCTGTATCGACCTTTCCCGTAGTTGATGCTATTGTCTCATTTAAAGTGCGCTTCCTTGTGGTTCTCTGATGGTGTAATGCGGCCCTGCGGCCAGCAGGGGGCACACACGCTCAACCGCTGTCATCATCACCTAATTCTAATTAAGGAGGGTTCTACATTTCATTAGTTGCGACATATTGTATATGTGTCCTAAAGCTAAATATATTTAGTTGAACAGATAATAACTGGCATGCTTCCTGTGAGGACTGAGATCGTCCGATTCAAATATATTCAGTGTATTTTTTTCATTCAAACTTAATTTACATTTCCAAAATATTTTGAATGTTTTCAGTACAATTTCACATAACCAGGTTCTTCCTTTATCAAGTTTCCAGATGTGTTTTATTGGTACCGGAACAAATTTTGAACAATACCAGCTCGTTGAGCCATGAGCTGAAACAATAAATTAATGAAAAATACTTATCTGCGGAAATTAGTCTCAAACATGTGTCAAAAGCTCTTAATAGCACTATGTTTCTGTAACCTCCGCTCACATATTGTGTTTATGTTGGTGTAAGAGTCATCGTCTCCTTCTCTGAATAATTTGTCCTGGCCTGGTGAGCGTGACCCAGTATTCCACTCCTCCTCACATGGAAATATGTTTGTCTTGTTATGTAACGGCCGACACTCAGGAGGCCACGGCTTCTCCAGCAGGCCTCCCTGCCTGCCTGCCTGCCTGCCTGTGTAATTACATTACACAGTATAAGAAGACTGTCTTGTTAAAGCTAGTTTGGCCTTACCACAAGCTGCTTCATTTTGTTAGACTTTCAGGTAATAATTTCCTCTTTCTACATGCTGTGATTTTCTCTTCTGCAGCAGCTTGTGGCCTCTGGTGCAAATGTCAAATAAAGAACCACTTCATTATTCCTCTATTCTGTGTTAATGATTTTTTTAAATGTAAAGTAAATACTCACCAAAAATCGCTACTGTGATGCAAGACAATGGTATTTCCCTCACATACCCTCTGATGCCCCTGCAGCTGGCTTATGATCCAGTTTAAAAAAATGATTGTACCCTTTTATACTATTTCACTTTTCAAACATAGTGCATCAGCAAGGTTTCTATCACTACAAGGCGGCTCAGTCCCTCACACAGACAGCGAGCGGGACGGCGCCGCGTCTCCATTGTTGTCTCAGGCCAAAAGTTAAAAATACATGGTAGCGTTATCATTCCTGAACTGCAGTTTGGTTTATATCAGCCAATTGTCAGAGTAGAAAAAAATGTTTCGTGCTCTAATGTTCTTTTTCTAAGTAGCGATTGTTTTTATATTCACACACACACACACACTGTCCTGCAGCCTCCGCTGGTCCTCTGGTTTTTCCCTCCTCGGCCAGAGGATGAAATAAGTGGCTTGTGATGGATGTGGCACGTTGAGGCTCTGTAAAACATGTCTCATTTGTCTTGGGAGTCTGAGCAGACATCAGAGCGAATGGTGCGACTTCCGGTCGCGTGCGGACGTTTGATCACCGCGTCCCTGCGCGGATGTCGGTGTGCCTGCATGTTTACGCCGTCTGCAGACGGTGGGATTTGTGGCGAATGTAGGCCAGCAGAATCCCTCTTACGTCAAAGGCGGGCGGGCAGATGCAGGCGGAGCGCTGCTGCTGGTTGTGCAGCTGTGGCCGTGCAGGAGACCGTGGCGCACGTCGGCGTGCCAGAGCACCGCTGGCGGTGAACAGGGAGAGTCGCAGAGAGGAGGAGACGGACAGCGCCAGCCATGAAGACCGTCCTCAGCCTGCACAGGAAATGGGCACACGCGGTCAAGACCATACGCATCCTGCAGGGGCTCGTGAGTGTGATTGTAGACGGCAGATTTGTTGGAGTGGCTCAGCCGGGCAGCTGGAGCAGACCGGTCCGTGGCCGCGATGTCGTGGTGGCGGTTGTTTTGAAAGCCTCATGCGTGTTACAAGAATTGGTCTATTCACGTTTTTTTTTTCGTATTGCAGACAAAGTAGCATCAACTGTTGTAAAATGATCAAAATGAGTTTGAGGCTGAGGTGTTTGATGTATTTACTCAAATTGAAAATATATCCATGGTGTTTGAGAAGAGTTGAGGCTTGGTTTCTGTTTTTAAAATCTTTGAACGTTGAATATTTCTGACAACTTGGTGGTTGGTAGTCGACAGCGACGGATGGAGTGATTGGATTATTGATTATTCATCATCAGATCCATCAGGGAGCGGATCGTTAAAAAAAATACTGGTTTCAGCTTCAGATGCAAAGATGTGGTTTTATGATTCAACACCTTTTGTCGGACAAAAAAAATCTCTAGTGAAGGACTTGAGCTCTGCTATTTCCTGTTGTCGTGACAATGAGTGAAACAGCGATTAATTTAAAATAAGAGGAAAGTAATTGTTATTTGCAGCCTTGTACTTTACTGCCCTGTCTGCTTTTCGTGTATCTTTTGATTGATTTATCTCACATGTTGGCGGTTTCCTGGAACAGTAACAAGACTCCCCCTGAACGAAAACTTGCCGATGTAAAGTGTTCTCGTCGATAGCGACCCGACAAGAGACGGACGTTTCGCACGGGGCAGCGTGCCGCTGCTCGTCAGCGTGTGCTGGCGTTGTCTTTTTTTTCCTTTCCATCCCGTAACACTTGATTAATCGGGTCAGTGAAATACAACTACGGATGCTAATCTTCCCTTTGTCTCCACAGAACCCGGTCATGGAGGAGACGGTGTGGGAGCAGTACACCGTGACTCTGCAGAGGGTGAGTCCATCTGGCCCAAAGCACAGCGGACCGAACCGCGTTGATGCTATTCATGAATTAGACATAAACACACCGAGCAGGCGTCTAGGAGTTCAGAGAGCACCCACATTCCCCCGACCTCTGTCCACGTTGTGGTTAATAATGGCTGGTTGTGTCTCAACCGTCCGGCATCCTGCCACCAACCAAGTGCACCGAGCTGCACGCTGATTTAAACGCGTGCAGGACTGCGTGAGCAGAGCAAGCCACTTGGGCTTCACTAATCATCACGATGAGCGCATTGTCTCCTGCTGTGCTTCACTGGAGCCAAAAAAAGCAGATTTAGTGCAAAAAGGTCTGCTGGGAGGCATCCGGCCCCCCCCCCACCCCACCACAGCCAGCTGTCCCTCTCTGCTCTGTACATCAACATATTATTTTATGTTTCTACTATATGATACAACCTTCTTTTTAAACATCTTTTTAAAGTCCACGAGGCTTTAACGTTAGGGATGTTACTTTAATGTCTTGTTGATACGTAATTACGCTGTGTGTAATTGTGCTCATGCCGCCGTTTACAAAGCGCGTAAGTATGATTAACATTTAGACAACGATGCCGTGCTGACTTCTGCAGTTGACCTACAACAATGTCCCCGCTGAAGGCCTCTATTGATTGGACACATTGATTACAAAGTAGACTTTATTCTTTGGAAACGATGCAGATGTGTCACCTTCAGCCAAATGGCAGATTTCCATCTGCGGCCTGATGATTCGAAGAGAATATGCAAATATTCATCAGCAATGGAAAATAAATTACAAATAATTAAACATTGGCATGTTTATTATAGAACCATCACACTTTATGTAGTACACTGCTGATCAATGGTGTAACATAACAGGAAGTGGCTGAGAGTCTTTCTCTCTGTGGCCCCACAGATATCCCAGTACACACACACACACACACACACACACACACAGATTTACAATCTGATTCTCATTTAGTCTCCTCGCCTCTTGATGAAAACAGCAGCGTGATTTTGTTATTGCAAAAGTCCATCGGGGCTCATAAAAACCTCCGATCGGGTCTCCATTTGGTAGATGTCAGCAGCATTTTCCACATTTATTCTTTCAGATGAAGTGGTTATTGGCGATAAAGAGACCGCGGACGCGTTCTCCTCGTGCCTCCGTTTGTCCCTCTGCCTCCCAAGGCCATCTGCTCAGCACGGTGCTGAATTGTATGTTTTATTTTTTTTTAAATACAGATGGAAGGGAGGGATAAAGCGAGCGGGTCATGAAATCGCTGGCCTCGTCTAATCTGGGGAACTAGAGCACTGGCAGGTGGATTCATCCTAAGCTCCAATACGTTTCCACTGGAATCTTTAACAACGGCGATTATCCAACAAAGTGATTTTCACTTGTTTAAAAAAAGCAAAAAAAATTGCTGTGCCGGGACTTGAACATGGAAGTGGAGGCTCTCAAGACCCAACAATGCACAACTGTCCCTCAATCAGTCCCAATCCCTTTAATCAACATTAACAATACACACAGAGCCTTGATAATACATGTGAACTGCACCACGGGGATTACAGGACCTCTCTGACACACACACACACACACACACACACACAGAAATAGAAATAGATGGCAGCTACACATAATTTAAGTGTTTTTATATCTTCTTCTCTTTTCTCAGGATCCAAAGATGGGCTTTGGCATCGCCGTGTCGGGGGGGCGAGACAACCCAAACGAGGAAAGTGGAGAGACCTCCATCGTTGTGTCCGACGTCCTGCAGGGAGGACCGGCGGACGGCTTTTTGTTGTGCGTACTGCTGTTCATGATTTAGTATGAAAACCACAGAAATCATTTTGAAAACATGAAGCGGTTTAGTGTTGGTCAGTTAAAGATGAGTTATATGCTTCAAATATTCACAATGCAAAACAAACCGGAGACTCCTTTTAATCAATTGGTGACGTTTGTATTTGCTTTCATGTGATGAGTTACTAGGAGGGGTGGAGATTATCTGATTCTTTATATACATAAAGACAAGGACGCTGTCGCTCAGAGTTGTCAAAGGCTTTATTTCCCAACATGTAGCAGTTACAGTATATTACTTATTATGTGACTACTATAGGACTACTTTTGAACGTCACTTAAACGTAAAACGTAATGAACAAGTCAAACGTTTGGACACAATTTTCTCATTGAATGAAAACGTGTGTCAAAACCTTTGACTGATACTTTATGTATAAATGCTTATTTTATATTTTTGGAATAAACTTCCACATTTAGCAGCCTGGCGGTGTTTTTTTAGCATGTAGCTTTGGCTCTTATCGGTGCGTTCTTGTGTTCAGTGAGAATGACCGAGTGATACAGGTGAACGCCATCTCCATGGAGGGGGCCCTCCACTCCGTCGCTGTGCAGACCCTCAGGAAGTGCGGCAAAGTGGCAAAAATTGTAAGCACATCTTTTGGGTTTATGTTTGTTTGAAGCTTATTCTTCTATTGTTGCTCAGTAAACAATAGCCAGAGTTCATTTTAATGCCATGTAATCGTGGTGTGTGTTTGAGACTGTCGGGGGAAGAAATATGCTCACGTTTATTGCTCCAGCTCTACTTGTCCTCCTCGCTGTCCCTCCACCTCTCATGGTGCTGCTGAAGTGACACCTGAGGTTTTTATTTTTTAAAAGTCTTATTTAATCAACAGACCGTCAAGAGGCCCAGGAAGGTTCCAGTAAACATGCTGAACCGCCCGCCGTCACCCGATGACCGAGTCTTCAACAACGACTACAACGAAGATTACAACTACGAGCAGGACCGGCGCAGCGTCTACAGCGGGCGCAGCGCGGTGGGCCGGGACCACAGCCCGGACAGGGAGCGCGGCTACGCGGACTCCGGCTACCAGACGCGCGAGCGGGACTACGAGCGGCGGGAACGTGGCCGCAGCGTGGAGAGGGACCTGAGCCCGGACCGGCCGTACAGGAGAGACGGCAGCAGAGGGCGCACGCTGGACCGAGAGCGCAGCCCCGACCGGTCCTACAAGGGCGACCCCAGTCCGGACAGACGGTTCCGCAGCGAGCGCGCGCTGGACCGAGGCCACAGCCCCGACCGCCGCTACCGCAGCGAGCGAGCCCTGGACCGGCCGGTCAGCCCGGACCGGCGCTACCGCAGCGAGCGGATGCTGGACCGGGCCGACAGCCCCGACATGCGCCACGGGCGGGAAGGCCACAGCCCGCCGCGGGGCCGCGACCACAGCTTCGAGCGGGGGCGCCAGCGCGTGCACAGCGACCCGAGGAAGTACGAGGAGCCGATGAAGAGGAGCGGCAGCAGGGACCGCCTGGAGCGCTCGCCGTCGCCCGCGGCCATGCCCATCCCACTGGCGCGCCCCACCCGGGACATGCAGCCCCTGGACAAACCCATGAACGTGCTGCTGCTGAAGAACCGGCCCAACGAAGGTGAGGAGCTGACGAAGCTCTCGTAGTAACACTGAGACCTGTAATACGCAGGTTAACCAACCAGCGCTCTCTTTCTGTTGGCTGTGCATGTGTTATTGCACAGCCATCAGATATTATTATTTTTATTGTTATTTTTCTTCTTCTCCCACAGAGTACGGCCTTCGTCTTGGCAGTCAGCTCTTCATCAAAGAGATGACGAGCACAGGACTGGCCTGCAGAGATGGGAACCTGCAGGAAGGGGACATTATACTAAAGGTAGGTTCAAGGTTTTTCTTCAAAATTCAGATTTTTTGTCTTTTGTTTTTGTCAATTTCTGACTTGTTTTTATTTTACGGTAGTTTCAAACCTCTCTGTCACTCTCCTTCAATAACTTTCTCTCTCTCTCTCTCTCTCTCTCTCTCTCTCTCTCTCTCTCTCTCTCTCTCTGTCTCAGATTAACGGCACGGCCACGGAAAACCTGTCACTCAGCGACGCAGGGAAGCTCATCGAGAAGTCCCGCGGGAAGCTGCAGCTGGTGGTGCAGAGAGACAAGCAGCAAGTGCTGATCCGAGTCCCCCCGATGGCCGACAGCGACTCAGAGCTCGATGGTGAGAGACACTCGAAAATGAAAAACAGCCGGTCCTATCCATCGTAGAGGCGAGGCGGGGCGCTGCTCGTGAGCCTCGCACAGATCAACTGCTGAAACATTGATGCTGTTGTGCTTGTATTCATCCATCAAACTTGTCTTCCTTTCATAATAAAGGTTTTATTAACACATCAGTTTTTAGTGTCATTTAAAGGTGTGCAAATATATATTTTTTAAAGTAGTCCTCGCTCTATGAGCTAATCAGACCTTCACCAAACTACCAGCTACTACCGCTGTGATTACGCACTCTTTTATACCTGGTTTTGGTGTCACATGACCGGACGGCGCGCTGCGATTGGTCCTGACCAATCTAGATAAGTGGTGTGAGTGGATTGTTCACTGACCAAACGTTTGCAGGGGGCGGGGTTGGATGGCCGGAAGACTTGTGACCCACTTTGTCTAGTTCAGTGTGTGCGTGTGGGTTTGTGTATCTTTTTGTTTGTGGGTGTGCGTGTCTGCATGTGTGAAAGTACTCACTCGCCTCCGGGCAGCGTGATGTAATCCCCCGTCCATAATCCGCTGTTGCATGTGACAGAATCTCATTATGTGCAGGTTGGCACCGTGGCGGTGTCCATTGTCCCTCGCTGTAAAGCCTGGTTAAAACAATGGGGACCGATCGAGTTGCGTGAGGAGTTTCAGCTCTGCGAGGTCCGAATCACCTGGAGTGCACCTACTTAATTATCATTTGTAATGGAGTGCTGTGCCACGTCAATCATGCCGTGCTTAAATACATGAAAATGCAATCCAGCCAGTTTGTTGGAGCAGGTGTTGCATACTCCACTTTGTTTCCCCTTCCTGCTTCCCTGACCTGCAGACCATTTGAATTGTGCACAAGCAAGATTAATTCATTTTTTTAAATGCGGGCAAGTCAAGGAGAAATGAAACCCAATGGGCCTCATGGCCATTTAATATTTAAATTCAGAATGGTGCTTCAGTTTTAAACCCGGCTGTTGCTGTGTGTTGCAGATATCTCCGAGATCGAGTCGTACCGCTCCTACTCTCCACAGGACGAGCGGCGGGGCCTCCCCTCGGACCTCTCCTCCCACTCCTCCAATGAGCGGCTCAGGGAGAAGCCTAGGTAAGCCGTCATTACAACGTGAATAATAATAATTCCCCCCTAAGCAAGAACATAACTGCTCCATGCTCTGGGTTTTGTTAAGATCAAAGCCCCCAGGAGTCCGCTCGCATACCCTCAGTGATTGAAAATAAGGACAATGTGGGATTATGTTGATGTGTGTTTCATGAAGCGCAGCCACGTGCAAAAGAATTGATTGATAACGATGTTTTATTTTTTTCTTACTAACCTTGGATTTCATTAAGCAAGGTTTTTCTCTGCAATGACACTATAATAGTTGTCATTTATCAATTTGTGGTTTTCTAGATATGTTTTGTGATGATAGCCTGCACTGAGGAAAGATCAACAAAGGTCCACCCTATTAAAGATTAACCATATTGTGGTACTTCAATCTGTGAAATTACCAGAGAGGACCCACCCAACAGGCTGGCAAAAATGGGTGCCATGCCAACGCCATTCAGAGGTCCAGACAGGGCTGCAGAAGACACGCCCCCTTTGAAGGCGGAGAGGGAGGAGCCACGATCAGAAACTCCCCCAGGTATACAAGTACCTAATATACTTTGCCGTAAATACGATGATGATCAATAAGCGGTTTTGGGGAAAAACCATATTTCTAAACGAAATGAAAATGTTTCTTCAGTGCCCGCCGTCACTGCTGCCCCGAGGCTTCATGCGGCTCCTAAGCTGCCTCTCAAGCCGAGCATAGAGGACCAGGAACTTTTTGGGTCAGTATATTGCAAGATATATATATATATATATATATTTTATTTTGAACCACACTGCGGGATCAGCTCGGTACAGAGACCCCGTAGTTCACGATTGCAGATCAAGTGGTTTCTGTCATGTATACGCGTAAGAAGACGTTTCTCATATCGAGCAGGCCGAACACCGTGATGGTGCGGTTCCAGAAAGGGGACAGCGTGGGCATGAGGCTGGCAGGCGGCAATGACGTAGGCATCTTCATCGCTGGCGTTCAGGAGGACAGCGCGGCTGAGCAGGAGGGACTCCGCACAGGAGATCAGATCATGAAGGTGAGACTTCTCTTTGATTAGTAAACCACATGGGACCAGGTTTAGGCAGCAGCTGGAGAACAGCAGTGCAAGCGGAGTAAAATAGGTGTAAAGAGAAACAAAAAACATTATATCCACAATCCATGTTGTAAACTCTGCGCTCTGAGTAAAAGGTTCCTATATACTGTTTGTGTTGCATTTAATTGTTTTCTGTATTTTATCCCTCTCTCTGATGGTATTTCTCTACCGACTGGTCCGTTGCAGGTGAACAACATGGACTTCCGAGCCATGGTGCGTGAGGATGCTGTCCTCTACCTCCTGGAGATTCCCAAAGGAGAAGATGTGACCATTCTGGCTCAAAGCAAACCTGAAGGTACAATACTGGTGGCTGCTAGCAGTGGTATGTACATGGCATGTAGTTAATGACAAGATCTGGAGCAGACGCATTCATTATTAATATTACTAAAAGACGGTCAAAGGAGAACCCAGTTGCTCCTAATACAAATATTTATTGCCCTCAATAACAATGGTTAAGAAGGACAGATGAACACAATGCCGAGCACAGCCGAAAACAACGTTGACAAACTGACTTTGTGTGTTTTCTGTTTCAGTGTACAAAGACATTTTGGCATCGGGCCGAGGGGATTCCTTCTTCATCAGGACCCACTTTGAGTACGAGAAGGAGGCCCCTCAGAGCCTTCCTTTCACCAGAGGAGAGATCTTCAAAGTGACGGACACACTTTACGACGGCAAGCTCGGCAACTGGCTGGCGATCCGCTCCGACAAAGACAACCAGTTGCGGGAGAAAGGAATCATCCCCAACAAGAGCAGGTGTGTGCAGGGTGGAAATACAAGGCTCTGCTTAGTTAGTTAGTTAGTTAGTTAGTCTTCACCGGTTACCACAGTCCCAGTCCGGTTCAGTGATGTCGGCTAAAGCTCCTTTTTCTTTTTGCCTCGCAGAGCGGAGCAAATGTCCAACGTCCAGAATGCTGCTCGGGTGGCGTCGGGCAACGACAGGGGAGACTTCTGGAGGCTGAGAGGTCAAAGGGCGGCCAAGAAGAAAGACTTGCGCAAGAGCCGCGAGGACCTGACGGCGGCTCCAGTCACCACCAAGTTCCCTGCATATGAGAGGGTGGTCCTACGCGAAGGTGCCCAGAACAACCGCTGCTCCCTCTGCCAGTCCTGCTCTCTTGTCTGCTTGTGACTAAATGTGTGTTCTGTCCAATGTTCAGCTGGCTTCAGGAGGCCCGTGGTGATATTCGGGCCCATTTCCGACGCGGTGAATGAAAAATTGGGCAACGATCTGCCGAGCGAGTTTGTCGTCGCTAGTACGTGCTGCCGCCGTTTATAGTTCAACCCAGTGGCCCACTGTGTTGTGCAGCGTTCAATAACATACAATATGACTGTAACTGTGTTTATCTTTTTATCGTTTCTCAGAAACGGAGCCCAAGGACGCGGGAAGTGAGAAGTCCTCCGGAGTGGTGAGATTAAACACCATCAGGCAGATCATTGAGCAGGTACGCTACTCAGGGGCAAAGTAAAGGTAGATTTCTGGAAACCCTGTTGGATTATCTGACATTTAACCTCCCGCCGTGTTGCTCAGGACCGTCATGCCCTGCTGGATGTGACTCCCAAAGCTGTGGACACTCTGAACTACACCCAGTGGTACCCCATCGTCCTCTTCCTGAACCCGGACAGCAAGCAAGGCGTCAAAACCATGAGGAACCGCCTGGTACCCGGATCCAGCCGCAGCGCACGCAAACTGTTTGAGCAGGCCGTCAAGCTGAGGAAGACCTGCTCACACCTTTTCACAGGTGGGTTTACCATCCAAGTGCCTAAAGGGGACGTATAATGAAAAATCTATTAAAACCCCCCCCCCAAAAAAAGGACTCCCACAATTTATTATGGTTCTTGTACGTCAGCAACGTCATGCTTGAGCGAATGAGCTTCCTTATCAGTCTCTCTCACATGGCTTTGGCTCGCCAAAGGAATGTGGAATTGACAAAGTTTACTTACCATTCAGAAACGTCCTGTTGAGCCCCAGATTCTCTTGTTCAGGATCTGACTGTGGTTCAAAACAAGATTCTATCTTCTATGCAGTAGCCATATTTCTACAAAGGGGCAGCTAGGCGAGCGCATCTCGTGGGGGAGGGGGGAGGTATGGGGGGGAGCTGGCTCATTAGCATTTAAAGGAACCGGCACTCAAAACAGGTGATCTGTGGGGTGCTGTTTTAGATGATCCATGTGGTGTTTTCACCAAAGTGTGTTAGACATTTCATTAGGACCCCAAGGAACCATATCAACTAGTGATAAAATGGGCAGACGATGGGACTTTAATGACTAAGTGTTACACGCTGCTCCGCGTGGACAAAATCAATGTTAAACATCTAACGACTGCAAACCGTAACAATGAGCAATAATCATCAAGTGATGTACGACCTCCTTCTTACTTCTGAAGAGATGCTTGCTTTCTTTTTCTCCATGTGAGGATTGTTTAACTTAAGAACACTCCGGTGACGCATTACAATGAATTGACACATTGTTCGAGAATCCTCTGCTGAATCGTCTTTTTGTCCCCGCGTGCACGTTCAGCGACCATTGACCTGAACTCGGCCAATGACGCGTGGTACGGCAGCGTGAAAGACTCAATCCGGGAGCAGCAGGAGAGAGCCGTGTGGGTGTGCGAGGGCAAGGTGGGTATTTCTCAAATGGTCACAAGAGCTCCAATAGACTTTACAAAAGGAGTGAACGAGTTGTGACGCATGGACGTTTGACTTCCTATCGTCTCCCTTTCCTCCCACAGTTGGACGGTTCAGAGGAGGACCTGGATCTCCACGACGACGGCGTGTCCTACCTGTCGGCGATGAGCGCGGACTACCTGAGCATGGACAGCCGCCTCACCAGCGACTACGAAGACACGGCGGACGAGGGCGGGGCCTACACCGACAACGAGCTGGACGAGCCGCTGGACGAGCCCCAGCCGGTGTCCGCCATCAGCCGGTCCTCGGAGCCCGTGCTGTCAGATGAGGTGTGGAGCGTGTGAGATGGAGGGTATACGGTGCAGCTGTGGGCACCGTCACCCCGCTAACGCTCCCCGCTGTCTCCATAACGTTACCCTGACCACCCTCTTGTGTCCGTGCGCGTAGAAACCTCATCCTGAACCCCGGGGTCGAATGAAGAGGTCGGGGAGCAGAGAGAGGCTGGACAGAGAGCCCAGCCCTCCCATCCCCCCCTTTGTCCCTGAACCTCCCAAGGTGAGATCCCCCGCCCTCCTCCCCCCGCGAGTTTCAGATATTTCGGCCTTGTTGTTTTAACCTGCGGGAGCACGATGCTGAGGCAGATCGTCCTCACCAAAAAAAAAAAAAAGCCCGAAACAAAGGTTTCAGAATGCCCCAAAACACCACCAGCTGTCCTCCTGCTGCAGATGCGGGTTCAGGCTCGGACTGACTCATCGCGCAGCTATGACTCGCGCTCCAGCAGCACCATCAGCAGCGACGTGGCGGGCGTAAACAGGCCGCTTCCCCCTCCTGTGGCCCTGAAGCCCACCGCGCACCGTCCGAGCCACCCGTCGGAGGAGCGGCGCCCGGGAGACGAGGACCCCGCCAACACATCCTTCCAGGGCAAGGTCAGTTCTATCGTGCCGCCTCTTCATTGGAAAACAAAGCAGGTGACTCGAGAAAGAGATTCCTGGTCTGAACTTTAACTCTTAATGTCACTGTACTACTCTGTAGTACTATTTTCCTCGCTTTCTTTTTTTTATGACTTTGACTCTTCTTAAATCATTATTTAATTCCTTCCTTTCTTCTTTCGCTTTCATTGCTTCTAATATGAAATAGAAAATGGGTGATCAGGTAACTGAATGTTTGCATCCCTCTTTTAAATGTCATACTTACCCCCATCATCTATTGTCATCTTCCTCTCGTGGAGGTGCACTGAAATGTTTCATATGAATCCCGCCATGTGAATGTGCAGTATCTACTGTTTACCATATACAATGGAACGTTTATTAATATTCATTTATCTCTAGATTAAAGCTTTCGAGAAAATGGACCATCTGGCCCGAGCTCAGAGGATCCTGGAGCTGCAAGAGGCGGAAAATGCCAGAGTGAGTATTGTTTTTATTCATATTGGGACAGAATCTGCCCCGATCCCCGCTGTCTTTTCAGTATTTCGCACAAACGAAACACCGTCACCCGGAGGTGTTTTCTCACCTCATAAACAATCGGTTCAAATTGTATAAAGTCTTACCTTAGCCTTGCTGTTGATCAACACATTTCTGGTCGGCTGTACCTCTGATCCGAGTCTTCTCTCTGCAGTTGGAAATCGCCCAGAAGCATCCTGACATCTACGCTGTGCCAGTGAAACAACCCAAACCCAACCTCCACCGGCCTCAGCCAATAGGGTGAGCGGCTCACGGCTCTTCCAACTGAATAATATATTCATGCAGATGTTGTGTGGTTTTATACCTTTTTTGTTCCTATGAAAGGAAACCCTAAACTGCTGGATCATTGCGGCCTCTGTGTGTCTGATCAGTTCAAGCGCCAACCCCGAGCAGCCACTCAGGCCGCCGTACTCCGAGTCCAGAGGGTACGAGGAAGACGAGGCCGAGTACCGCCGGCAGCTGGCCGAACAGACCAAGAGGGGATACTACAATCCTCAGAAATACAATGACACTGAGCTGTAGGCCCCGACGCCAGGAAAGAACGTCTTCAGCGAACACCTCCCTCGTCGGCACGCCAGCCGCTCTCTGGCCCTCGGCTCTCCCACCCCGTCTGTTTGTGTTCGCATTTATGAAAATGTCAATTCCAACTATTATTCTGGACACTTTTATAAATTTCATGTATTCCAGCAAATGTCCCATCCTAAAAAAAATGTTTTGCCTTCGGGGTCATTTGTTTTTGGACTGTGACACCATTTCTTTTTTTTTGATTTAGCGTCTTTACACAAAAGGTTTGAATTGAAGCAGTCACGACTTGACTAAAACACAATATTAGCAGTATAAGGATTGCAGCCATTTTTACACTCATCCCTAATTTGAATTAAAGCTGAAGGTTTATACTTCCAACGGTTTGAACTGACGCAGTCCGTATCAGTCCTACTTATGGCCCCGACTGTATTTTAGTGTATTTGTTTTAAATTGTCTGAAGGTTTTATTTCCTCCCATTACAGCAATAGAAAGGTCCAGTTTATCCCTCATGCACTACTATTGCGAAATGTTTGTAGGATTCTGAGTTTGCCTTTAGAACGTCAGATGTTGGATGACCTTCAGGGCTTTTCAGGTAGACAGAAAAACAGACACTTACCTCTGTAACTGGAGCGAAAACAACCACTCCAGACATAGAATACTGTAGATCATGTACTTTTTTGCGACCAACAATGCTGGGACGCTGCTCCCCAGTAGCTTTCACACCACGTGAGGACCTTCCTGTGTGAGCTGTAAACACACAGGACGTTGGCGAGGCTGTGAAGGCGGACGAGTCGGCACAATGTAGCGTAGTAATCTCGTTTAGCCGCATCGTGAGTCATATTTACAGACCGTTTCATGTTGTAGAAAACATTTGAATCTTGTGTCAACTACACGTTTCAGTCCTGACCAAAAAGTCGCAACGCGCGCTAATTTGGGGGTTTTAGAATTAATTTGTGAATGTAGATACGTCTCCCTCTTATTCAAGTTGTATATATTTTACACAGTTTAATACGTCTGGGAAGCAGCATATAAGTGCCTTATAGCTCTTATGGGGGGAAAACGCACCATGTCTTCACTAAAGAACAATTCTGGAAATGCAGTTCTAATTACGACGTGCAGGAAGATCTCAATTCTAACATCTGAATTTCATTCTTATGAGATAGCAAATTAAAGTCCTTGGAAGCATTTGTGTACTTGGCTGGAACAGACAAAGCAGGTCAAATGTATCAGCACTGCGTGTTCAGATTTGGGTGCGGCACATCGTCTTGTTTCTTTATTAGCTGCCAGCTCTTGCATATGTATTTTTTTTTGGGATATACACTGAACTCATTTAAGTCTTTTTATGTGATGACAATCAGTTTAAATGTGTTAGTTTGTGATTGTTAATCTTTGTTACAAAACACTCGTTAAATAAATCAAATTTTTCTGAATTTAGTTTTAGTTTTTCACTGCTACATTCTCAGCTGACGTGGAGCTTTAAGCTCAGTATTTTAGAGAATGGCTTCATGTTTCTTGCATACCTCGATGCAGTCGTTTCTTGTCCCACTGAAATAAGCGCGTTTGGTTCAAATCCTGTTGAATAGAACAAACCAGAGTTTACTGACACATCGTGTCATTAGTTTATTGTACATGCATTCCCCCTTTCTAATTTGAATACTTCAGTTTAAAATGTATCTGAGTTGCCCTGATTATTTATAGGTCCGACATGATTGAGTACATTCAGAGATTACAGCTATTTAACCGAAAAATTACACAATAAGATCCACTACTTCTCTTTGGTCAAACATAACGTCACATTAACACTCGGCCAGGTGAGATAATCTGTTCTGCCACACTGTAGATTTACATGTTTACATGACAGGGTACTGTACAGATTAAGGCAAGTCAAGTGAAAACAGGAGACGGGTATTCCAAACTACTGAAAGCGGGATGACCGTAGTGGAGGGGAGGGGGGGGGTGTGAGGCCTGTTCAGATGTAGACCGGCTGTTCCTGGGCCGTCAGCAGGCGGTACATGGCTGCAGGCATCGTCTTCATGTGGATCTGGACCAGAAAGAAGCCAAATGATGGGAATTAACACAAACCGCTCATTGTAAAAAGACCAATCGGAGATCACAGGGTTTGTTTCTGAGGACTCGGACCTCTCCCATGGCGTTGGACAGGATCTGGACGATCTTCTCGTGAGGCGTCGCCACCACGCTCTGGCTGTTGATCTCGATGATGCGGTGACCGACGCGGACTCCTCCCCTCTCCGCGATGCCCCCCCTCATCAGGCTGCAGATCTGCGCCAGTTAGAAAAACAGTGAAACTCAAAGTAATATGAACACAATCGCTGCACCGTGTCGGTCTGTGGGCTCGAAGAGGGCAGCGGCGTTAAGCCCACACTCACGATGCCGTTCTGGACACTGAAGCCCAGCTGGTATCGGAGGTCCGGCCTGCGGATGAGCACCATGGTGACAGGAGGACACCTGACGATGTTCATCTTGATCCTGGACTGGGACTTGAGACCCTGAAGGGAACACATCAACAGGTGCGGTTGTCCCGGGTTACAGGAACACCAAGTCTACGTAACAGAATGCACAGAAAGGAACCAAGCGCTTACCTTGATGATGCTCTGGCAGGTGCTGAGCGGTAGACCCACCAGACTCGTCCCATTGATGGTCATGATCTGGTCTCCGATGTTGAGTCGACCGGACTTCTCCGCCGGCCCAGCGTGCATCATGCTGGCGATGATGACGGTGGGGAGGATGGACCCCCAGCCCGACTCGACTATCACCACACCCAGAATCTCTCCTTTCTGCTTCTCAATGTAAACCTGCCGGGGACCACACGCAACTTACAGATGAACAAACTTTTTCTCCTGCAGGAGGAACTATGGAAAAGTAACATTCACTATTCAAATATTTATGATGACACGATCCAACCTGAATGTGAGGGTTCTTTGTTGCAACTTATGTACGTGCAAACACAAAACGCCAACGGGTACGTGTGGGATACTCTTCACTTCCAGTACACCATTATTGTTAAAGGTGGGAACCATCGCCTGTGATTGTGCTGCCACCTACTGGTGCACTTACATCCTTGCAGTTCTCCGACTTGGAGAAGTGGATGAGGTCGTCGTTGTACATGTCCTGAGTGTTGAGCAGGTCGCTGTACTCCCGCTGGCTCAGGTCTTCAGGGTCGATGCCGTTGGCCCGGAGGAACTCCTGGTAGGCGACGCTGAAGGACTGGCCGATGGACTGAGCTATGAGCTGAGCCTGAAGGAGAGGAAGACGGCTCATTGATCATGAGGAACTATTACAGCTCCCTCGGCAATTTGGGCCGTGCAGAAAAAAAAAAAAAGGTTAGACATCGTATTTTAAAGGCTTGTTTAAAATGACGCTGAAAAGACACACATGCATTGTGTTACAATATGTGTGACAACCCCTATGGACGTGCAGCAAATCAAGTCGAAGGCCCTGATAACATTTTCGGAAATGTCATTAAAAGTTCACTGTCTGCGCTTTAGTTGATGAGACCGAGCGACGCTGTAGAAGGAAGCCGATGTCGCTAGAGTCCTTTCATTCGGGGGACATCTTATGTTAGGACCAGAGTGAAAACATCTGTACTACTCCTAATACTCTTCTTAGGGCCACACATTGGGGGATACGTGCTAATGCTTGTGACGTTTTTTGCTGTGTTATCAGGAGTTTTCAGAATATAAAATATACTTTGACAAACTTAATTCCTTTAACATCCTAAACAACTTTTAAAACAATAGATACAGTATAACTGACTAGTTAATGATTCAAACAATGTTTTACATACATTTGACTGTTTTTAAACATACTACATACAAGTTTACGTTCATGCTTTTTTGACTTTCTATGCTGTCCTCAGACCTTTTTTTACTATTTAGTAACCTTTACTGTAATATGGAGTTTATTTCTATTGACGTCATTGTCTTGACTTAATCATGGGAAAAAGGGTTTTGGCAAACATTTCTTCAGTTGGCAGAATGAATACTGGGCTGGGTGGTGTGGAATAAACAAGTCAAAGAACGAGATCCTCACTGTGCTTTCCTGCCTCTCGAGGTGCAGGACAGCCCTGTGTGTTTGAGCCCCATCTGCTCCCTGTAGTTCGAAAACAACTGTTTCCTCTCCAACTCCTTTTGCACCAATGATTTGCCATGAAGGCCCTCCCATTCGTATTAAGGAGACATTTGATCTCCTTGTTAATCCGGGGCTTATTGTTCAGGAAGCAAAAGGACTTTTTTCCCACATGGAACAATGTAATCGCATTCTTTCGGCCTCTTCCCAGAGCTCGTGACCAGAGGCGAGTGAATGCAGACGGACTCGTGAATCAAGAGCTCTGCCTCGCAGCTCCGCTCCCTCGTCACGTCAGCAGCTGAATCTACACTTCACCGCCTCCTTCTCACGCTGAACAAGACGCACAGGGAGTGGGAGTCATACTCCCTCGCTGGTGGCAGTGACTCACTACCAACCCAGTAGACCCAATTTATCCTTTTCCTGCAAAACCCCCCCCCCAAAAACCTCACACTCATCCTGACCACTTCACACCGCTGCAAACCCCCGTCAGCGCGTGCTGAAGGTCACGTCCTCTGCAACAAGCAGGGAGGGGATTTTGAGGTTCCCAAACCGGGGAACTTACAGTCTGCAGATCTGATGAATTGCAATTGTTACCGGTCTTACTCACCGGTTTGATTTCATTTGATACGAGAGGATAATAAAAAATAAAAAAACTCACATCCTCGGACTCAAAGACGTGGCAGATCATCCTGTACAGCCGCCGGTCGTCGTGGGTCATGGTGGTTTGCTCCGCCGCGTGGTCCAGGTTGTCCTGCGCGCTGCGGGAGCGCACCATCTTCCCTCGGGCCATCAGCACCACCATGTTACCGATGTCCGCGATGTAGGAGATGGTCCTCAGTGGCAGGTCCATCAAAGACTCCTGGGGATCCAAAAAGCGAGGGGATTACATGATCTTCCCCCGGCAGGGATCCAAGGTGCCGCTGGTTGTCTCTCGTGTACCTGAGTGTCTGCATTGAGGACTTTGATCCTCTGCGTGGACATGAACAGATCGACCTCGGCGGTGACCGGAGCCTCGCTGTCGGGGCTCTGCGCAGCCGGAGAGAAACAACAACAACAACAGGTTGGGAAACGGCAGCGAGGGAGAGCGGAGCAGGTGCCTCAACTGCTGAGAGCCCTCAAAAGCTCCAGCATACAAATAAGACTAATGAATGTTAAACGCTGATGTCTCATTCAATCCGAATATGACAAACCAAAGGAAACCTGTGAAATCAGCCTGCGCAAATATGCAACGTCAAATGTCTGTACTTACAGGGCTTTTTTTAATTTTTTTTTACAAGAAACACACAATCAAAGGGACTGAAGCAGCTTACCCTTTTCCTGTTCTTTGCCTGCTTCTGGGCAGCCTGTGACGATCACAAAGCAGAGCACAGACGCGTCAACAAATAAGAAAGCTTTTGAGGTTGATCGACAGCGACCTAAATCGCCCGTCTCCGATCCAAATGCAAAAATCGAGGGACGAAAGGACCTTAAAAAGGTGTGTGTTGTGTATGTGCATGTGTGTGTGAGGACAGTGATTTCACAGTCTATCACGTCTGACGACAGCAGGCGGCCAGAGGCCTTTGCAGCGAACATGATCAGAATATTCCTCGTCACCAGTGACACACACACACACACGCACGCACACGCAACCCCCCGAGGGCAGAGAAGCGCTGTGTGTGTGTGTGTGTGTTTCGGGGTTTGCGTTTCCAAACATGTTGCTCTGTGCGACCATTTGCTCCCTCAATGGCGTCTTACTTTAAACGTTTTCAGTCTGCTCACATTCTTCATAGATTTCATCTAAATTGGATGTTTGACATACAAAAAGGGTCCAGGCATCTACATGCATTCTAACAACTGGATTTCATTTTAACAGATGCATCTTGTACACTATGTGATAATAAATTGAGGGTTGAACGATTGATTTAATCTTGTCAAAATGTTAATGACCCATTAACAGGGACATTTGTTCACATTTTCTTGGAACCATGCCAAATGTGAAGGTTATTTTACAGACAAAACAGTTGATCAAGAAAATTTAATCAACAATGAAAAGCAGCTGCAGCCCTCCGACTATAAAATGTGAAACTCATTCCTTCTCACATCTATAAATAGTGATAATCAGACCTCTGTTAAAGCAATTACAGCTTTGACATGTCCACACACCCGTTGCCAATTATCATCATCGTGAGGTCGAGCATCACCAGTACTCAGTAATCTCTATGAGGGTACGGCCGTCTCCATTATTCTATTTTTGATAGAAATCTTGTGAATTCTATCCAAAAATTAGCAGTTTATTTTCATTTCAAATCAATGTATCTATATACTTTTAATATCATGTAAATTTGTAAAGTCTTGAGAGCCCTAAGCCCTCCCTCAGTTCCACACACATTTCATAATAGATTTTAAACAAGAGGGCGAGGAGAAATAGCCCTAACCTCTGACCACCTGCCCTCTTGATCCCATTCCATCACATCTTCTACAATCTATCGCACCTGACCTTCTTCCTTTCCTCACCTGTCTCATCAACAACGCTCTGTTATCTGGCGGTTTTCCCAATTCTCTGAAGGAGGCGAGAGTTAATCCTCTCCTGAAGAAACCTACCCTCAACCCTTCTGAAGAAAACAACTCCAGACCAGTCTCTCTTCTTCCCTTTCTGTCCAAAACCCTTGAATGTGCGATCTTTAACCAACTCTCCTCCTATCTCCACTGCAACAACCTCCTTGAACCCCACCAGTCAGGCTTCAAGGCAGGCCATTCCACAGAGACTGCTCTCCTTGCTGTCTCAGAGCAACTCCACACTGCTAGAGCCGCCTCTCTCTCCTCTGTCCTCATCCTTCTGGACCTCTCTGCTGCATTTGACACAGTCAAACACCAGATCCTTATCTCCTCCCTTCAGGAACTTGGTGTCACAGGCTCTGCTCTTTCCATTCTCTCGTCCTACCTCGACGGCTGCACCTACCGGGTAGCCTGGCGAGGATCTGTGTTGGAACTTGTCCTCTTACTACTGGAGTTCCTCAGGGTTCCGTGCTGGGTCCCCTCCTCTTCTCGCTCTACACCAACTCTCTCGGCGCGGTCGTTCGCTCGCATGGCTTCTCCTACCACAGCTATGCAGATGACACACAACTAATTCTCTCCTTCCCTCCCTCGGACACCCAGGTGGCGGCTCGGATCTCTGCCTGTCTAACTGACATCTCTCAGTGGATGTCCGCCCACCATCTGAAAATCAACCCCAACAAGACTCAACTACTTCTCTTTCCGGGAAAAGATTCTCCGACCCGGGACTTGACTGTCAACTTTGGCAACTCCGTGTTTACGCCCACTTTAACCGCTAGGAACCTCAGCATCACACTCGACAGCCAACTCTCCCTGACTCCCAACATTACTGCGACAACGCGATCCTGTAGATACACGCTCTACAACATCAGGAGAATACGTCCTCTACTCACTCAGAAGGCAGCGCAGGTACTGATTCAGGCTCTTGTCATCTTCCGCCTGGACTACTGCAACTCCCTCCTGGCAGGTCTCCCTGCCACCGCCATTTGACCTCTGCAGCTCATTCAGAATGCAGCAGCTCGACTGGTCTTCAACCTTCCGAAATTCTCCCACACTACTCCACTCCTCCGCTCTCTTCACTGGTACCGGTGGCCGCCCGCATCCAGTTCAAAACATTGGTGCTCACGTACCATGCTGTGAATGGATCGGGTCCAGCTTACATCCAGGACATGGTCAAACCCTACATCCCAACCCGCACTCTCCGCTCTGCATCTGCAAAACTACTCGTCCCTCCCTCACTGAGAGCAAAACACTCGACTAGATCACAACTCTTTGCTGTCCTTGCTCCGAAATGGTGGAACGAGCTCTCTGAAGACACCAGGACCGCAGAGAGCCTTCACATCTTCCACCGCAAACTAAAGACACACCTCTTCAGACTCTACCTCGACTAAAGACTAACAAATTGTAGCACCTAAATTGTACTTGTAACGTCACTCATCTATAGCAAATTGGCTTATTTGAGGAAATTGCACTTTCTTGTTTCTTGTTCTTCTGAGTTTGTATCCCTACGGTTGAATGCACTTATTGGAAGTTGCTTTGGATAAAAGCATCAGCTAAATGACATGTAATGTAATAAAACATTAACCCTCGGGAACAGCAAGGTCGGCTGCTCCATGTCCCATGTTGAAGTGTCCCTGAGCAAGACACCCAAGCCCTAATGGCTCCCCGGGAAAAAATGTAAGTCGCTTTGGATGAACGTGTCCGCTAAATGACCTGTAATGTAATATTCTGCTTTGTTTGCATTTTTTGTTTAACATATTGTTCAATATGTGTTCCTTCATAGGTTTGTTGTCTTCAATATTTACCTACCATGTAGAATGAAAAAGGTAAGGAAAAGTGGAGTGTCCAAACTGTTGACTGGTACTGCACACACGCACGCACGCACACCAATGTACTTTGTTTAATCACCGTGATTAAAGTAGGACTTTCTTTTCTCTTTGCGTATGACATCACGCACTGTGACTGGAGCATAAAGCAGGGTTACAGGCTCCAGGGCGTCACAGCTTTGCTCTTCAACTTATATAACGTCCATTGGCTACGAGGAGAAAATCCTGTCGGGCTGTAGATCCGGCGCAGTGATGTGTGAATGATGCATCGTGCACAAACCCAGGGACGTTTTGCCTGCTGGCTGTGTCGCCCGCTGAGGATTTCTCAAGACCAAATATAAAGACAAGCTCAGTTACATCAGCAACGATCTAAAAGTCGGCTAGAAAATGTATCTCCAAACCGAGGAGATGTGGATTTGAACTTTGAGCTCCTAGTGGAAAATAGTGGATCAAGACATCAGCTTTTATGCTTTCTGCTCGGCGATCCGGTGCTATAATAAAACAACAAAAAGGCAGCTGTATCTAGCAATATGGATCATCAGAAAACAAGGACATCATCAGGTATCTCTTAAAATAATATTTGCTCCCTTTTCTCTTTTGTCCTGGTCCGATGAACTTTGAACACAGTTAAACGGTCCTTGTGGAGAGAAAAACATTCCAGTTGTTTATGGCTGAGCCATTCCAGCAAATTGGAATATCCTAGATGTCTTCTTCCATAAATTCAGCCCGATAAGGGGAATTTCTTATGAGTTAAGCTCTTGAAAATGCCCAAGTAAACAAAAAGCACTTGTTATTTACTATAAATTGTATTATATCACCCTCCTGCGCTATTTTATTTGGGTGCGTGAATTTTATACACTACTGTATATATTAGTATAATTGTACTGACTTCTAACTTCTTATGGAAGCCAAACATCATACTCAGGTGACCCTAAACATGCCAGTGAGGATGCCAAATGAAGATGATTGATTGCTGCTCACTATTAGGTACTGTGTGTCTATCATAGTCAGAATATTTTCATTGGGCAATTTGTTGGACTTTATTCACTATGAAGACGAATTTGCTCTCACCCGGACTCTGCTCATGGCCTCCTGTGCCTGCTGCATGCGGGCGCTCTTTGTGGGGGTCCTTTCTGACAGCAGGTGGGTGCAGCCCAGGTAGGTAGCGGCAAAGATGATGCCGTCAATAAGGTCTTCAGGGTCGCATGGTCCCGGTACTGCATGAACCAAAAGCACTCGTTAGGCACATATATACACAAGCAGATACAATATTTAAAAATGCACCTAACATTGTAAGTAAGACTTAGTCCACCCACCGTCAACAAACGTTGGAAATGGAGGAAGGGATCTGCGAAGCTGAGAAAGGAAAAACAAAAGGAAAAACTGTAATACCATCCTTACTTTCTACTCGCATACCTGGCTCTCCCCCAACTCATTGACATTTTACTGCTGGAAGAATAAACACTAGTACAAGATGCTTGCCTTTGCAGAATATCATCCATGTTGCCGTGGACATTATGAACTTCAGTGTTCTACAACCGGACGCCATTTTTGCTGTATTGGTTTACTTTTTTTAATTAGCAGAACTAAAAGTAATAGGAACCTCTAAAAGCTCATTTCCTGTTTGCAATGAACCAATGGATGTGCAGGAAATTGTCACACGATTACTTTGACACTAAAACAAAAAAGAAATCAAAACCCTTTTTTTTTTTTTAAATCTGTGTTTTAAAGTAATTCACAAATTCTCACTTCCTGGAGAGTCGGCTGCTGTGGAGGAGACTGCGGCTGGACTTGAGGTCGCGGCCGCTGAGCTAACAGCTGCTGGTGATGATGATGATGATGATTCTGATTCTGCTGCAGCTGATGTGGATTCTGCTGTTGACGTTGCTGATGCTGATTCAGCGGTAGGGCTTGCGGCTGGGTGTGTGTGTGCGGCGGCCTCGCCGTGTCCCTCTGCTGTGACTGGGGGCCCTGGTGGGGGTGATGGCTGTGTTGGGGCTGTTGGTGGAAATGCGGAGGGTGATGCGCTCCGAGTGACTCGGTTCTCAGCGGACTGAGCGGCTCCCGAGCGGGAAGTGATGCATAGCGGGAGGGAGACTCGGACACCGACTGAGCCGGGGAGTGAGGAGAAGACTGAGGGAATGAAACAGAGAGGAAACATAAGAAGTTGGGGTTTTTTCTAAAGCACTCCTTTTAAATTGCAATTAATATACTGCAACTCAGCTAACACCTTATTCCAGAGAATTCAGGATGTGAGGATTAATCCAACATAAAAGCAAATGGGAGCCAGGGATATAAATCTTGTGAAACTTCCAGAATGAAGTCTAATTCACTGCAGACCTCCTTGGGCTGTGTAACTCCTCAGCACAGTCTTGGAAGTACAGTTCAATATTTCCAGAGATAAAATAAGAACAGCACTGAGCAATGTCAAGAAATAACTGCTGCTACTCATTAAACTCTTAAGTGGTAACTGTTACATCGGTTTATGCTTCCATTAAAACAAATGTTCTTTAGTCGAAACACATCCAAAGCATTCATAACGCATTGGACATAACCGATCAGGTCTCATCACACTCTTGGAAAGAAAGCAAAAAGTCATTTCTTCATGACTTGATTCATTCATGCACTGCAACAATTACAAGATCTGCAGAAAACTACACACTTTTTTTATGAGCTGCCACAAACTCTTAACTGTTAATTGTGCAAAAAACAGAACAAAAAGAAACTGTTAAACAAAAGAATTCTTCACATTTTTGGGGGATTTTCCAGCTACACCGCTCCCATTTCTAAACTTCTTATTACTTTCTTTAAGAAATGTGCAGCATCTGGTAACCTTTGAATGAGCCAATTTAGACTGGAAATGTTGCTTTTCATGTGACATACAAGACGATTGTAAAAGGGAGCAGATCCTGTTGTGCGAGTACTTCTTTAAATATTTATCATCATACACAGTAACAGTAAAAAGTCACACTCACATGGCCAGCTGCGGGCTGCAGTGGACATACCTCCTCCCCGGGGGGGCTCACCTCCTGCCTCATCACCCAAATGGGCTCCACAGGCCTGTCAGGTGTGTAGGGGGAGCGCACGGCCTTTATCTTCACCTCCTCAATCGCCTCCTTGATGTCTTTAATCGCCAGGATGATGGCGTCCCCCGAGCCCCTCGTACCCTTTTCCTCTTGGAGGCCTTCCCCGCCGCGCTCCTCCTGGGCCTCCCCGGAGCTCGTCCGTCCAGACGAGGGGCTCTTGGCCGGAGTTTCCGCTCGTCTGGGAAGCTGCCCGCGACTCCTGGGGGCGGGACTTTGCTTTTCGGCCCTTTCCCCCTCGCCGTCAGACTGACCGTCGTAGTGGTGCAGCCGGCAGCCGACGGAGCGGTTGAGAGGGGAGTGGTGTGAGCCTCGGCCCCTGCCCTGCTTAGGGCCACATTGGGGGCCCTTGGTCGCCGGCGGCCCTTTTTTAAGGTTCTCCTGGCTGTGGCTCGTGAAAGGCTCCTGCTGGACCTCGTTGGACTCCATCCTCCAGCCGGCTGGCCGGCGAGGTTCTCTGTGTAACTCGGGGTAGGAGGTCTTAAGGGGCTCAGGGAAAGAGTTGGGATGGGATTTCGGTTCAGAGTACGACGCGTAGACGGGCTCTGGGTACGATTTTTGGTGGGACTCTGTATAAAAGTCTGCATAGGTTTTAGGATAAGAGTCGGCGCAGGAAGTGAAGTGCGACGGCGAGCCCGATTCGGAGCAATCCTCATCGTCGTCCTCATCCTCCGGTAGCAGGTCATTGTCGGGTAGAGGGCTCAAACTGGTGTCCTCGCTGAGGTGGTCCAGCTGAGGGAAAGGTGGAACATCCGGGGACGAGGGAGGGGTTGGTGACTGGAGCGGCGGCGGGCTGTGGAGCGGTCCGTCCAAACTGAGTGAAGCAGCGCTCTCGGTGTCGGAACAAAGATCCGTGATTTCACTTCCCTGAGCTGCAATATCCTCCTCTACGTCATCCAACACTTCTTCCTGAACCTCCTCGGCGCTCTCCGCGCGCTCCTCTGCTTCGTCATCGCCTGCCTGCAGGTCATTGTGGCTGCAGCGACCTGTGGTTGAGCAATGGTCTCCATCATCCTCCGTCTGTTCTTGATCTTCATGCTTCTCCTTAACTTCCCCCATTTCCTCTTCACACTCCACTTTGAGCTCCCGGAGGTCCCCTTCTGCCACAGCTGTACGGGTATGTTCCGGGTGATGTGGCATTTCATTAGATGCAGGACCGGGTGAGAGTTGGGTGGGGGGGGCAACTGCAACAGGACTCTGGTGAGGGGATCCCCCGTCCTGCAATTGGTCGTTTGCAGGATTATCAGGCGTGCGTCGCGTTGCCCGCCCTTCTGCCGGAGCCTCCTGCTCATCCACAGCAGGCGAAGAGCCCTGCAGCTCTCCTATAGGCCGCCTTTGTCTGTGACCTCTGAGCCTGGGGTTAGGGTCGCCGTGACGGCGGTAACGGGTGACGGCAGTGCGGGGTTGCGGGACGGGAGGGGCCTCGGCGTCTCGACTCTCGTCGCCATCGGGCCTGGAAGCAGCCAGCGCCGGCACCAGACCGGGACTCTGAGCTGGCCGCTGGCCCTGCCCCGACGGGGACCGCCTGCGATGCCGAGGGGGTCCGCGACTCGGGTGAGGGTAGTGTTTGTGAGACGGCTGATGATGATGATGATGATTGTGGTGATGATGGGGATTGAGCTCTCCGTCCTGATTGACCATCTGACACGGCCTCCAGGAGCGGCGTAGAGGCGGTTCCCCGGGTGACGTCCCGTTGGTCTGCCTGCTCCTAGGAGGCGCTTTGTGCTCCTCGCCCGCTTCCCTGGACGCCTCTTCCTGATACTTGTGGCTCATGGCTGGGGTGTGGTCCGACTCCAATCTTCAGAACATGCTCCTCATGTCTCCAAGAAAACCCCGCTCATAGCACAGCCTGGGAGAGAAACAAGAAACGGCGAATTATACACTTAAGATGTTATAAGTGAGTTCAAACGCAACTGACTGCTCCCGTTCACATGGTGTATAGAATGAAAAATGGGGTTAAAATAAGGCATCACGCGATGGCCGTCGTTAACCTACTTTACGAGTGCCTGTATTGGCACCGGCATCGTAAATAAGCAGCCCTAGCAGCTAAGGAGACATGCCGTAAACATCTGGATATGGTTTGAGACAAGTCTGAAGGCTGCTGCCCATCCATCTTCAACCAGCCCCCCACTGATCCTCCACAGTCTGCCCCACCAGCTGATCAGAGTCATCAGTAGTGAATAACAAGTACATTATATTAACAAGAAAACAGAGTTTAACTTATGGTTTTCAACAAGTTTGCATTCCATTCTAAGGTTGACATGCTACTATGGCTAATCAACCCCTTCTGCCCCAATATAAACACACGGAAAGGGAATATTACAGTGACGTTGGGTATCAGGCCGGGGACTCCCTGTCTAATGCCAATAGTAAAAACCTAAATCCTCTGGGTTTCATCTGGGTATGCAGGGCACTTTAATCTGCACCACATTCATCCATCCATCAGCAGCTGGCAGATGGCTCAGGACGAGAAGAAATAAAAGGATGAAATGAGGAGGAGGAGGATGCAGGGCATTAGTACAAGGAGAGGCATCTCTCTGCTAGCAGATAAGACTTGACGGAGAGAGATGGATAGGGCAGCCATCTGAATAATAAAGCCCTCTGAGTGAGAAACACAGTTTTGGTACTTATTTAATATGACGGGACTATCAGGGTATCCATCAGTTATCACGGGGTTTACCCATCGGAGGCCGACGCGCTGAGAAAAGGACACCGGGACGCAATCCGTCTAGATGCTCCAGGAATAGTAAGCTGGCTCGGGAAAAAAAAAAAAAAAGAAGAAGGACACCAATGAGGACAACTGTACAGTCTGATCTGAAGAGAGCTAAAGGCTCACGCTTGCTTACGTAGGCGTGCATGTCGGCTCAAAGGCATTCCTTGTTATTGCTACTCCAGACGTCTCGCTACAGCGGCTCACTTGCGTGCTGCTCATTCTATACGCGCAGATGCATTGGAGAGGTGGACAGAGAGACGACACGGAGGGCAAAGGTTAATGTGGACCCTGTAATCTGAGCACAAACCCTAGGGAGGGACCATAAAAAGGGGGCACAGCAGGAGCGAGGGCGGACTCCCCGGGTGGCTCATGTCCCTCTCTGACAATGGCTGATAGAGGGAGGGGGGGGGCACAGATGGCCCTGGCAGCGCGGCAGTGAAACCTACGGCTGCCTGTAGAGCGGAGCACCATACTTCCATCTGTCAGGCTGTGGTGAAAGCTGCGGGGGAAGGAGGCGGGGGGGGTAGATTTTCTAGCCCATTAACTCGCTGATCACAGACTGACAGACAACCGACGCTGTTAGTCTACACGCAAGGACGGACTATACACCTTTTCTCATGCTCTACCGTTCTCATTTAGGAACCTACCGTCAGGGCTTAATAGCAATACAAAGAAGTTGGTTTTTTGGGGGGACGTCGCTGTTCACATTATTCACCATCGACAATCTGTCAAGTTTCAAGGACAACAGCACCGTGGCTTTTCATTCATTTACACCTGCAGTATCAGCAGCAACATGCAACGCATTGCTTAAAATAGCATGTTCACAAAACCCACCATGGGCAGTAACCACGTAAGACCGGCTGGTGAAGCATTTAGACCTTTTTAGAAATGGTTGCATGTGTTTGGAAATGAGTGGATGCTGTTGCTGGTGCGCCTCTCCTTTCCCCCACACAGGCCTGTGCGTCATTGTTATTTGCTTTTCTGTAAAAATAAATGGAGAAAAATTGACTTTGAAAGACTTATTTAAAAATGGATCACGGACAAGATTAATATATAATATATCAATACGGATTACGTGAACAGACGGGGGGTGTCTAATGTTAATACAAAAGCAACATTAGGAAAATGAACGATCAAATGCATTATGCAACTGGTATCTGGGTATTACAGGATTAGATTAAATTAGTTTGTTGCCCTCATGCTGCTCACACCTGTAACCTTCTTACTAATAAGTGCTTGAACAATAAATTGATTGCGTGAATAATCCATAAAATCAACTAGCAGACAACAACTTTGATAAATCGATGCACGCGTTTGAAGCAATGGTGTCAAACACAACCTCGCCCGGGCTTCTCAATTGTGACGGTATCCTTCTGTGAAGGTTACAGGAGCAAGCGGATCTTTGGATCAAACAAAACACGTAATTCAAAAACAAATCCATGGGCTCTGCTCATCATGTTTGCCATTTTTCCATTTCCTGTCATGTAAAAAAAATGATTTATTATATTGAGCTGCCCTAACTGTCCTCACTTCTCTATCTTTCTATTCTTTACAGTATGATTTATACAATCCCCCCATGTTGGGAGGCATCAATAGTCACAGTACTTACACATTGTGTTTACATGTGGACTACGCCATTGCTCCAGAAGGGGAAGATTAATCCACGAACAGGTGCCAAATTGGCAAGTGCTTTTATTCTGAAGGCTTACTGGCTTCTTAAATCCCCTCCATCGGCCTTGAACGATTCTATTTTTTTTTTTTTAAAGGGCAAAAGCCTTCTTTGTGGGATTGGTGTTCATCATCCCTTAATGATCATCCTCCACCTCTCTGGGACGCGCTTATCGGGAACTATTCATAAAATGACCACGGCGTTATTCTGCATATGAAGCAGGGAGACGCACGCGCGCGCACGCGGCGCTCCTCGCTGCATTAGGATTCAAACCACGGACATCTAATTGAAGAAAATAAGTGCAGCGTACTGTCAGCTGTCTCTCCCTCCTGGACGGCGCGGATTAAACCTCTGCAGGTGTCGGATCCGCCATCAGCTAAAAGAAAAAAACAACCGGATCACGTTGTCATTCCCCGAATAAAGCCGCTTTGCGCGCACTTACCTGCGTGTCAGAGGAGGAGAGGCCCGCGCCCGGCTGCTGCTGCTGCAGTGCACATCGCCCCTGTGTCTCCTGCCTGCTCGCTTTGGCTCGGCTCGTCCCGGCTCGGCTCGGCTCGTCCCTCCAGACAAACTTGGGACTCGGGATTAGAGCGGTGCGCTCAGCGGCCCCTCCTTCTGCGTCGTGACATCAGAGCGGATTAAACGACGCACGAAAGCGCCTTTGCGAAAACACCGCGGACGCTGCCGGTGCAGGCGGCTCCTTCACGGCCGCGAGCGTCGTCCCCTCCCTCCCCCTGTCTCTCTCCCTCCCTCCCGGTGCGCCGGTGATGCGTCGGCTCGGTCCCGTCGTCACGACGCTGCCGAGTTGGATGGAAACACGTGAAGGAGCCGGTGGAACGGAGACGGCGGCAGCTTCCTCCGACGCGGCCGCATCCGGCGCGAGAGGCGAAACAATCAAGCGACCAGAAGCAAAGAGCAGCAACACCTGCGATCAGCTGATCGAAGCCCGCTTCCCTTTATAATAAAGACATGTGCACATTTAATCAGTCAGTTTCAGCGAGTATACGGTTGCAATGCCTTTCGCCTTTAAAAAAAAAAATCTTAACAATATAGTTCCCGGGCTTCACGTGGCATTCATTCATAACACACGCCTTTCCCACAGAGACGGGAAGTTGTTGCTTTCTGCAACAGAAGAGCTAATTGGAAACAGGTGTGTGTGTGTGTGGAAGGTTTCATGCAAACTGAAAAAAGGCCTCTGGGTCCTATTGACACCCAAACTGCACATGTTCCAATGTTGTTTTGGGGGGAAATACGAGGAAACACGACCTGTTCCGACTTCCCTCAGGCATTTAACACTGCAACCCCCATTTGCACTAAATATCAATTTCACTGTTGTGTATAATGTATAAGTTATGTTCCGATATATGTGTATAATACTTTGGATATATTTAGATTTGTATCTATACTGTATAGTTGTTAAATGTTTATACCACACCTGTTTTTATTTGTAGAAATAATAATAAATTCGTGCAACATGGTTTTCCCTTTTTCTGTAGAAGTCACACAGCACCTTTTTATTCTCGGCCTGTTAATCTGGTTTTTACTCCTACATGCCCACCAGGAAATGGAGGAACTAATCACGGCCGATGTAGGATGTGGAGAGCGGAGGAGTGTGAAGCAGGTCGGTGGTGTTAGTGAAGCTCCTGGCGTGAGAATCCGCGCACGTTTGTAGTGTCACTCAATGCTTGCTATTGCAGATCAATGGGGCCCGTGTCTACATATTGTCGAGCCCCTGTAACTAATTCTCACCTAAATCACGTGTGACCTTCCGCCCGAGCAGGCGTTTCCGTGACAACAATTTGCAAAGGAGGATGGGGATGGTTTAGAGTAGTAACCGTGGCAACCAATCGGGGATTCCTATCTTTGTGGCATATCTTTGATCCTGCAAACTGCTTGCATGCTTGTGTGAGGCAGTGAACCTTTTGAGAGAGCCAATCAAAGAGCTCCAAAATAATCAGGTCATCAGAACGTATCTGAGGTCACGTCACACAGCCTATATTTTATTTTTCCAGAGACGACATGAATCATTTGTGGCCTCCTCAGCATACGCGGGTGAAGACTTGCGTGGTAAACAAGTGAGCACAGACTGAACCCATTACTGGAATTAATGCACATGAATGTTTAATCGTTAACCACTGCAGAGGTGATCTCTTATCACGCAAAAAAAACATGGCCTCACAAAATGCTCTGTGCTGGTTCCGTTGTTTTCATGTGAAAGTCGGGCTCCATGTTTTCAGTCGGACTGCAGGTGGCACTCTTTAGCAGGATAGGTAAGTATTTCCTATTGCTATCTCTTATTGTTATTTATCTAGGGAAGTCTTACTGAGAGTAGGGCTTTATTTTTGTACGCTACAAGTGCCTTGCTAATGGGTACATCATGGGGGGTCTGACTTTACTCTCCCAACTCTTCTCTAAGGGACCAAAAAGATATTTTTATTATTGTTTTAGAATCATAGTAAGTAAGAAACCGGATTGTTTGAGTTTATCAACTTGTACACATGTGTTTAAAAGTATACAGCCATTCTTTTAAACTTTTAACAGTCACCTGAAGATAATATACGGTTCAAAAAGAAACACAATATACAGTATCTGAAGGAACTGTAGGGGTGATGTGGTTTGGGGGAAGTGAATGTTGGGTGAGCAGACAGAGTCTCGTTCAGAAGACCCGAACGGCAAGGAGTGAGAAAACGATGCAAGGCAGGTTGGATGTAACACCAGTAGTTTTTTTCCTTTTTGTAAGCTTGATATTTCCTCTGTGTGCTGCATCAAAAACATAAACAAATAAACAATACGATTAAATAAAATAATGTAGGACATGTAACAAAAAGGCATCACAAAGGCATACAAATTAAACAATCAAAAGAATAAATTGAATTGACCACTCACGTTAACTTGAATACGCACACTTGAGGATACGCTGGAGTACTGGCAGGGAGTGGAAAAAGGTGAACTGCCAGGGGAGCAGACTATTTATAGTCTCCGCCTCCTTAGCCAGCAGGTGAAGATTGATTGATTGATTGATTGGTGAAATTAACACAAAAAAAGAACCCAGGTTCCAGGGACTCTTTTCACAGTATCTCACAATATGAATTGTGATAACTACAAATATACTAACTGCTTAATTTACTTTATACTTATTCATAATCACAGGCCAGGGCCAAAGACTTTTGATGGAAAGTGAAATCATTAAATAAAGCGGTGATTAAGGAAAATAAAGTTCGGAAATAAAAAACCATAGAATTAAATAAAACACCAATTTCCAAAAGGAATGTATCAACTTACAATACTGGGGTTAGATTCTAGATTAGTTCTGCAAAAACAGATTTCTTCACAGAGAAACCTCAGTTAAGAACCCGAGGCGGTGGTCCCGGGTGTTCCCAGAGGAAGGGCGGAGGGCCTGGGGGGGGGTGTAGCCTGCTGAGCCCCCTGGCAGCCAATCACATACTGATGACCACATGTCATCACCGTGGGACGCAAACAGCAAACTCAGCGCGCACCGCTTGGACACATTGTGGCATCTCTCAGTCGTCTATAGGAGCTTCTTCTTGTCGCTCACACAAACCATTCAGGAAATAAAACAGACAGAAGTAACTTTTTCTGTTTGAGTCATTTTCTCTTAAAAATGGGATAAATACTTTCAGATTCAGATCCTCAGCGTAGAAGCAGGTTGTGTCTCTGGACATGAGCGTCCAGGGAACCTAATCGACATGCTAATAAGCACAAGTAAGAGGAGGGGAAAGGATGGGCAGTGGAAAAGTCAACTGTGGAAAAGTGAAAAAAGACAAAGAAAGAAAAAGAAAGAAAGAAAGCTCAACCGACAGATGGATCACAAATGTGGATGAAAGCGCTTCCTCTTAAAGGCATCGTGCCTCGGCTGGCCTCCAGCATCCAGTAGGAGTGAGTGAACCAGTCATGATCCCAAAACACGCCACAACTGTGAGTCTTCTATGATCATGTCTTTGATCTGGTGGCCCTCAGATTGCCATCTGGTTCATTTGTATTTCAATGGAATTGGAGGTACGATTCATGGGGAAGTTCACGACCAGGAGGAATCTTTGAGAGGGTTTGTAAAAACACAGTTTAGATCTTTTTTTTTTCATTTATCTTCACATTCTATGAATGATTTTGTCTTATGGATTCGTTATTGTCATTTCATGTGAGTTATTCTGCACTGGACATCAACCTCAAACACATGCGACACAAAGTTTGACACAAGTACAGTCACGCTTTGTTACCTTCAGGGAACTGAAACTACCTGCAGACACTCTCTTCCCAGTGAGGACGCATTCTGATGACCACTGAGGGGGGGGGGGGGGGCACAGAAGTTGGTCTCCTTAGACTATGTAACTGGAAGCTGTAGAAGGGAAGCTTCGAGTAGCCTTGATGCATAACTTGTCAAGTATGTGTGTCAACATCTACCGTTTTGACGCTGAAGAATTGTTAATTATTGAGAACCCGATTGTTTTTTCTATTTAGTATCATTCCCTCTGCATTACTGATCATCAAGGAAAGATTCTTGTCATCTCCGACCACCCAATAGCTTTTCTCCACCAACCACCCTCCCTCTTGTTTCTCTGTTCCCTCACCACTGCTTTCCATCAAGTCATCACGCACCTTCTTCCTTTCTCCTCCTCCTCCTCTCTCTGTTAGTCCCCTTTCTCCTCCTCCTCCTCCTCCTCCTCCTGTTGTCCAGAGACGAACACTTCCCAGCGGAGCGTCTGCAGTGTGCTGCCAGTCTGTGAGCTGGAGAGACACTCGCCAGAGGAACCTTCAACAAAACTTACTTCTCCAGCCACTTCTTGTATTTCTTCTGACTGTGGATGCAAGCGGACCTACTTTTTCCCCCGAAGATCGATTCATTTCCAGAGCCGCAAGCCGCAATGCTTCCATTCTACCTCTTGACTCTTGCTGGTGAGTACTTTTTGCTGGTCGTACCAGTGCTGGTGAATGAGGGCATGTTTCTGTTAATGCCAGTTGCCATGATTCATTCTTACCATTCCCTCCTCCCCACCCCCCCGTTTCTTTCCCTGTGTGCAAAGCCACCATCCAAGCCCAGAGCCAGCGGTTGCCCGGCTCCTGCAACTTTGAGTCTGACACCTGCGGATACACTTCGGATGCAGACTTGACGAGCTGGAGCCTGAACACAGATGGTACTGGGAGACGCGCCACGCAGCAGCTTCAGTCTTCCGGCTTCTCTTTTTTTTTTGCTTCATTGTTGCTCTTTTAGTGGCGTAGCTGTGGTGTTGCCATTGTTTTTTGGTGCTGGTTTTGGCCAAACGAACAACGCATGCTGGTGAAAAGAAGCCCATCTGGTCTGCATTGATTCCAGCACCTCCAAACATCTGGAGTCAATGAAGTAACACATGTAGGCTTTCTCGCGGGGTTGGTACTGCAGCTGATACGGATTGTGCTCTCTGCATGCCAATATCTACGTCATGACAGTCAATATTTATGTCATCAAAGCCCAGAGATGAGTGTGGCTTAAATCATGTGTATATTGCACTGTTCTTGACACTATGCAACCATCGCCAAGTTCATTCTCCCAAGCCGTATCCGTATGTATCCAGAATATGAAGAGAGGTCCAGCTGCAGATATCTGGACACAGATGCACCGTGTTGTACACGCAGCAGGAACCTGTCAAGTGAATTGTGACATGAGGCAGGCCCCGATTTGAGAGGTGGAGGTTATGTTGATGTTACAAAATACTCAGCTCTCTTTGAGTCATTTAAAAAAAACCAAAACAACTAAATCCGGCAGTCAACCATATTTAGGCCAAAAGCACAATATATTTGGCTCTCCAGTGCCAGAACATATGATTCTCTGATACCAAAATCCTTGTTATTTTTAACCTACTCAGTGGTGTACTGCTTAATGAAAACGGGCCTACTTCCTAAAGGGGGCAGAAGAGTAATTTGTGGTTTTAGTGGGAAATTACATGCTGGAACTTTTTCCTGCCAAACAACAGTTGGGTGAAGTGACTGCGTGTTGTCACACTTCCAGCAGAAATCGCAGAAACTCCCCCTAAAGGAGACAATACGCATTTTAAAATGTATGTTAGCGTATTGATTAAACACATAAGATTGCACGCGTTAAACTAGTTCAATTTTGGAGGTGTTGTGAGACTATTCTTGAAGGTTGGACAGGCAGGTTTTAGTTTCATCTAGTTTTCATATTTATGCTAAGCTAGGCTAACGCTGTCCTGACTTCAGCTCTGTAACCCACAGCTGTAATATCCGGCATAAGTAGTAAGAAGTAACTGCAACCAAAAACTACCTTCACTATCAATTGCTGATTAATAAATCATCTGGTACATAACATGTAATAATGAACAATGAAAAGTGTCAAATCCTCATACCTGACCTTATGGAACAAGCAAATTGAGCATATTTTATTTTCAAAGTTGGCCTTTGAAAATAAAATATAAAATATCAATTTGATGAATATGGCTTAATTTGCTTCTGCACTACTGAAAGGGGTTCTTGTTAAACTAAACCCTCTCTACATCTACGCAGTTTGGACTGACGAGGATGTCGTCATTTTAGCATCACTGTGGCCTCCACAGTAGCGACTATATCCGCAGCCAGACTGTTGGAAAAACTTGGTTTTTATTACCTTTTTTCCCAGCATGATCCTCGCCCCGCTGCCAGTCTTCAGTGTGGGAAGCGGCAACCACTTTCTGTCTTTCTCTTTCTGGCTTGTGAAAAGGTCGGTGTAGCCAATGGCGTGCTCAGTGTCTGCCCAGTTATTCTCCTCCCGCAGTAATCCAGCACGGCTCAGGCTGCAGGAGAAGTCACATCCACTATATGAAGCATTTTATGTACTTTTTCCTTGTCTGAAATCAGGAGAGACAATGATAAAAACCAATACGTCATCATCACTTATATTTCACAAGTGCATTTGTGTAAATACAAATATTTAAAAACGCATTGGCATAAAATAGAAAGTAAACATCTTAACCAGCATTAAATATGAAATAAGATTATTCTCAGTGTGAGCGCGCGTTGGTCCAGAAAGGAGCTCTAAAGCAGCGGGACATTCCACAGGGACAAATGATGAATGGCCGACAAGTGAGGACAGTCCAGAGGCCCCGGTAGTAGAAAGCAGAAAATAAGAGTTTCTGTTATGATGGGAGCTGAATTCAAAATATAGCATTTTGAACTGTGATGGCGACACATATTAGCACTTATCTTATTTGAAGCCTCGCGGGTTATCAAATATTGTCTTTATAACCACCTAATTCTCTGAGAATTACTTTACTTTGTGCCAAGCAATTGGCTTTGTGTTCCTATATTGAAGGTAAGGCCAAAAGAGGAAAGAGAAAGCCCAGAAAGTTTCATTATAATCTTCAGCTCAGCTGGCGTTTCTCCAGCCTGAATCACTTTGTCTCTCTCACTTTGTTGAATTGGAAAATCAATTCAGAGCTTCGGGTGGATTCATCCCTTTACTGTTTTGAGACCCTTTAAAAAGGATTTAACTTCACAGAACTCTTTATAGTTCAAACAAAAGAAACACTATTGCAAAGACTTTCACAAAGGTAGGTCACATGATTCCTGCATTCCAGTTAGAAGTGTTTATAAGCTTCAATATCTTTGAGGATTAGTTTGTGTATGTGGCAGCGTAGTAATACAGTTTCTATTTCATATGACCTCTTTTTGAGGCTGGGTACTTTTTTTAAATGTCTTTGTCTACATATTGTAGTCTAACCACTGCATTATGATGGATACTGACAAAATGAGATGCAGAACATTCAAGTCTCTGCTTTAGTATTTAAAATCAAAGTTGGGAAAAATGTAAGGAGTTTTATATTTGTAAAAAACAAAAAACAAGCAATATAAAACCTCTTGAAAAGTGATTTGACAATATCTTGTCCCTGTAGACTAAAAAAAATACCTTTTCATTTCAGGGCGCTTTGTTTCAGTGGACGCGGCTCTGAGCAACGACCAGCAGGCGGACACAGATGCAGAAACTGGGCCGCGGACAGAGATCGCCGGCGCCCTGCTGAGTCCAGTTGTGGAGCAGGCGGAGTGGAGCTGCCTGAGGCTCGTCTACCAGATCAGCGGGAAGGGAAGCCTGGAGGTCCTGCAGCGCACCGAGGGGAAGAGCTTTGACAAGCCGCTGTGGAGCAGCCAGGCGTCCTCTGACAGCTGGGTCATCTCGAGCATGGACCTGCAGAACGGTACCGAGCCGTTCAGGGTGAGATGGTGGAACAAAGAATCTTTGTTTGAAACGGGGGATAACCTGGCTTTTTCTTTTTAAAAGAGGTCAAATGACTGAATACAAACAGAAAGTTAATTCATTAGTCAATTTGAAACAGTTAGGAATCATGCAAATCACACGTAACAATAACATTTAGGCACAGAATGTTCTTGTCCTATTACTTTTTTTGGGCAATTAGACAATTAAACGTTGAAACAAGTCCAAGTTGTGCATAACTATAAATCCAGAGCAACTGTTTCTAAACAAAACTGGCTTCCATTGCCTCTTTTGTTTGGCGGTGGAGGGGCACAAGACATATTTCATGCTGTTGTAGACAGGACGAAAGACAAAGATTTTATATTACACATGCAGGCCCAAATATAGGCCAGCACACACACACATTATCCAAACAGTGTGGGAACAGTGCAGCACATGTTTATATTAGATGCAGAGGCAGGGCTTACTGGGACAGGGCCTACATAATGGCTAGTGGGGTCTCTGCTCTGTGGGCCCCTCTGTGCATAAATTTATTTCAGTCCAAAGTAGAACCAGGTGAAAACATGTCAAATGTAACAGCCAGACTCTGAACATTGATTAAAACTCTTTTTTTAAATACAGTTCTGCTTTCTTTCCAAAAATCCGAAGCGATGATTGATACCAACTGAGAGCCAATTCTAAAGAAACTACGTGATAAGTGCTGCATATCAAAAAAGCGGACTATGGACGGAGTCTGGATGCACTTTAATTAGCTCGGACAACCAGGAAATAAATAAACAATGCAACTCCCACTAAAACATATATATTAAACAAACCAGATTCATCGTTTGAAAGATTTATGTTTCACTTTGAAGAGAGCCAGGCTTGTGCTTCTGACCTTTTCTGGCCTTTATGTTAGTTAAGCCATTCCTCAGCTCTACGACTGCAATGTCAACCCATTTAAGGCACGGACACCAGTCTTTATGTACAAGAGAGAAAGCAAAGAAATGTTTTTCCCAATGAAAACAAACAAATCTGTTTTCCTAGAAAGCTTTTTTTGTCAATTTCAGAAATTTGGAATATACTCCATATATCAATTTAAATTTAACACAATAAATAAAAGCATGCTATTTATCCATCTAAACAACCACAAATTACCCGTTGGATCATGATTGTTCCAATGCACGGTCAAATTTCACGCGTCCACTCCCTCTAACTCCAAATACCTTTGCCGATTTCTATGATGTCATTGGCTATGTCACTTCCCAGCAGGGTGGCCGAGTATTGCTGAACATGTGTTGTTGGTTAGGTTGTTATTGAAGGTAAACCTGGACGGAGCGCTGGGAGCAGCGTGGCCATCTTTGAGATCCACATCAGCTCCGGATACTGCCTGGGTCAGTGACTCCACACATACATCACGCACACGTGTTTCTTAAAACCAAGAGGCTTGGATGCTCATTGTCAGCATGCAAGATTTAAAGCCATCTGTGTGCTGTTCCTTCATCTCACACACACACACATGAACATTGTTGGGACATTATTAAGATTAAAGCCCTTTGCACCCAAACCCCTAAAGGCAGCTCTTCTTTCTGCGTCTAGAGTGTGATTTTGAGGGATCTCACCTGTGTGGATACAGTAACTGGTGGAATGCCAATGTAAACTGGTACGTGGGAGGAGGCGGCGGCCAGCTACTTCACAACAACATACAAAGTGACCGCAAATACCACAAGACGGGTGAGTGGGATTCAAATAAATGTGTCTTTTATTCAACGACAGAGCCCTGCACGTGTCCTTCTGGACAGATTAAATTGTACATTTTTTTGGGCCATGATTGTTGTGTGCGTTCTAGGATCAATTCATTCAATGTCAATCTGAAACATGTAGAACACCATCAACATTATCCTTCAATTTCTGAGCTCTGGGCGTGTGGAACTTGTTCTATTCAAACAAGGCAGGCTGACCTGTGCTTTCTGCACGGCCCAAACTGGATAAAAGTAACAAACAGAAGCTAAAATGTTGTCAGTAGTTTTTTGTTTGGCGGATGTTAGAGCTGATTCAGCATTGACTCACCCACATTGGAACAGCACAGCATCACCCTTGAACCCCCGCTCAGGTCACATGATGTACGTGGACTCCATCTACGCCAAAACGTTCAGCGAGGTGGCCACGCTGGTGTCGCCCATGACGACGGTGCCGATGTCCGGCTGCCTGAGTTTTCAGTACCAGCGAAGCGAGAGCAGCTCGAACCTGTTCGTCGTTTACGCCAGAGACCAGCTGGGTCAGTACCAGGAGCTGTGGAGAGCAGACAGAGAGACACAGAGCGGCGCATTCGTAGAATGGACCCCTGCCCAGGTGGACCTGAAGGCACCGTACTCTGTACAGGTCAGCAGGAGCGGCTCAGGTCTTCTTTACCATTTTAAAGATCTATGCGATGAATTTGACATAAAAAGAAATTAAGCGACTGAATAGGACATGAAGCATCCCATTTCTGAATGTCTGCACTACGTTATACAATATTTAATAGAAAGGAAAGACTGTAAATTTACACGTGGAATATAATGTTCATGAAATTACCTCCTATGTTTGCATCTGCGTGCACACAGCGGCTTGAATCTTTGTCTATGAGGGTCTTTCTTCCTTTGCAGGTGGTCTTTGAGGTGTCCTTCAACAGCGCGAGAGGCGGACGCGTGGCAGTTGATGACATTTCCTTTTCTCCAGAGTTCTGCAGCAAAGACACCGGTGAGCTGCAGTCAGCTACTTTATGTTGTGATTTTAAACAAGTTCATTTCAATGTCATTACATCTATGATTGAAGGACATGATGAAACCGCTAAAATCTCAAATGTTTGGAGGACACAAATGTGAAATATAGATGTATAGAATATTAATGCTCTCTGTGATGTTCAAAGTGAAGTTTTGACACAAAAGTTTAACATCCAACATCATACATTTGTTCCACAGAGCCGACCTTTGACCCCTCCATCGCCAGCTGTGACTTTGAGGCAGGTTTCTGCCGCTACATCCAGCACCAGGGGGTTTTGTCGTCGTGGAGGAGAGTGTCTGTGAAGCCCAACATATTCAGGAACGGAGACCACACTACGGGGGCAGGTGGGCCTCAACACCTGGTTGCCTAAACGCTACTATCACATCAAAATCTGTGCAGTTGGAGTTGCATTGTGGGATGTTTAACTGTTATGATCAATAACAGGTGCAAGTAGTGATGGGAACGCTCATGGGAAGCAGATTTACGGAAGAATGAAAATAATTCTTCTCCTTGCAGGATATTTCTTGTTGTCTCATTCCCAGCTGAGCCCACGCTCGGGTTACGTCAGCCGGCTGATGGGACCGACCCTCCCGGGCAACATGAAGTACTGCTTGAGATTCTGCTACTCACTGAGAGGTGGGTGGCACCCGAGAACTCTCCGGATGGAAGCACGTTCACTTTGTGCCGCGAGTGAGTCCTGTGCTGTGGATTCTTTTCACTGACTCACCAGACATAAATAACTGTGGCGACTGCAGGTTTCAACCAGACAGACCAGGCGCTTGCTGTGTACCTGCAGCAGCAGCAGCAGAGCAGCAGCCAGGAGAAGATCTGGACTCAGGGGGAGAATTCCAGAGGGTTCTGGATCACAACGGACGTCACCTTCCAGACATCACAGCCTGCCAAGGTCAGCAGAGAGGAGGTGGAGATATCAAAACAGTCGGCATACAGTGGAGGATGAGTGCATAGAGAATGAAGAAAGTGAAGGTAGTGAGCGAGGAAGGGAAAGAATAAGTGGAGAATGAATGAGCAAGCAGGTGGTAGGAATACACAATAAATAATGGAAGGAGCAAAACATAAAAAGGTCAGAAATCACCTGTAGGTTGTTTTCTCCTCTGGGGAACAAGAAAGTCAAACTTTCCACTAAATGTGGAACTGCCTTGAACTTGTATCCTTTTTGACGTCCATCAGGGGGCGACGTCCATCCTTTCTGAAACTAGGCCTCCGCTGATTGTCTAGATTCTTTGTTTTTAATCTTCAGTTTCAAGTCATTGGTCATTTTAATTCTTTCAAAAAGGCTTTTCTGTCCGTTAACTTAATTATAATTTTGGTTTGTGAAAATGTAGCAGTGGGTCGTACAGATGCAAATGTGATGCGATGGTGGTGGAAGAAATGCCCCACTTGAGCCTTCAAAACCAATGTGGGAATTCATTCACATTCAGTGGACTTCTGATCTAAACTAATGCTAAAATTACAGCAGAAACAGGAAGGGACTATTTAAGAAAAGCTAATTTAGGAACAATTCAAGGCACCAGCGCATACAAATTCAAATAAACCAATGGATGGATTATCAAAATAAAAATGAGGTGGAAAAAAAAACAAGGGACGGAAGCAGCACAAGCAAAGAACGACAGAAACGACAGACAAAAAAACGGCTTAAGAGTTGATATGAGAAGTAAAAAACGTTTTAATGAAAAGCTTTACCGACGTTCTCGTGAGGATCTGGAGTTCTGCTCTGGGATATAATTTATTTACCAAACAACTCTTGCTGGAGGACACAGTATCGTCGTCGTGTGTTCATGTGAACGATAATTAATTTATCCCGACCCCAAAGCGTTCAAAGACATTCTCTACACAGGCCTTTTCCTCTCAACTTTACGCATTGCACCGTTTTTAAAAACCGCTGCTTGATTATTTCCCCCTCATGAGTCACACACAACCACAACAAAGTGTTTGCGGTTTTAGTTCAATTCTAAAGGGCCGCTGGTTTTGATTCCTCTGGGGGGGGGGGTTGCTGACGTTGATGCCTCTGCGTACTGTTTAACTTGGCTCTTCAGTTGGTTTTCGTGAGCACCTGCAGAGGTTTCTGGGAATGCGGCTTCCGCGGCTTTGGATGACATCAACGTGAGCCTCGGGAGACTGTGAGCCAGACAGGCAGGTAAACATCGCCAAGATAAGCTCCAAGAGTAACCAATCCAACCCATAAACTCAATGTTTTATCCCTGTAAAGTGTTTCTTCTTGTACTTTACTGTAAATGTTTCTGTTGCAGGCGTGTTGTCAATGTCTCTGCCAGGACACTGTGACTTTGAGGCGGGTCTGTGCGCTACGCTCAGGACAAGCAGAGCGACGACGCGGACTGGCAGAGGAGGAGGGGACCCCCCCCGACCTCGTACACCGGCCCGAGAGGAGACCCACACCACGGGGCTGGGTGAGGGTCCCCTGATTAAACTCTTACTCGTTGGCAAACGGGCGTAGCGGAAAGAGAGACACTTGCGGTGCTGTTGAGACGTTGACTTGTGATTGACAGGTCACTACCTGCACATGGAGGCGTCGTCCATGCTGCCCGGTCAGAGGGTGCGTCTGCTGTCTCGACCTCTGAGGGGCTCCAAGGGGCCGCAGTGCCTGCACTTCTACTACCACATGTACGGCTCAGGGACGGGTCAGCTGGGCATCCGCCTCCGCACGGATGGAGCGGAGGCGTTGCTGTGGCAGCTGAGCGGCGAGCAGAGCATCGCTTGGCTGAGGGCCACAGTGGAGTACCACAGCGACAGCCAGCATCAGGCAAGAGTACAACAAGACGTCTTCATGTAAAGCCTGTGTTCTGTGAGACAGTTATAGCAGTTGCCTTATGTACTTTTTCATATGATTCTATCATAAGTTTAAGGTATGAGATTAAACTGTTGTATTGGTACACATAAGGATCTGAGGGCTTCTTCCTCCTCTGCTATTCGCTCACGGTGAGGAATGTGTTTCCAGATTGTGTTTGAGGCGACCAGGGGCTCATCAGTTAGGAGTGACATCGCCATTGATGACATCATCTTGGAAGGCGGACCTTGCCCCGGTAAAGAAGCTACAGTATCTTACAGATATTTTCACAACACACTGCTACGGTTAAAACATTGAACAAAAAAGTGCTACGTATACGATCAATAGATGGTGGTCTGAACCGATTTCCTTTTGAATCCCCCCCAGAAATGGAGATCAAAGCCACCGTGGGAAGCTCCAATAAGATTGAGTAGGCAAGAGGACGTCTGCTGCGTAGGATGCATTAAGCCCTCTTCGTTCTTTTTTTTTGTTGCACATTACAGGCTCCGGACACCTGCCTGTCAATCAGAACGCGCAGGGACGTGGTTAGAAATGATCCTTTCACGTAGTTCTATATTCATGGAGCAACACACATCGTGTCTTGATGCATTAGATTAATGCTTATTACTTAAATGAAGCTAGAGGTTTATCCACCATTATTTTAGTTTTTCTCCTCATTAGTAAATGCTAAAGTCAATACAGCCTAGCATACAGTAAAATGCCAATAAAAAGGAAAAGATGTGTCATCACTTTGGGGTCATTACTAAAATTTGAGTAGTGAGACAATAATCCAACCATTTCCAATATGTCCCTAGTTACCCAAATAACTAACAACAATGACAGCGAATTAGTGCGCAGCGAGCATTACCGATTCTTATCGCGATTCATTGCACGAATCTCTGGAATGAATCGCGATTAATCGCAATAATTAATTAAAAAGTGCACGGTGCAGTTATTTGTGCAAACAATTGTAAGAAATAAGGTGCTTTATAACAGTAGTATTCACTTTATACAGTAGCAGTTAGAATATTTATTGTAATGCTACATTTGCCACTTCCAGGGCAACTTACCACCTCAATCGTTATAGAAAAACCCTCCACGATCATACCATTATAGGTAACTTTTATAAATTCCTTTTATAAGTTCTATCAACTCCCGCCGTAGAAGAGATTTAAAATGCAAATTTCTCAATTTTTCTGTGGCCGTTTTTAGTTTCGGTTCTGTTATGTATTGAGAGCCAGTGAGAATAATTAATGAAAAACTTGACGCATGGACGCGTGATAAAATGATTGTCGGCCTTAAAAATAATAACGCATTAACTTACCTATCCCTACACAGAATGTTGTGAATCCACTGTGATAATGACAAAAGCAAATAAGTCAGATGATACAAAGATAGAACAACTGTATTTAGATTCATTTTAAACCGCATACATACATAAACTGTACATTTCAATGAAAAGGGGACAGAAGCTTTCATTTGGTCCAACAGAAGTTTGTTACATGATGCAGGTCCCGTCGTTCAGGTATTTCATGGACTCCATCTGCTGCGTCATTGCCAGAACTTCCTGAAATCCTGTACTGAGCCCAGACATGTGCTGGAAGTAGGCCTCCTTTTCCACCTGCACGGACAGATTATTCACCCCGGCGTCTTTCAAAATGGCCGTCACCTATGTGGCAAAAGATCAAACAGAATTGTCAATATCCTAACTTAACATTTCACAGCGGCCTGCCTGAGGATTCATTCAATTACACACACACACACGATCAAGCAGAACTGCTGCAAGCTGGCATGAAGTTAAGTCCGGTCATAAAACATCAGCACGACTCTGGATTCTGCAGTTTGTACCGACCTGCTGTACGATCCTCTGCTCCACCACGCCGGCCATGATCTGGAGGTGGATGGTCCCTGCCATGATGTTGGCTGAATGCCTCCAGAAATGAGGGTCTCTGTACGACAAAACTCCTTCGATCTTCTCAACCTGAAACAGCACCAGGAAAACTGTTCAGCCTGTTCGTCTGCTGACGGGGAGGTCGTATCGCTACTGTCGTGGAGGCCAACGATAACGCACCTTTCTTGAATTTGGATGAGAATACTTCAATACATTGTCATTGGTTTGAAATAAATGGGCACTAACTTCTAACTTCTTTTTAATTTATTTATGGAGGGTGGCAACGTGCTGAGAAATGGCCCATCTTTGATCCAAACTTTAAAACAGAACACACAACCTCCTTGTTCCCGATGTCATTAGCTCCACCATCACCTGTCACAGAAAACTGCAGTAACCCCCTCGCGTGGGACCCCTCACCTTTTCCAGCGCACTGTTCAATTCCTTCTCAATTTCTGGGGGAATTCGTAGAAGAAGAACCTCGCACGCGTCCTTCAGCAGAGGGATGACGCTGAGAAAAATGAGCGTGGCGATGAAGAGCGAGCAAATGGGGTCGGCGATCAACCAGCCGAACTGACGGATGAGGATGGTGGAGATGATCACACCGACGCTGCCCAAAGTGTCAGCCAGGACGTGGAGGAAAACACCTGCAATGAAAAGAAAGAAAGAAAACATTTTAAATTTTCAACAATTCTAGTCTGCAGCATTTTGTGAGTGCGGCAACGCAAGCGCACACCTCTCATGTTAGCGTTCATGCCTCCACCCGCGGAGCCGGGGGGCGGCCCGTGCCCGCCGTGGCCGTGCCCGCCGTGGCCGTGTCCCCCGTGGGAGTGGCCGTGCTCGCTGTGGGAGTGGCCGTGGTGCGAGTGGCCGTGGTCGTTCGACGGGCACGTTTTGCCGCCGTGGGCGTGAGCGTGAGCGTGGCTGAAGGCGCAGATGCCCACCAGGTTGACCAGTAGCCCTCCCACAGACACCGGCTACAGGAGACGAAAACAAAAAACATGACACACAGATTTTAGAGTGATGTTGGGCTACTATGGGAGATCATTGATAAGACCGAAAGTTCCACCGCTATCATCCAATCATAATTAGAAATATACATTACAGCTTTTTTACGTCAGTTTGTTCCAAAGCTCATCAACACACACTTTAAATGGATCAAAGGTAGTAATCTTTGACCCATCAGATCCTTTAAACATAACGTTAACGCCATCGTGGCGTGTTTTCAGGAGGTCACAAGCAGCTACAACAACCACAGCGGGAAACTTGTTCTGGATATCAAGCACATTTTACAATGTAAAACCTTTAACTAAAACGATGATGTTATTCTAATGAAAAGAGGCTAATGCTCATTTCTTTTAAACACCACACCACGGTCAAATCACCATGCGACAGATCAGAACATAGTCAATGACTGTTATTTAAGTACATGAGCAGGTTGGAGGACCCCACGTTCAGTACAGGACGGTGTACTCACAGTCAGCATGTCTGTGTTTATATTGGGAGGATCCAGCACACGGCTTACTGACTCCACAAAGACAAAGAAAGCGATGACCATCAGGAACAGGCCGTTGATGAATCCAGAAAGTATTTCCACACGACCGTACCTGCAGCAAAAGAGAGCGAGAGACCACTTTCAGATCCAGCTGGATTTTGAAATGCCCAACAATCTCCCAATGTCTTCTTACCCATAGGAGAAGATCCTGGTGGCTTTCCAGCGCGACATGAGGGCAGCGAACAGGCCGAGGACTAATGCAGAGCAGTCAAACAGCATGTGGAAGCCGTCAGAGATCAGTCCCAGACTGTTGGTCCAAACACCATAGAACAGCTCCACGAAGGTGAAAGCCTGGAACAGAGCAACACAGTTAGCTCAATATAACGAAAGAGAATGTAACGTGAAAGCTGAATCTACACACCAATCCCATGTATGAAAGTCTGACTATTTTCTAAAAACAAAAGTTAAAAGTGATTGACTCCTTGAAAATATTATAAATAAGGCTTCATCTTTGAGTTGAAAATATCCAATCTCTAATAATATGTCCTGTGCTTTCCATAATGTTTGTGATGTATTAAGGGTTAGGGTTAATAGGGTTATTATTTTGAAAATAAGAGATCCATCAATATCCCTGACAAATCAAATCAATCATTCATGTGATGCTGGTCACGTCCCACTTTGCTCACTGTGCATACCAGGTTGAGACACAGGAAGTAGAAGATCTGTCTGGAATCGTATTCCTCTAGGATCTGTTTCAAGGAGTCTTTGATGAACCGTGGGAGCGACTGAGATGTGTGCTGCAGGGCGTCACCCATGAAGTTGTACAGAGGGGTCCCTTCAGGCGAGTAACCCACCAGGGTGCCTTTCTGACCTTTCTTTGATGGAGATGAGAGAATACTGGAGGCTGCAGACAGAGATGGATATTTAAGATAAGCAACAAAAAAAAAGGAATTTGTGAAGCGCTTCAGTGAGAATAGAGGTACATAACTATCCATAAATGCTTTGGCGGTGCTGAGATAAGGTACGGTCTCCTTCACTTACACATGATGAAGAAGATGGCACTGACTATCACTCCTCCCGAGAGCACATGCTCTGTGCTGACCTGCTGGGGCGGTTTGCTCATGGAGCGCAGCTGGTCGGTCAGCGGGTGGGTCCAGAAGTTCGCCAGCAGCAGGGCACTGAGGAAGAGGGCGATGGCGCCGTAGCGGGCGCACCTGGGCGTCTCCATCTTAGTGTTGCAGATGGCCTCCACGTAAAACTCCAGGATGGTCACGGAGAGGATGATCATCCCAAATGGCAGAATGAGGGACGACCAGGATTCTACTTTACTCTGGCGTTGAGAAAAAGCAGCCGGTTAGGAGGTCAAACAAATCACCCGAGTGACGTAGAGGAGGACCAAAAGAACGGAGGAGCGCACAAATACGTAGAAAAAGCACATGGCCTGTGCACTTACGTCTGTGGTTAATGAGAGCACTACGACCCAGGGGAGCAGCACAATAGCCGAAACCAAGTTGTCGAGGGCGTAGAGGCGCTTCGCGCCCCCAATTTCCACTGACAGTTTCCTGGAGGCCGTGTGAAAGCCCACCTTCAGGAGCAGGGAGGCCACCAGCAGCACTACGCCCCCCTGAGGGGAAGACAGGGGGTGGAATCTCATTCAGAAAGCCAAAGTAATACATTACTATGCTTCTGTGAGCGGCAGTAAACAGAACCTTCAATGCATAACACAGCTTTTTGCTTACTTTATGATCTGCAACCCCTAAAAATGCGATGGCTGTGTAGAGAAAATGAGTGAGCGCGCTGTCATGATGGCCCTCGGCTGGTTGAAAGACAAGTCAAGGCAATCACAAAGTAAAACAGAGGTACACAATACACACACACACACAAACAGATCAGGGGGGATAACTGTGGAATAAAAGAATAACGCCGCCCTCCGTGAGAAGCAAGGATACGGTGCTCCGCCATCTTTGCCATGAGATCGTCGTTGTCAAAGAGGAGGAGGCAGATCACGGCGATGATGAAGAGAGCGGCGCCTCTGGTCTGCGTGAATTCAGACAAACAACAGAAATGCATTTCACACATTTCTACTACAGTGATCGATTTAGCTGAGGCAGGATACACAATGCAGTGTGTTGTAGTGTGCACAAACCAGTGAACTGAGCCTCTTACCTTGGACGGCCCCCCTCCGGAGCTTGTGAACAGGACACCGAGGAGAGCAATGACCACCACATCGCTGTGCTCAAAAAGCAACAACGTCCTGTGAAAAAGCAGACACACATTTCACATCCTAAGCGCCAAAGAGTCTGCATGAGTAAACACAAAGATATAAATACACTTAAAGACTGACTCTGACATTCCACCCGTCACTTTCTTTCATTCTGCACACGTCACTTTCACTGTCTCTTTTGTCAGTGCACTTGATTTTTTAATTCTTAAATATTTTTACACACAGATTTTTAACTAACTTTATTGTCTTATTTTAAACTAACCCATAGCATTAGGATTTTATTTTATTACTTGTGCACTGCTGTCTTGTCTATTGTTATACTGTCTACTGCCACGCACTGACCGCCAAGTCAAATTCCTTGTATGTATCACATATTTTGGCAATAAATGTTTCCTGATTCCTGAATACAACACAAATATCTTACGTGCATGCATGCAGCATTGTTGCCTTTATAAACTCTTAACACACATTATTGGTGGAATTTTACCTTAGAGGGCCACAGAGAGTCAGACCGAAGAAGCCCAGAAGGGATATGACACAGCTGAAAACAGCATGCTTTAGTAACTTTATCCACTGAAAAGAAAGCAGATTTAAAATGAAAACAGATTATTATTATTAATAGTTTAGGAGGGGGAATCATTGATTTCGTTTTCTCTATTTGAGGCAACCAAGGGAATGGTCAGCGACGAGGCGTTGATACAATGTGCTTTCATGTTATAAATCTCAGCCTTTAGAGCACGGGGCTCAAATATTATGTCGAATGAAGCAGAAATGACAGATTAAATAAAGCAAGAGGTGGAGCACAGACAAATTGAAGGGTAAACGAACCTGTCTCTTAGAGATGACTTTGCCTGAGGAGAAAGGCTTTTGGAAGAAAAGCAGAACAACAGCACTCCTGAGAAAAGAGAAGAGTCCCTGTCAGCATGTTGTCACCCTCCAGAAGTAAATTAAAGTTTAATAACAGTAACACATAAAATACATACCCTAATTTTAGTATGAAGATGAACTGGACAATGTGAACAACCTTGAGGATATCATAAGATTCAAAGATCCCCAGAGCCTTGAGGACCTTGGTGACGACCAGTAAAACGATGTATCTGGTTAACCTGAGACAAAGAAGAGGTTTTACAATCCCACTTAACTTGTTTTTGTTTTTTGAACATTGCATCACATATACAGTACCAGTCAAAAGTTCAATTGAATAGGGAATTAAATGTCAACAAAAACATAACGGTTGGATGAGATCAATGTAAAGTTATTGAGACACATACCTGGAATTGGGTACTTCCACCATGCCCAGTTTCCCCCTGGACAGCACGTTGCTGCTGTATTTGTCTTCCATCTTCAAGCACCCAGTCTGTCCACTTGCAGTATTTATGTCCCCAATATCCGAAACATCACTGTTACACGAATAGTTAAATTAACCCACGGCCCATTTTAAAGAATAAGTCCGGGTTCGTTATTGCTTTCAATCATTCTTCCGTTTAAACTTAACTTCTAAACTAAACGCCACACAGGCATAAACCTCCAGACACTTGACAGCTTCCTTTGCCTGTTCGCTTGTTAGCCTGCTAGCCTGCTAGCTATCCATCTGGCACGTCAGTCGAGTTGGAAAAATGGACCCAAGGTTTCTGGCCTCAACGCCGTGGACGCCAAACAATTACCCGTACTCTCCCGGTCACAGCTCGATATTGAACGAGTTGGTTTAGCTGACCACATTAACAGTTCTCTCAGAGTCCGCAATGAAGGAATGCAACATCCAAGCTGGCCAAAAAGCCAAAGCACTTCCGGACACGGTAAACAAGTCCACGTCACGTGTGTTTATCATTCGGGAGCGTCACTGCTGCGCAGTTCCGCTTTCTGCGCAGCGCACCACGAAGAATTAGAATTAGAATTTAGAACCAAGTCCAAATGATGAGATACCAAGCAATGTGTGTGATTTGGATTTGTTTGAAAACTATTGACTAGTTCCTTAATTTTTTCAAAATGTTCTCAAAAAGTGCAATTGATCAATGTATATGTAATGTGAAACAATATATACACATCACTTTTAGGTCAATATGTCGACCTGACATCTTATGCCAACCAATTTGGACCTACAATCTCATATTTAATACTCAACCTTTAGATTTGGGATCTCGGCATTTTGACTTAATAATTTTGAGTAAACGGACAATACAACTCAAACAGCACATGAAAGAAAAGGGAGACAAGATAGGTATGAGCTGTTTTTATTGTTGGTTAGATGAATTCAATCAATAACACAGATTAGTCAAGTGATTTTCAATGTGACATTTTAGTTGCATCCAATGCACAGCTTTGGCTGGGAGCAAAATGTCAGGGAGCTCCACACAGTCCAAGCAGAATAGCCTGATAATGTCCTTTAGTGTCTTTCTGTAAAACAGAGAAAACATATGTGCTCAGCGAAAATGCTCTGATTGAAAAAGACAGATTGTAAAAGCAGCCATGGAAAAATTCAAATGATTCATTGGTATGAAATTTTACCACTATGTCATCCTGTAAGCTGACACTATACATGGCCCTGTATTCCTCCACAATCTTCTTCAGGTCGACCTCGGAGCGGCTAACCAGCACCCTGATCAGTGTGTGATCGTGTGTGCCGATGCCCTGTGAGAACGGAGAAACGGTTCACTTAAAGCATACCAGTTGCCCTATTGTGCATGTTTACTACAGTGTTCATTTTGAATAGTTTGAATGATGTATTTGGTTATACTATATGTACTACATCTGCGTGTGGCATCAACCAATCACTACAGTTGAGCAGTGATTTCCATTAGTTAACATTTCTGGTGACCAGACCTCAGAACTATCTGAGTTAAGCTACAGAGTAGGGATTCATTTACAAGCTTAGTGATGATTAGTAAAGGTACTTTTCACATATTATTTGTATGGGAATGCGACATATTTTGCTGGACTCTTTAAGTCTCGCCTTAGAATAATTCCAAGGGAGGCATTTGAGAGAAAAAGAAAAAAAAAACATGACATTGTCCAAACTAAAGAAAGGAAAAATTAACTTGATGAAAACCACATTCAGCACAGAATGTCTCAGGAAAAATAACACACGCTGACACATGTTGAGCAAGAGACGGACACATTCACACAAACCTTCATAGCCAGATGGAGCTTCTCTGCAAAGAAAGCGGGTGTGTTCCAGGAGCATTTCACTAAACGTGAAAAAGACACACAAATATTCCCAGTGAACACATGCAGTGTGTCTGACAGCTCCGTGTTTCTTTATTGACTTTCATGATTTCATGATGTGCCTCTACGCAGGAGACCGGGATGTGCAGGTAGCATTGTTAGGATTGGGTCTATCCTGTGTTTGTTTCATGCTATTCTCTTCGCTGGTGGTTCAGATGGAACCTTTCTTCTTACTTTGCATCTTTAATATAGTTTGCACTCCTTCTATTTGTTCTGTTTCTTTTCTTTTAACACCCCCCCCCCCTCCAGGGTTTTCCCAGAGTAACGTGTTGCACAACTGTAAAAACAACTCATTTTTGGCTACTTTTATATTTACGGAGTCCAACTCGTCACACTTCTAGCAGTGCACTTTGAGTCCAAATGACCATCCATACATTCGCTCATTTGAAAATTATTGTGTAGAAGTTCTTGAAAACCACTGGTCAGATTTCAATAAGATTTACTTTGGAAATTCAGGGTCTTTGTGTTGGATTGAGGTGAACTTTTGACCTTTGCTCCGGAGTCACTATTACACCCAAATGATTTACAGCCCATGAAAACATTGTTACAAATTTGAAGAATTCCTGCATACGAATATCTATAACTGAATACGAAACTCTCAGTTAAAGTTCGTTTATCTTTTATGTGAAATAACAACACCAATGTAGGTCCACTTTGATCACAGCATGATGTCGATTAAGAAACGCAAACTCTGCCTTCATGAAAGGTATATATATATATGATATGAGACCAAATTAGGAAAGAAATGAGGAAACTCTCCTTACCAATGTCAATGAGACATTTCTCAATGTCTCCCCTTAGCTCCATTTCCAGGGCTTTAGGCAACTTGACGTCACTGACGGTGGCGTACTGCTGGAATGCTAACAGGTAAACAGACAAACAGGTAAATGGGCTGCACTTGTCAGACAGAAAGATGTTTCTCAAAGAAATGATTCATGTCCAGGTATGACATGAACAAATATCTCTGGAATTAAAAAGACAGTCAGAGAGGTTTTAGATGTGACCTGCAGGAGTTGACGCTCTACACGAGCATTGATCGGCCCTCTGAAATAATATATCTGCTTAAAGAGACTTTCTTAATACAAACATCCTAACAAGCTCCATTTTGTTTCTAGACTGCTGGGTGTGTTCCACCGGTTACCCGACAGTGTGGTTCCACCAGCTTTTCCAGAAGTGTACGTGTATGTATACTCTTTGTAAGGAAGGTTTGGGCGGATTCCGCCTCTGCTAAATAAACCTGAAACAGCTGAAGCGTTTCTAGAACTCACTCTTTGAGAGCTGCGGCGCGCTCCGCTTGGTCAGGATGTCGATGAAGACAGAAATATTGATTCCTTTGGTTTTCTCACCGGCCTCGAACAGAATCTACGGGTGGAAAAACAGTGACACGCCTTTACAAGATGAGATTGTTCCCTGCGAAACGTTTACATGAAAGTATATCAAGGTTAACAACTGATCCTATAAGTATTGTGTGCATCAATCTGTCCTCCCTGCCGCAGACACAACAATGTCGCCCGGGAAACACGATCCTTCATCACCACCAACTAACACCATTTGGTTTGTTGTGAACCAACTGTGCGTACTCTCACATGCTAGTATAGTATAACGCTCTCTTCGACATTTAAAAGTAGATGTTACCTCAGCGTCTTTTTGGGCCAGACTCATGTCGACTTCCTTGCTCTCGTCTTTGTTTGCTTTCAACATGGCCAGGAGGGCCGAGGTGAAGTCACCACCGGTTTCATCCTGAATGACCGTCTCCAGCTCTGTTTTGTACACTGCAGGACGAAGAGCATTACAAGGACATCAGACTGTGCAAGGACGTGTTTGGGACATCGCCTGACTGCAGTGGCACTGTGCTGTTGTACTGCTGCGCACCGGAGACACTTGAAAGTCAATCCGTCAACTGTTCCAGCAAACGTCAAGGCCTTTCAGGAACTCAAAGCTCAGCCTGCTCCCGGATTTAATTTACAGTGAGTAGCTGCATTGAATCGGGCCAAACCTTCGTTGAAGACCCTTTTAATCTCTCGAATCTCTTGGTTTGATCTTGTTGCCAGAATCTCCACCAGAATGTCTTCATGCGTGCCGAAACCCTGTCGGAAAGCAGCAAATGCTGAACGTGACTGCATTTAAAACTACGCAAGCATAAAAAATATTAGTGATGGAAAAGAAACTAATCTCCCAACAAACGCCAGATTTGGAAATAATTGATGATACTAAACTGCTGAGTTACCTTTGTGGCCTTCCTGAGCAGGTGGGCATCATAGTGAGTCGGGTCCATGAGCAGAGCCAGACACACGTCCTCGAAATCTGACCTGAGAACAGACTTCAGATCTGCTTCCAGCTTCTGCAAGACACAGGGAGCAGCAACATGACGGCGTGAGGGGGCTTCTCTCCACTGTAATCGTCACCTTCCACAATGGAAAATAACAGCTGTTATTGTAAAGTTATTGTTGTTGTGATTAGAACTTTTTTGATACTACCATATATATGTACATATATATATATATATATATATATATATATATATATATATATATATATATATATATATATATATAAATATATATATATATATATAACATATATATTGTTATATATATAACAATATATTTGGCTGAACGGCTGTCACCGCTACCACCACCAGTTTTTGGGGAGATTCACGGGTCGCAAAACTGACTCTTCTGTCTGTTGCCATCAACAACCATTCAAAGCTCTTTAGCCACGATGATGCTGTTCGTACCAGACAAAGCTGAGTCGGTGTATCGGATTTACTTTACTATGGCTAGAAAAAGATGATAAATGCAATTGAACGAAATAAAACCGTTAAACAACTTGTACAACGTGAACAAAGTAGGTTTGGTGTGAGAAAGTCAGAACAGGAGCTTAAATTTGAGTGCAGTGGATTTGGGTCGAAATCACATCATTTGACCGTATTTGTTTTGCAAATGCCTAAAAGCTGAAAACACTACATTGTAAGGTCAGCGGGGGTTCGCTGGACATTTCCTGTGTCGGTAGACTTGTGTGTCGTTCATTGCTGTTCATCTTCATGAGAAGTGAATAACTCACCTTCCCAGTGGACGCTTCATAAACCACTTTGATCTTCTGTCTCTGCTCGTTGTTTCTCTTCACCAGGATGGCAATGATCACATCCTCGTCCACGCCTGTGAGGGACAAGTTGTGCTTTGGCTCAGTTTTGTTAAAGCGCTTAAAGCAAAGCTGAAACGTGGAGTCCTTATAGAAGAAAAAACTACTTTAAAACGATGAAAAGCTGAACTAGACTTGAGTGAAACGTTGTGTTTGGATAATTTACGTTAAGCCATCACTTACACCATCGACCCAACCTTCAAAGCACGGGGACGCTCTCAAGGTAACGTCAGCGAGCACACGCACCTTTACTCTTGATGGCGCTCTGGAGGGTGGCGGCGTCTTGGCTGGCATTGAAGTTTGGATACGGAGTGACTGTTCCATAGTACTTTGGTTTAGGATTATCCTTCACCTACAACAACAGGCGGAAAAGGTTCTCAGTTCTGAAAGATGGTTTTTGATTTGCTCCATTACAGACAGATTCGCATTAACTTCCACACATCGGACTCACTTTAACGGTGTCGTCGGCTGGGTCTGCTTTACGGAGAACATCTTTGAAGAATTTCTTGAAGAAAGACATGTTTCCTTGACTGTAAAGTTAGAACCAGAAACCAAAACAGTTTCTGTAGAGGGAAAAAACAAGCAAAGCGGAAAGAAAAATAAAGAGTTGAAAGTTGAGTTGAATATTTCATATTTAAACATAAAGAAAAACTCACCTGTGCTGCAGACGGCCTTCCCACCCCGATTTGAAGATCTCAGGTGCCGGTCTCGGTATTTAAGTCCCTGCAGTGGCTCCACCCATCTCTGAACACGTGATTTTCACACAGGTTTGTTTTCACCTGCAAAGGATCGGCCTGCCGCCTCTCAGAGACAACATTCCTTCCCAGGCGAAGGAGGTTTGGTCGCTTCTGACAGGTTCGGCGACTCTTCTGTGAGGACTTGTATTGTAATTTTGTAAGCACTTTTAATCAAACACACACACACACACACACACACACACACACACACACACACACACACACGGAGGGAGCAGCAGTGACTGTAGCAGATATTTAAAGGAGCTGAAGGAAACTCTCCCAAATAGATTCCTGAGACTCCACATTGTTGGTCTTGCACAATTAAATGACTGAACCTGATGCTCCACATATTGAGCTGAAAAGGAACTCAACACATTCATTGTGTAAACACGTGTGAACAAATGGATATAAAGCCCTTTTTAAGATAAATTGCTTCAAGGGACTTAAGTCAACGTTGACACTTATGTGCTGCTAGACTGTGATGAGTCAATGGTGTCGCACCTCCAACACAACTCCTGGTGGTCAAGTTCCTTTTTCTCACCAGAAAAGTACTCATTCATAAAATAAATAAACATTTGTTTTTTCTTATCTTCTCTGTATAGTGTCCTGTATCTCACACAGCTTATTACAACACACACACGCATATACATACACAAAAAAGATAAAATATAGTATTAAAGTGTTTTTTTACTTTATTTAAAGTCAGAGTCATACCATGAATTACAAAGTCAGAGTAAGAAATGTGTGAGAAAACCAAAAACTCTGAAAACTGACCACATAATCTCATGTTTTGTGATTATAGAAAAAATACACAAAGAGTAATATGGGTGTATGAACATAATTAACAAAGTAGACGTGATAGAACGTAATATTTTCTACATTAAACACCTCTGAGTAATAACATTTTTGTACTTACTTACGGTTAGTGTTTTATTACTCAATCAATCACCTGTTACACCATTATTTGTACTCATCATCTGGCTTTACCATGTTTGTCACACCATACATTCTATTTGCTTGTAAATAGGTAAATAATGTTTACAGAGACTGGGAGAAGCAAATAGAAACTCCAGGAAAATGGTGTTGGTAGATATTTTGCTGTCAAACTATATAGGGCTCAATTGTCTGCTGTGTTTCATGCAAAGGTCGTTTGAATCACTGTTGCTACGGCTACGGCTACTTAGAACATTCTGTAAACTAAGATGTCCTGATATCGATTGTTTCTGCTCCATGTTTTTTCTTTTTTCAATTCTTACTTTTTGTTCATAGCAGAATTGCACAAAGTGATCCTCCCTTCATGTCAAATTGCCTCGTTTGAAAAAAGATATTGTGACGTGCAGCTCGTCATGAGCACCGACAACGCGACGCGACAACTGATCCAAACCGCGTGAGCGTAAATAGAGGATGTGCAGAAAGGTTGTTGATCAACAACACATTCTTTCTTCACAAGTTACTCAATGCAAAAGTTGATTACAATGCCGGAGTCAATGTTTACAGAGGTGTTGTCACAAAAATCCCCCCACGGTAAGCTTTTGTAGAGAGGAGGGAGAGATAAGGTCCTTTTAAACGAAATGCCACAACTTCAACTCCTCGCTTTTTGTGCCCCTTTGTGTCTCCTACTGTGGAATGAGCCGAGATGGTTGGAGGCATGAACACGGCCTGCAGGGATGTGACTCTCTCACGCGGCTATCTCGGAGGGGCCCCCCGCCCACGGCCCCGGCCCCGGCCCGGCCCATCACCCGGCATGGGCGCAGGTCCTCTCGGCCCCGGCGGCCGGCTCACCGGCCCTCGGCCGTTGGGGTTGGGCGATGCCAGAGCCACGTCTCTTTCCAGATTAACGCCTTTGCTGGCCGTCCCGGGCTTCGTTTTCGTTGGCTTTGATTCTGGCTGCGGCTTCTTTTCTGTTTAGACGGAAAGAGTGATGCAGCAGCTCAGCACCTGGGTTCAAAGTCATACGACTCAAACTCAGAACCGTAACGCCTCGATGAATGCAGCTTACTGACCAGGCTGAGGTGGAGGAGGAGGCTGGAGGGATCGGTTCGGCAGCAGGTCCTCCAGGTCTTTCATGACCTGGTTGGTGCTGTCCGTGTTGTTCCTCCGATTCTTCTCTTCATCCCGAGCCTGTACGGACGGACGAGAGAGGGAGGGGGGGCAGGTAGTTGGAAAAAAGTGGGCAAAAATATTTCAGACATTCAGGAGAAGACACAGCCTTTTGTTCTTCCCAGGGCATCAAATACCGACGCTCAGTCCCATCCCTCGGCGTCGGAAAGCGACACAGAAGGCTCTATTTAGTGTCTGTGTAAGACCCCCAGGGGTCTAAAGTAACGACAATGTCAACACTACCGCGTCATCAGTCACTCACGAGGCAAAACAGCCAAACAAACCAGTTTGTTGAGTCATTCTGAAGCTATGTTAGGGATGTTTGTGAGATATTTTCCGTGCCGATGTTGCTAATTTGCACTGATCAGGCACGACTGGCAACATTTAAACATGAAGCTAGTTTACAATACTTTGAGCCGCAGGTCCCACTTCCTCGTTGTCAGTACTTTTTCAGCCAGCTTAATGGAATAAGCTTCAGTAGCCTCCGGCTCTGTGAGCACCATCACACTCTGTAATTACCATCTGCATCTTCTTCTTCAGCTCCATGTTGGCGTTTTGATAGGCCTCAGACACAGAGTTCAGATAGTAGATGGCCAGTCTGTGAAGGAGAAAACACCTGTTTTTTCAGTTTTTGCAAAGACGTGTGTGTGTGTCTGTGTGTGACCCGCCATGTCTCCTCTACACTCACACCATGAGCAGTACAGCTGGTATGATGAGGCCTGGGTTGGCCGCGTAGCTGAAAAGCGTCCCCAAGAAGGCCGGCAGGTCCAGGTCGATGGTCTCCATGATCACATCGAACATCTTCGCCTTCCCACTGCAAACGTCCGCATGGTCAACAACGTGTGCGCGTGAGCGCGTGTCTACACATCCTCTAGAGGGCCTTTTGGTTCCAGCTCTCACCTGAAGGGGCCGCAGTCAAACGAAGGCGGCAGGGTCATGATGGTGTAGACGACAGGCAGCAGACTGAGGAAGAGGATGAGGAGCAGCAGACCCATGTAGAAGTTGTTGGACTTGGACGCCTTGAAGACCCTCTCGTGTGGGACGTTGGTGGCCATGACGGCCCAACACTGATAGTACATGGAGCTGAGGAGGCGCAGCACGTTGATGCCGACCAGCCCAGGAGCATAAAACGCACCCATCCTGAAGACAGCGTGTCACGTGATCAGACGACAGCTTGTTAAGTCTGTTTAATTGATCACAATGCCAATATAAGCAAGTCAAACGTTGTGGAAAAATGTGTCTTATCAACACAACTACAATCAACGATTCTTTTTTTGAGGAAAGGAGTGGGCGTCATGGTAACCCAACCAATACGTGCTGAAATACTGGCTCCATTGATAATACGCATCCACTCAGAGATCCTTGATAAGTGCAGATACAATAACGCATGCATGTAGTTACGCAAATGCACGCACACACACACACACACGCACACAGGGGAGAAAAAGGCAATTCATCAATAAAGTTCCTACCAGATCATTCCTTGATTGAATACCAATCCAAGTACATTACCACTGATGTCAAACTCTCCATATGACGGCTGTGAACAGAGTAAAGGATCAGTGCTTCCTAAAAGCAGTAAAATAAGTCACCAGATGAGCAGATAGAGACCTGGATTTCAGGTAAGTCACTTAATTAGACGACAAAAATAATGACGATATCACATAAACAGCATAAGACTCATTCCAACAATCCAGATGATGAGACATTTCATGAAAAAAGGACCCAATCGTATGCTGGCGTAAAAATAAAAGTTTGGTCGGCCATGTTGGTCTCAGCAGACCGTCTGACATGTAGACACAAGATTAACAGGCAAGCAAGTTCCAGGAGTAACCTCAACCTTACTGGGATCCATATCGGGACTGAACCACTGTTAAAATGACTAGTTACCATCTTACTTTTTACATGCTCACGAGTTGGAAATAAAAGATGTTTTCTTAAATTCAGAAAGAATCGGCAAATCAAAGTGTAAACAGCAAAACAATTGATGCTTTTTTTGGTGTCAGGGACCTGGTATTGTTGGACAGGATACATATCGAACAGAAGCTGCTACTCCAGCACAGCAGGTAAAAAGAGCACTACATTCTGCGCTATGGACCAGAAACACCTTTAAGAGGTAAACCTTCTAAATGCGTCATCTGTCACACTCACAAATCCCGCCTCCAGGTCCCAGCACCAGCAGTAGTTGAGGAAGCGAACGATGACCGCTCTGGCAAAGTCACCGATCAGGATGGTCAGATAGGACACCTGGATGTCCGAGACGGTCAGCTTCACGAACTCCTGGAGCAACGCACGTTATCATATCAGAGCGGCACACTCGCTCACAGTTACTCATCAATGAATTCCAATGTAGGTACAATATGTTAACATATGTTGAGGATGATGCATCAGATGATGCTCTGGCCGGAGAGAAGTGCAAAAGTGAGATGAACCTGCGTCAGGTGACTGGAGGACATCAAATACTCCTCATAACAGCATAGGAGCTTTACTGACACAATGAAAAAGTAAAGCAGTTTGTATTTGTCTCACAATGCCGACTGCAGTTTCCCAGCAGGGTCCTCTGATGACATCGGCGGGGCTCATGGGGGGCGGGGTCGCCCCGGTCCCGTTGAGCAAAAGCGTGTAGTTGGCGTAGTACTCTTTCATGGCCCAGATGCTGGCGTTCTTAATGGCTCCTTCTTCTTCCAGCTACACGCAGTGACGCAGGTGTAAAGGAACAGAGACAGAAAACAAAACCCGGGTAATAATTTCCTTCCTCAGATCACCAACAGAGGACATCTGAGGGGAATTTAGAAAACTGTCCAGCTGGGCGGTGTGGAAGGAGAGAGCTCACTCAGGCTGCTGCTGTACCTTGGTGTTGACTTCGTCAAAAAGGGCAAACAGGAAGGTGTAGAGGTTTCCCAGGAAGAGGGCAAAGATGCGTC